TACTAGCCAAGGATACTAACCAACAGGAAAGACCTAGTGGACAAAGTGGCAGCTACAGGAACTCTGGTGGAAAGTCACCATGCCATACTTGAATTACTGATTCCAAAAGAAGCAAAAGCCAAATGTATCCAAACCTGTACCCTGGATTTTAGGAAAGCCAATTGTAATAAACTCAGAAAAATGCTAAGTCCTATGGCAAATGACTCTGATGAGAAAAGGAGTCCAAGATGGGTGGGGATTTTTAAAAAAGGAAATTTTAAAGGCACAATTACAAACAATTCCAAAAAAGGATACAAGACAACAGAAGAAGCTTGTGTAGCTTCACAAAAAGCTTAAATATGATCTGGAAGCAAACAAGGAAATGTATAGGAAATGGAAGGAAGGCCAGGCTATAAAGGAAGAATGCAGACTGGTAGCACGGAATTGCAGAGATGGCATCAGGAAGGCTAAAGAGCTGCCAGGTTGCTGACGGGGACGGGGACGGGGCGTTATGCTCACATGACTCCAGTCCTCCATCAGCTTCACTGGCTTCCCATTGAAGCCCGGGCCCAATTCAAGGTGTTGATTATGACCTACAAAGCCCTAAACGGCTTGGGTCCTGGCTACCTGCACGAGCGCTTACGTCCGTATATGCCCGACCGCCCTTTGAGATCTGCGGGAGAGTCCCTTCTCCGGGAACCCTCCATGAAAGAAATTAGGAGAGTAAGTACCCGGAGGAGGGCTTTCTCTGCGGTGGCGCCCAACCTATGGAATTCACTCCCCAAAGAGGTCCGCCTGGCACCGTCGTTACTGGTTTTTCGGCGCCAGGTAAAGACCTTTTTATTTAAACATCATTTCAATTGTTAAAACATATGATCTGGCCTGGGCAACTTCTTCTTCCTTCTCTTTCTCCTCCTATATTTTTATTTTATACTGATAATTTTAATTTTGTATTTGTAAATCAATGTATTTTTTGTATTGTTATATTTAATGGTAATTTATTATGTACTATTGTATTTCAATGTATTTTATCATGTTGTAAGCCGCCCCGAGGTTTCGGCAAGGGGCGGCATAGAAATGTTATAATAATAATAAATAATAATAATAATAATAAAGCTTCAAATGAACTGAGGCTAGTGAGGGATGCTAAAAGCAACAAAAATGTCTTCTTCAGATATGTCCAAAGTAAAAGATAGAGAAAAGAAGAGAGGGTTAAACTTCTCAATGTGGATGGCAAAATGATAACAGATGACAAAGAAAAGGCAGAACTGCTGAAATCCTACTCTGGCTCAGTAAGTCTGATGTCGATCCCTGGAAAAATTCTGGAGCAGGTTATAGAGCAGTCAGTCTGCAGACACCTTGAAAACAATACAGTCATTACTAGAAGACAACATGGATTCCTTAAGAACAAATCCTTATTTATTTATTACACCCATCTGAGAGGGATGGTTTAACTTGGGATCCTCCACTGAGCATGGAGTTGGACCTGATGGCCACTTCCAGCTCTACTATTCTGTGATTTTATGGTAAGGGAGCAGAGGATGTAATGCAGGGTTAGATCATCCCTTGTGAGTGGCTTTAATGCAGTGGTCTGTGTTTTTTCAGAAAGTCCACTAAAGATGCCACACTATATTTTATACCTTTTGGGGTAACCCACACAGTTATTTAACTGGATATCTCTACCTCTCAAGATATACTTCAAAGAGTCAGGTGGCAATAAATATCCATGACTAGCAGTATGCAGTTGTAATGCATGTATTTGCTTATACCAAATTGTTGGCAAAATTAAAAGAGATGGCATTGAATATTAATATCCTTTTTTATACCAATTAAGTCCACACATGGAAAAAATTGACATATGCTTCTGAAAGCTGGGTAGAAAACGAGACATCTCTGACCACACACAGTGACAAATTGAGCCAATTCCCTACCCACAAACTTGTTACAAGATGTGGTTTTTCTTTCCAGAAATGAGAGAACAGATTTCTCAACAACATCAGGCTACCCATTTGTTCCTCCAACTGAGAGCCTGGCTCAGTTCCTCTGGCACGGTGGTTCCTTCACATCTCACATATATTAGGCAGCAGTTAAATTTGTGTACAACATGCTAATTGTATAATGCACAGTGTTGCCAGTTCTCCTGGATATGTACAGCAGATGTGTTAGACCTCTGAAGAATGGCAGCGGGATGTTCGTGACTGGTAACTAAACCAGTGTACTGAAACAGTTTGGGTCAGTTTAGGCAGCAGGATGCCTAATTTCTCCTTCAGCTGTCACACTACCCCGAGGGGAAAGAAGCAAAAGCAGAAACTTAAGCTGCACACATGAAGCTTTGATTAGCCAAACTGCTTCAGAACTCTTGCAGTCCTTAGCATTCCTAGAACTTATCTAGGAACTTGGCCTATTTTTTACATTAACTTTGCTATTCAATAATTAACCTTCCGGATTAGTCATATCTAAACTTCAATTGAGGCTTGAGTGCAACAATCTTGAATAAGAGTTTCTATTTAAAAAACAAGTATATCTGCATATAAGGTGACTTGCTGATAAAATGAGGTCGATATTTTGGGCTGTTTTTCTGGTGTTTGTCATATGTCGGACATACAAGACAGCCCCTTACTGTTGAGCAATAACTCTTTCATACCTAAGTAATGGCAATTGGCTTCAGTAGATATTTGTCAACTGGAAGCTTCTAGACTCTTGTGACATGACTATTAGCTAGAATAATGTGATGTTACCTCTCTGATTTCACTCAAGCTCACATTTGTCTTCTATACAACGTGGCTCATATCTGTGTGATCTGTGTCTAGAGAAAGTTTTGTAAAATTATGTGATAGCTTTCTTTTTGAGCCTAAACCATGGATTGCCACAAAAGAAGAAAATATGATGCTTGTTTTAAGGTCATTCAAATTGCAAGAGAGTCTCATAATTGTAATGCAGCTAAAAGGTTCAGTGATGACAATGAAAATGAAGAACATAGTTTTCTGGAGTCAGACTGGGATCCTTATGAAAATAATTTACAAAATGAAGCTGAAAATGAAACCGAAGACCTCAGTTTGGAAGACTAAACAAATTATCCAATGATTATTAATAAAAACAAGTTTGTAAATACTATTGTCTATTAGCTAGCCTCATCTTTTAAAATGAATATAATGAAAATTTTTCACCTGGTATATAATCCCTAATGTTTGCTTTGCTATTGTTGGTTTCAAGGGTTGTCTTATTCACCAATATATGCAGTACTTCCTGCGCATTTTATAACCTCTACCCACAATCAGGAAGCTGGTGCTATTCCTAGCTCACCTTCCGAAAGAAAAAAAGCCCAACCAGTTTGATTTTAAGCACTTCTGTCATGCAATAAAAGCTTCTGCACTAAATTAGAATCAGGAAGCAGTAAGATATCGAAGAGACAGGGATAATGTGGCATGGAATGACACAGGAGTTCCTCCATCTGCATCTGCATGAACTGCCGACAGCTGAGATTGAATATGGACCCCACTTAGCCAGTTTGGATCAAATGCACTTAAAACATATTTGGCCTCTTGGAAGAAACAGGCCCACTGAGCGCCATTCAAGTTTCAGCTAAGCTAGAGTACATTTCCACAGGTCATATTTCAGAAGAGATATCTAAGAGTTGATCCCCACAAGCCATGCCTTATTAGGTTTGTGCTTCCTGGCAACCTGACTGGTAGCGCAAGCCAGCAGGATTAGTGTACATTATTGCTCTGATATAATGATCGTAGCAGTCTGTATATTTGCTTCCACAATGTTCTTTTCCCTGAATCCAAGCCTACAGAGTGGAAATTCTGTAGTTAGTGTCTGTCAATCATGTTGTATAAGCTTAATAAGACACCTAGGATGCTGAGTGTACTCATTCAAGCACATTATTTTAGGATCTGCTCACTGATTTCTCAGAGTTTCTGTAACCAGCATAACAAAGGACCTGTGGGTTCTGGTAACTGCAAGCAATTGTGCAAAATGGACTTGCTGACATAATGTAGGATTGGTGTAACACTATTTTGGGAGTTAAAATGTGTAACTTTGTTTCCATTTTTGCATGTGGTAAATATTTGAACATTTGTGTTCAGTGCTATTAACCTCATCCTATATTACTCAAACAGAATCCTGCATGGGACAGAGCAAATGTGGCTCCAGTGGGGTGAGTATCCCATTTTCTCCATTCTGTTAGGTTATCCTCTAAGGGTCCTTAAAAAAAAACCTGTCAGGAGTATTTGCACACATTTAAAGGCTGAGCAGCAAATAGAGGGGAGATTTGCATAACTGCAGGAATAGACTAAAAGTGCTAATGGACAGGACTCTACTGAACCACCCCCTACCCCATTCATGGAATTTTACATTGTGGATGTATGGTTCAGTCAATGTCATCTTCCACTTGGATCACTCCTCTTGGATCCTTCATTTTCCACTGCTTCTTCATCTTTATTACTGGAAAACATTGATTAAAAGACTGAAAAGTTGTGTAACACTTTCTGACTGGTTGTGCTTAGAATTCTAGGCACCCTAAGTCAGTATAATCTATTCTCCCTGGTTAATATCTGACTGTACCAATGCCCAGTGTGGACAGTCTTACCCTATTTTAAGCTATCTTTTGTTACTTGAACATCTCAGCATTCCTTTCAAGTGTCATTCTTGCAGCAAGGCATCTGAGTTTACAATGTTTATTTGATGTTTGGCTAAGAATGTACTCCAAGCAGTTGATATCTTCCTGGAAGATCTGAACTTGTTCTTTTATTGCTGCTTATCATGCTACTTTTATAAGCATTCCCTAAATATGTAAAAGTTAGACACTGTAAGCCTTCATTCCACAAAGCATGCAAATGAAATATGTATTATTTGTATAACGGGTACGGAATTTGTATAATTCTGGACCAGAACGTGACTGTCCTTATCAACATGAGCCTTTCACTAAGGCCAGGGTTAGTCTATGTACTGTGCTTTATTTTTATTTGCCTCAAAGATCTGTGTAAGAGTGTGAACACAAAACGCAAACCCAACAATAGGTGTGTAATTAACTTTAATAAATCAAATAGGTGTGTAATTAACTTTAATAAATCATGTATTTACAGGCAGGTTATACAGATGCAGAACACATCTGAACAATGCTGTCATAAAAATGTCTACAGCTTTTGCTTACCACAGCACAATGCATAGACTTTCTGGGCTAATGCAGACTTCACAATTTACAGCTGTACAATAGATTTAGAAAGATCATGCTTCAGCTTCTAGGTTCCTGTTCTATGAATGTTTTCTGCTAACAATTTCAATAGAAAAGGCCTCTAATCTGAACTGGCAGTTGCCCGAATTTTAAGATACTCAACTAGTGTAACTTTTACTGAACAGATTTGTTCCATTTTATTTTGGCATCAATTGCAAAATCAGGAAGCATTTAATGTTGCACACGATATATCCATAAGCCTTGCATACGTCTCATATGTTGCTTCTCGGAGTTGTCACCACAATACTGCATTAAACAATGGAAGGATCAGGCACAGCAAAAATAAATCGGGAGATCTGTATGAACTGAAGAAACGGTCCTCAAGTTTTGCTTCGCTTATGATAGCTTCCTCTAGCAGTTACAGAAGCTATAGTGGGAGAGTCATCAGCAAGTGGATAATATGAAAAGGGTAGCCTCTTTTTGCTTCATTTCATTTAAACCAAACAAATGGGATTCTTCAGTCTTTAGCATCTCCAACTCCATCAGCATTAATGGCAAACATGGCTTCAGCTTCAGGAAGGCAAGGTGAATCATAGATTTTGCATATCCTGGTTTCACCTCGACCTTTTCTCAAATACAGCCTGATAGAAATAAATTAATGCATTTATTCAAATTAGGACCGTTGACCAATCAGGTAAAGAAAGATCTGCAGTCATTTGATACCAAATCAATGATGTAGACCAATGTTTTCCCACCTCCCAAATGGTGATAAATTACCAAAATCTAAGTTAAAATGGGATAGAGAGTAAGGGGAAGAGCTTTATCCTGACAGCAGAGCAGAAATCTCTATCTCCATTCCCTCTTTCTTGGTAAGCAGGCAGGGAAGCAGTTCCCACTGCTGCAGTGAATACCCAGCCTCTAACACTTTTGTAATGGTGTTTGGGAGGAACTTTCAGGAGATGAGAAAGGAAAGACTTTTTCCTCTTTCCACTCTCCTGGAACCTTCCTCTGTTGTGCTAGCAATAGATAAAAGGCTAGCACGACGTAAAAAGTTTCTTGTGATTACTGTGTTTTATGCTCATTATTCATTTTTTGTTACTGCCATTACTACCTCTTTTCGGAGAGTAGATTACAACCAGTTTCTCTCACATTTAAACTCTGCAACTGCTATTCATGCATTTATGACCAAAAAGTTCTCTTCTACGAAGTCCTGTCAGAAAACTGTACAGAAACTATAGTTAGATCAGACTATCCCAGGCTGCATATTGATGGAGGTGGGTTGCTAGAAGTACATTTGACACCACTGCTCCAAGTTTTGCACCACTTCTGTAGAGTCTACCATCGACTACAGTTCAGCCCAGTTGACTACAGTGCAACTTCGACTGATCCATCAGCGGCGTCCTTACCTGGATAAGCACTGCCTAGCAACAGTGATACATGCTCTGGTCACTTCCCGCTTGGATTACTGCAACGCACTCTATGTGGGGCTGCCCTGGAAAACGGTCCGGATATGGCAACTGGTACAGAATAGAGGCTGCTGACAGGGACCGGCCGATACTCTCACATAATGCCAGTCCTCCAGCAGCGCCACTGGCTTCCAGTTGAAATCTAGGCCCAATTCAAGGTGCTGGTTTTGACCTATAAAGCCCTAAATGGCTTGGGACCAGGATACCTGAAGGAACATCTCCTTCCTTATATGGCCTCACACCCCTTAAGATCTATGGGAGAAGCCCTGCTCCAGGAACCCTCTCTTAAGAGAGGTAAAAAGGTCATCAACTTGGAGTAGGTCCTTCTCTGCTATGGCGCCCAGTCTCTGGAATGTACTTCCCAGAGAGGTACGCCTGATGCCAAATTTATACTCTTTTTCGGTGCCAGGCCAAAACCTTTTTATTTAAACTGTGTTTTAAAGTTTAACAGCTTTTAAGTTTAGTCGCTGTTTGTTTTGTGAGTTATTGTTTTGTTCTATTATTTATTGAAATTGCTGTTTTAATTGTTTTTAAATATTGTAAGCCGTCCTGAGATCTTGTATAATAGGATGGCATAAAAAAGCTTTGAATAAATAAACCCACAAAAGTTTAACATAAGTCTGTTTAACAGAGCTAATAATTTCCTATAATAATTATTATAGTCAACCAGTTTTCTAGGACAAAATAATGCTGAGGTAAGCAACAAAACACCCAATTCTGGCTCCTCTCTAGTTCTAGAACTCTTTCCTTGGCAATAGAGCTCATTATAATGTTGGCATTTTGGGGAAGCAATCAGGGACTAGAAAACTGAATATTTATTGTGAAGTTCCGTTCTGATTTGGTGCAGAGGAGCTATCCATCACGGGGTAGCTCCCGCCATTGTCCAGGACAGGCAAGGCACATGCAGCCAGGCTTTTGCCGTTGTCCTGACCTTTATGGCACTTGCCAGTCAGATTCTTTTTTTCCCATCGATGCAAACGAGAGACATCTGAAGAAGCAGAACACCCCCACCATCTGTTAGGGATGGGTATATGCACTTCAGAAAATCATAATGAGAACGTTCAGCTTGCCACAGTATGGATGACTCCTGTGCACTGAATTGGAATGGAGTCTCACATTAAGTGCCAGCTTTGCAATCACATCTGGTGTGAGGAGACCTTCATCATGGGATGTACAAAAGCTGCTGTAGGATGGATCTCAAAGGAGGCTGAAGCTCAGTTTGAGGATGAAACTGTTGTAATATTCTGTGTCTGAGGGCTGTTACAGCCGAAGCATATTTGTTCTGCTCATAATGCCTAATGAAAGTGGGATGTGAGGACCAAGTAGCTGTCGTGCAAATCTCCACTGAAGGTGCGATAAGAGAAAAACTCCTGGGGCAACTAGAGCCTTAGTGGTATGTTTTTCTTCACTCTCATAGACCACAGATACACGTACCTTGAAGCAGCTATAGAGGGTGGACTAGACATCTTATTTCCCAGTGCACTTAAAGGGGAAGAAACACCCAGGGAACTGAAACATCAAGTTTCCACAGTTAAAGGTAGCTTTTGCTAGTCCTAACATCTGACGTGTATTCAGGAGTATGAGAGGTAATAAGAGCAGAAAGAAGGGAAAACCACCTCTTGTGTGAAAAGCAGTGTTGATTTTGGGAACAAAGGAAGGATCTTACCAAAGAGTGAGCATGAAGAGGGAGTTGCTGAGTTGGTTCTAAGAACCTTTGGATAACTTTACAGCCACAAGGAATAGTACCTTGAGAGCTACTGCCAAGAGACAATCTAGTGAGACAGTTTTCAACAGCTCAATAAAGCAACTAGTAAGAGCTGGTAGTATCACATCCAGTAATACAAGATTGAAGGATGTAGCAGTGCCACCCCTCAGAGGAACTGCTGAAAGTGAGGTGAGAACAAGAGAAGAAATTTGTTTGTTTGTGAAGCAGTGTCCTTCTTCACCAGCCCAGAAAAAAAACTTCCAAATTATTTTGTATATTGGGTTGATTGTCTCCTGAGAGGCAAAAAGTTACCTCAGCAGAGTAGCCTACAGAGAGGAAGGACCTACATTCAGTAGCCAAGGGGTTATATATAGGTAGTTTAGGTCCAAATGCCAGAAAGTCCTTATGTGAGAAGGGTAGTCCTCAAGGGAAGGAACTATGGGTCCATTTGTGCCACTTGAAGGAGTTGAGGAAATCATGGCATCTGAGGCCAGAACAGAACTTCAAGCACTCGTGTCACCTATTCCATGATTCTTTTGAGGATCCTGGCCTGGAGTGGAGGAAGAGGGGCACAGAGTCTTCCCCACAAGCTGAGGTAGTAGCCTGCACCTGCAGTCCCAGCTGATGAAACCAGGTGTCTAGGGAAGAAGTGTGGCAACAAAGAGGTTGTTGAGAGAGGAGGCAAAGAGTTCCCTCCAAATGGGCCAAAATGAAGGCGAAGCTGTTGTCCCCAAAGTTTCTTCTCCAGGAGAAATTGTTAGCTTAGAAGGTTGGCCTCTTTTCAGGTCCTCAGAAAGCAATGTGCAGTGATGGGCAGGATGTTGTGTTCTGCCCAGAGTGGGAAGGAGGAGGCCTATTTGAATAGGGATTTTGAGTCCATTCCTCCCCAGCAACCTAAGGGCCATGGCCATCGTGTTGGCTCTTCCAGCTAAAAATGGACAGGGCACAGGTGCTGAGTGGAGTGTTTCATGGAAGTAAGTTGCTCAGAGCATCTGGTGCTTGACTGGGAGGCCAGACATCCTGGATGAGATGGCCCTAGCAATGAGCTGCACCACCTCGCCATTGGAAGGGGCTGGGGGATAACGAAGCCCATGGAAGGCAATCAGGAGCCCTTTCTTTTTCCTTTTCAGATTTGGAACTTTTCCAGTAGCAAAAGAAAATGTCAAAAGAAGTAAAAAGTTTTTTTTTTTTAAAGTGAAGAACATCAAAACTGGAAGAAGAGACCACACTCATTCCAAGATTATTAAAGATAAGGAACAGGAAGAGTCAGTAAGATGCCTGAATAGACAATTTACTGAAAGAGAAACTAGAAAGTTCTGTCACAGGCAAAGAATGAACAGGTTTAGAAGATGCCAGGACCAAGGCTAAAAGCCAGGTCACATGTCCCTTGCTTGTCCTAGGCAGTGAAAGAAGTTAATTCATGATAATGTCTCCTTGCACCAGATAAATATTTACTTAAATTTAAAAACTCCTGTTTCAGTTATTTACTGAACTGAAGCTATTAGCCACCCTGAACTAGGCTTGAAATGAAAAAGTGCTCTTTATGGCCATCTCCAATATAGTATCCACTGGATATTGGACTACAAATCCCATCATCTAGACCATGTAGGGTTGGGGATGGCAGAATACATATTGCACCAATTATTGAATAAAATCTGTTTTTCTTTCCATTAGAAACAAAAATGACTCAACACTAGAAGTTTCAAATCCTATAAAAGTTCTAGCTAGTTAACAACAACTGGAAACAGCGTAAACAGAAACTAGTAGTCTGCTGTCTTACCTGGTTGTTGACGCATGGGCAATGATATTTCCCCCAATAGGTTTCTTGGGATCAGCAGCAAACATTGCAGCTCCATCTACTTGTGCTACCACCTGGTTTGTGATCACTACAGCTACACCAAACTGTCAGAAAAGAGGCATACGGTCAACTTCAGGGTTTTTTTACTGCAAACTGAAAGATCATCACTTGGCCTGATAAAATATGCCAGTACTGCAATGCCTTCAGAGTCATATTCATCCAGAATAATGCAAATGGAATAAGAAAAGGAGAACAGGTAGGTGATTGGTCTAATGACAGTTTACCTCATCTGCAAGTCGAAGCAACATACGCAGAAATCTGGCCAGATGCATCTGTCTGGCTGACAGTTCACCCCGGCCAGAGTAATCTGTCCTGTAGAGGGCTGTGGCACTGTCTACTATCAGCAAGGCATATCTGAAGGGACAGAGCAAATGGACATTGCTATGCATTAATGTGTGCCCCTAACTGCAGGAGGGGTTTCCTGTTGTTGCTTTTTGTTTTACTTTTGTGCTCTCCCTGGCCCTGACACAATTCAGCTGAATGCCTAAATATTTATCATAGGTAGGATATATCCTGTTACAGTTCTGAAGAACGAACTGTAACTAAATGTACCTTAACTTAGCTTAACAGTGCCTTAACTTAGCTAACAGATCGCTAGCATACACAAGTTCTCGGTCTGATCTAGTATGACTAGTCTTATTCATATGCTACAGATTTGTCAGCTTTTAGGAGCAATGGGCTATTTCAAAAGGCATTTTTATAATCAGAGCCTCTATAGCAAAATAAGCCAAAAATTTTGTATGCTATTATCTTGAATACTTTAGAGAAAATATACAAAAATGATGGACTTGCTAAATTGTGTAACTCATAAATGCCAGTATTGTGTTTAACAAATTAAATCTTTCTACATGCACTAAGTTTTAAAGTTTTTACCTGGATTCAGTCATCATAGCAGATGCTTGGTAAAGGAGCTGGGTTTGATGGTCTGTGTTAAACCCTCGAGCGTATGCCACATTATCAAGCACATCACTACCAGATAAACCATACCTAGGGAAATAAATTGGACAAAAATATAATAAGTTTTTAATTAAAACCATGATTCAGTAAGGAGTTTTTCAAAATCATTGTTGGTCTGTCATGTTGCTTGAACCCAGGATCATGATTTTCAGAGTCCTGGTACACAACTGCCAGAGTCCCCTGGAAAAAGCAGCCACTACAGCCATCCAGCCTGTGTGTGTGGACCAATGAGGAATAAGCAGGTGACACAGAGACTGAATTTCAGGTGCACTGGCTCATGGGATATATGTGAACAGCAGGAAGACTGAGTGGGGAGGATGAAAACCATGATCATGTAGATACCACTTGATCAATCATGGTGAACACTGTGAACCATGGTGACCATGCAAGGTTGCTTCTTGTATTGTGAGAATGCAGTCAGTGTGGCTTATTGTGTTATGTAAACCTTCTCACAAAGTCACTTTTAGTGGCATTCAAGCTGATGAAAATAAATCAGGTTAACTAATGTTGATTCTGAGTACCATGCCTTTATCCTATGAATTGCCAGTAGATGGAAGTACAAGCTATAAAGCAGTAGTGATGAAACACCAATGATTCCTTGAAAATAATTACAGACCTCTCAGCTACAGCAAGCAAACGCTCTGGACGGAAAGTGCCCTCTGTGTCAATGTACATGGCCTTCCCTTCACCACCACCTCGATCAATAGGGAGCTAATAAAAAGGCAAAGCAAGATTGTTATAAAAATGCATTCATCTCTCAGAAAATTAAATCTAATTGTATCCTTCTATAATCCACATAAAGTAAGATATTTAGGGTGCAATCCTATGTATGTTTAGCCTGAAAAGAGACTTACCAATGAGTAAGTAATACTGGGAATTGTAGTGCTTAACATCTAAACATTCACAGGATTGCACCTTAATTCATTAAATGCAACCACACACACATCCAAAATGCAAACATATTTTGGCACATTTGGAAAAGATAAGCAAAGAGTGATTTTGTCTGTAGAACAAAGCTTTATTATTGAGGAAATGAAAGGGAAATCTGAAGCTAAAATATCACAAAGGGCAAGTCAAATGTAAATGCAACAGTTTTAAATTAGAATGACCAAACTACAAAGTTGATACACAATTTCATTTTTATTTATGCATGTATAAATACATGTATAAATAAACAAACAGCCCATTTGTCATACTCCGACTGAAGAGGGTTATTTAACAGATCTTATGGGGCAGATTCCTCAAGTTCTTCTGTCCATTAAAATTGGTTGGGGAGAACTACTGCATTACCCTGATGATACTAAGTGGTATCCTCTGCAGAGGGTAGGAACGGGGATGTGGAAAAGTTATGCAGAATCTCATGTGAGGAGAAAAGCCGTTGTGCAGCGGGCATGCCTGGAAATAATTAAAGCAGGGTGCCTTATCCCCCACCCTATGTAAAAACCATATTCTTTCTTCGTGGTAGCTTGCCAGCCACACGGGTTCCTAGATCTGAATTTGCTATCAAATGTCTACTACTGCTTCCAGAAAATGTATGCTTTATTGAAATATTGCAGTTCTTCCAACAAATTGCCTTAGTAGTTCATCCAACAAATTGTAAACCCTTATACTCTTGAGTCAGTTCTGTGATGACAAGGAGTCACCATCTGGATTGATCTCCAAGTATCTAGTTCCACCTTCAGCAACACACAGCCTATGCAGCCCTGTATTTTTATTGTATCATCAGTTCTGAAAATGATACACAGAAGAGAAAATATGCAAAAGAAGGAACTCAAATGCATTTTTTGTGCAATACTTTACATGAGTTTCATCTACTCACTTGACAGGTTACTGCTAATGTATGACACAATTGAGTCTTTCCTGTGCGGAATTCTCCAAACATCTCTGTTATTGATCCAGTTTCTATTCCTCCTTGACAAGAAATAGAAAGAACTTCAGACTTATTTCAGTAAATTATATACAACAGGAATGTAGCACAAGTGTGCATACTCAAATTCCTGGAGATCTTAAGATCAGTTTTCTTCCCCTGGCCCCATGATGTGCCTTAGCTAAGAGATTGCTTCTGGAATAGCTTCCAAATTAAAATGATTAAGGAGTGATCCTGTGGCCCCTAGACATTAGCTGAGGGGCCACAGAAGAATTTAAATTCCCAGCTTAGGTTGAAGACAGCACTCCAACCTGAGAACTGGGAATCAGAACACCACCTCACCCACCCCTGGCAGCTAACATAGAAATAACTGAGCTGGCTGCTTTTGAAGTCAGGAAAGTGACCTTGAGGAGGGGAAAGAGGTGGCTTTTCAGGGAGACAGAAAGGTATCCTGAAGTGGCTCCAGCCTCCTTCCTAGCGCAAATGCAAATACTGTGTGGGAGGAGCAGGAAACAAAATCACATCTGCCACTCCCCATATGCTTTTGATAAGTTTGGAGGATTATGCTCCTCTGCACAGGAGTGCGGCCCTAGCAACTCTCAGGCAGCTCTCTGAGTAGACAGACTCAGGATAATGGAAAGTCCTTACAGGGCAAGCTAGCTGTGTCATACAACTGTTTTTTCCTGAATTATAATAAAAAGATTAATGTTCAATAACTAGATGTGGTTTTCTATGTTAAGCTGCTGTTCATGTGTTCCTTTATGTATGGAATGAAAGTATTTTTGTACTGATTCTTCTGCTCTGGACTGTAATGAATATGAATAAGTATGAATTAACTAGATAAATACGCACAGATTATAATGTAAGCTCAATACCTGTGAGGCATCAAAATGAGTGTCCTCTTTATATGTGTCTGCCACACATTTTAATGTACCTTTGTATGTTTTGCTCCATATTAGTTTATAGCAGGATTACCAATCTGCACTTTTTTTATTTACAGTATGTGTTGGATTTGGCCTGCAGGGCAGAAGGCCAAGCCTGGTTCCCCTGACCCAAACCCTTTTCTCAAATGGCCAAAATGATGACATGGTTTCCCAGCTTCTGTGCGGCTTTTTTCCCATTCTAAAAGGGTAAAATGCCTCTTCTAAGCCACAGTTGCTGGCACTAAGAGCTTTAAACAAGAGTATGAGGATATTTAGGGCCAGAACTATTTTGCATTTGGCTGTAGCAACCTTTATGGATTATGATCCACTCACTGAAAACTGCTCTGAAATTAAGTGCAGCTCCTGGGCTGGAAAGAAATTTGACACCCTTGATTTATAGTGTGCAGTGAAATGATACACAAGTTAATCAGATGTGTACCTTGAAGGAGCTTATCAAGTTCTTTGGATCCAGTGGTGATCTGAATGATTTCTGATCTCCGCTGATGAAACTCTGTTGCTGTGGTAAAGCCCATTGGCACTAACTTTGCTGCTTCTGCCTGAAAAAAGTGAGATCAAAAGACTGAGCAGCAAGATAAAAATAAGACTGCATTCCTATTTTAACATTCCCACTTATATTGCTGTAATGGCCACTTGCAAATTATATTATAAAATGGGGAAATTATGTTATCATACCTTGAAAACTTTCAAAACGCTTACTTTTCAAGCAATAACTATGTAGACAATGCATATAAATATTACACACTTTATAATTACCAGAATTTTATCAGCCTTGGCTTCACTGATGCCTTTAATATTGAGCAATTCTTTCTTTGGAGCATAGGCAACAGCTTCAACTGTGTGAAATCCAGCTTCTTCTAATTTCTTCACATCATTGGCATTTATGCCACATTGCTGCACAACACAAAATATTGTTATTTACTATGAAACATTTTACTGCAGGACCTGAAATGATATACTTGGGAATACTGAGATAAACTAGTTCACTAGACTGGAAATATAACTGAATATGATCTGTTGGCGACATACAGGTATGTGAGGGGGTGTCACACGGAGGTGGGTAGAGACCTGTTCTCCCCTGCAGAGGAAGGCAGGACGCGCTCCAACGGAGCAAAGCTCAGGGAACCCAGGTTCCATTTAGATGCCAGGAAGCACTTCCTGACAGTTAGGACCCCGAGGGTGTGGAACGGCTTCCACAAGAGAGGTCGTTGAGGCCCCATCGGTGCAAGTATTCAAGGATAGGCTGGATGTCCACATGGAGGGCATGTCGTGAGCAGAGCCGGCTGGAGCTGGGGGTCAGACTAGATGGCCCGGGAGACCCCTTCTGACTCGCTCTGTTTCTGTGTTTCTAAGATACTCCTTTACTGACTTGTTTGCACTAGCTTTAGAGGAAAAAACAAAGCTCTATTCATTAGTTCATTTACTAATATGTTGTAGTGATAATTTAGGCTGTTAAGGATCAGGCTGATGATTAGATGTGAAAATGCATTTCCAATAATAGGCACCTTTTCTAATATCAGTGAACTTATTGGTAATAAAATATCATGCACATGGAAGTTTCATTCAAAATTAGCATGCACTTAGATGGCATGATCCTATGCATACTCAGATAGAAAAGAGGTCCTACATCTCCCAGCATTCTCAGGTCAATCATGCTGCTTGCAGGACTTTTTCCTGCCAAAATACGTTTAGAGTTGTACCCTTAACTTCTTCACTTTCCTTACTTTACAGACTGACAAGAAAAAGGCAACCAGGATCATAAACTATAATTTTATCAAATTTTCCACAAGTGGTAGGAGAGTCTCTGAGATAGAGGTAGATTTTTCCTTGTTATATGAAAGCACCGTACTACCGAGTTTGACTAAACTTCCATTACCAGAATACTTGAAGACTACATTGAAGCAATGCTTGAATTTAATGGCTTAGCTAAAAACAAAAAAAAAATCTTCTACCTTAAAGGCTTGGCTACTGTAGAAGCCTTGATAAAGCTTTGTACAAGGTGTTCTTCTTTCTCTTCCTGATAACACAAGAGATACTACTTATTGAGCACATACCTCCAGCCGTGAAATGGGTTGAGGACCAAAGCTTTCCTCTTCTGTTGACGTATTGATGCTCGTGTCACACTGCATGTGCATGGCCATGACATGAATCAGTCAACTTTTCTATCAAAAAAGGAAGCATCGGCTCTATTACTTATTTGTTTGTTTGGGGTGCTGTTAAACCACCCACTAACCAAAGTTATCTGGGAAATGTATAATACATTAGAATATGTATATGCATTCTACATATTAGAATAGGTATAATATATTACAATATAATACAAACTCTAAAACAAAAAAAACCAGAGCTGAATAAAATCAAGAAAAAACTAGCAGCAAAGAATAAACTATACAACACATAAAGACCAGCATTAGAATGAAGTGTCGAAAACCCTGAAATCGCTCTTTAAATGATGGGGGAAATACGAAGTTCTTCACCTGCCACCCAAAAAAAACACAAACCCCAAAACAAAACCAGATAGGCTTCAGGGAATGCATCCCAGCAATGGGGTGCTGCAACTTAAGAGTCACTTGTTCTCATAACCTTCTAAAATTTCCAGACTATTTGCAAATACAGCCCCATATATAACACAGTGTAATAATCCAAATAAGAGGATGCCAGAGTACAAATAACTGTCATGAGTCTATCTCTGTTCAGATAAAGCCACAGTTGATATATCAACCTGAGCTGCTTTGACCAGTGAGGCCACTTGTGCTTCTAGTGACAATGATGGAGCTAAGAACATCCCCTCAAATGACAAACCTGTTCCTTTAGAAGGACTGCAGCCCATTCAGAACAGGTTGAACATCACTTCACCGGACAGATAAATGATCTATGAGTGTATTTTGCCTGGACTAGGTCTCAGTTCATTGGTCCTCATCCAGTCTGTCAGCCTGTCCAACCACTGGTTCAGCCTATCAACTGTCTCACCTTCATTAGATGAAAGGATGTAGAGCTAGGTGTAATCGGTATATTGGTGACATCTTAGCTCACAACCTTGGATAAACTCTCCCAGTGTTTTCATGTAGATGGGGGATAAAATAGTGTCCTAAGGAACTCCAAAGCACAATTACTTTGGACATAGCAGTGATTCCACAGTACCACCTTCTGGAATTGGTCATCCGAGCAGGAGAAGAACCACTGTAAAGCAGTACCCCCACAAACCAATTCAGGCAGCCTATCCAGAAGGTTGATGGTATGAAAATCCATTGAAGTTTTCAGGAGAACCAATAAAATCTCATTCTCCCTGTCTTTTTCCTGGCACACATCATCCCACAGGACAACAAAAGTGGCTTGAGTTCCAAATCTAGATTGGAAGCAGTGTAAGTTCTATTCAGTTTCATTCAAGGTGATCAGCAGCAACTTGCCTGAGCACAGCAACCATTCACTTAAACACAGGGAAAGGATGTTAGTGACCAGTCCGTCATTGATTTTATATTTAGGATCCTGGAAAATTCCCCAGAGCTAGATGGAATCCATCAGCTTCAGGAGCAGATCGTTTTAATAGAATCCTCACCCCTGTTTTTGTACATTTCTATACTGCTCAATAGCCAAAGCATGCAGAAGGGAAAAGCCACTGAAGTCAAAACTTCAGTAGGAAATGATCTGCCCATGACAGAGAACCAGGATGGATTTGATTTTAAACCAAGTCAGTAAGACTAGATTTAAATCATGGTTTTCTACATAATTTGCATGCATGCCTGCCTTACCCGTAGGTATAGGAACTTCATTAAAGGATTCTCAAACTTGGTCTCTTTCACAGCCTGCTGCCAATATAGGTTTTCTCCTCCAGGGGAAAAATGATGATAAATCTCAGGCTATGCACAAAAGATCCAAAAACTTGCAGAGTATTCTGCTCAAAATGTTTAATTTGTACTGCTTGCCTCTCTCTCCTCACACTTAGCTTCTTGTGTAGCTGTAGTCCACTCCTAGCAAGTTTCTTCTGTTCACTGACTATTTAAAACTTGGCACTTAAGAAGTAAGGGGTTGATTCTGTGTACATAGATGTTCAATGGAACAATGGGATTAAGGCCTCGTTCTCAATTCTGTATGTTTATTTTATAACATTTTTGCTCTGAAGAAGAGTCGTGTGATCTCTGCAGACACAAATTTGCTGTAAAACCAAGCATTTGTGATAGTATCTTCTAAAAAAAAAAATGCCCCATAAACTTACAGAAACCTCTGGAAGGGTATGACATAGTGAATAGATTAATGAAATTCATTTATCAACAAATGTAAACACTGCATGAATATACAGCTTCATACTACATAATTAAAAACTAATCCTTATTTCATGATGAATAACCTTCAGATTATGATGTATCTTAAGTAGAAAATTATATTTAGATAGATTTTTCTTCAAAAAGCACTTTATTTTAAAAAATCCAATGTAAATCAAACACATTTGATTTAATTTTTAAAAATCCAATTTAAATAATCATTGATTTTTTTATTCATCCTGCAGGGAACGGATATTAAACAGAAATTCAAATCACCGTTTCCTGCCACTTACACCGGGACAGTATCATACTGGGTCAGCCTCATGGTTGCCATGGCGGCCAGGTGTCCTCAAATTCAGTGGCTGCAAATGGGCAATGGGGTATCAGCAAATTCTCTAATCTGTCCTGGATGCCTAACACAAGATACAAACACTCAAGACTGATACTCAGATGGACAGGAAGTCTGGAGGAAGATGGAATTCCTGTAGTCTATAGCTACAGGAATTACTCAATTACTACTAACAATTCCTCAAGTCTATGTTGGTGCTGTACCAAATACACAAGGGGTCACAAATGGGAGAGGTTAATTCTTCCCTGTTCAGGTTTGGGTTATGCAAGCTAGGTCAGCCTCCGCATGCACAATTAAATAACAGATCAGAGTAATTCTATTCTGGACCGGCTTGACATTCAGCAGTAGTGCTAGTAGAGCAGTGAGCAACTAGTATGACAACCTGAAACCTTTTGGCTGAGCGGATTACCAGAAGAGAAGTGCAAGGTATTTATGTACTCCCCTCTCTAAGTGGCCTGTAACTTCCACCCCAAGTCATACCTCCCACTACCCATGACCACAGAATAAGAGGGGCAGCACCCTCCATTCCTAACAGTGAACCAAGAAATTTTACAGGTCCATAACGAAGAAGCAAAGCGGCAGCTCAGCACCTGCAAAATGCTGAGTTGCAGTCTGCTCACTTTTCCAGCACTTGCTGGAAGGTGGGGATGTTGGGAGAGTTGGGACAGGTGGAATAAATAATCTCGCCGCTGATGAACCAGTACACCCAGTTTCATCTATGGCAGCAAGTTTGTGCAGCTGGTTTCGCAAAACTTTTTAAAAATAAAATCTTATAATAATTTCATTTGATTGTCATGCGATAAGCTACATCTCTGCAAAAACAAATAAATGCACTCAATTCTAAAATGCTTGTTTTACTTATTTTATAAATTGCCATCTAGTTTCCCTCCTGCGTAGGCCTCCTGAAAAGGGCATGATTCTGAATGACTAAATATAAATACATTTCAAGCACAAAGAAGAGAAATGCGTTCTTAATACAATACGCTATGCTGACCCGAAGTAAGTTTCATGGAATAGCATCTGAAACCCACGCAAGTAGCCTAGTTCACTTAGTAATCATAAAACAAAGCCAGCGAACGCCCCCAACCAGGTGAGCCACACTCTGTCGCCCCGTCTTTTCCCCGCCTCATGCACCTGGGCTGGGCCCGGCCCGGCGCTACCGGCCCGAATTTCAGTGAGATCGACGCCCCCGTAGGCCTCCCTGTCCGGGGAGTGCAGAGGAGAACTCTCGCTGTCCCTCTCCGAGCCCCACAGTGAGAGAGAGACGCGACGCGACGCACAGCGGAGGCGCCCACCAGCTCGGCCGCACGACCCGTTTATTTCCGCCCTCCGCCAAGTCGGAAAGCCCGCCACTGCGTCACGCCACGCGCGCGGGGGCGGAGCGCTGCCTGACTGGCCAAAGGACGCGCGACTCCGTGCGCACGCGCACTTCTCCAGTACTGTGGTCCGCGTTCTCTTGGTCGGCGCCGCGTGGGGAGGGACGAGGTTATCCCCACCCGCGTATTTGGATGGGTGGGACCTTGAATGCAGCCTTCTCGTTCCCGCCCCCTTTTCAAAGGTTTGACGCATTGGCTGGAGAGAAAGGGAGAGAAAGGCCTTCGGCTCTTGTTACAGATGATGTGTAGTTTTATTCTAGGCTCCTAGAAGCGGTAGCTTAGAGATTTGTAATCCTGCTTGCCCAAAGCGTTTTGGAAATATTCGCGCGAGTCGAGCAATTCCCTGTCCGTTCTCACACGTCTTACTTTTGAAATGCTGAGTTCGGTGTTTTCAAAATGCAGGAAACGGCGGTGAATTTTATGTTCGCAGACCTTGTGTCTCAGAAAGCAGGGAGACCACAGGGATCATGGGCTACAGCAGAACATGAAAAACTTCCCTACCTGGCGGAGGGGCTTCAGGAAATCAGCCCTACCTCTCCAGTTGGAGGATGCTGTAAATGTGAACGATAAAAGCCAACCGTCATCTGCCTGAGATCTGCCTTGGTGTGCTCTGCCATGCTGACCAGTGACTCCAGTCTTTTAACTTTTGAAAGAGGCAATAACACCGATGCATCGGGTTTTTCAAGTAGTCATGTTTTAGGGTGCCATCAGATTGCCTATTTGAACTGCATGAGGTCCCTTGGTTTAAGTCTGGTTAAATAGAGCTGATAAACACCCAGCCTTAAGTGTGTCAGGTAGGTGCTATATTTTGAAAAACTTGAAATGTTATGCAAAAGAAAAAAAGACATGTTTTCCTGCTCTGCAGTCCGTGATTCCTGTTCCACTGTACATTCTGAAGGAGGTATCTGATATTAAAACTGCATCCAACTTTCCTAGTAAATATATTTATTTAAAACTTTTATATGCCGTCCCTTATGCATAGCATCTCAGGACAGCTTACAATCATTAAAATCAAAATACAATAAAACAATCTACAACAATATAATAAGCAACATATAACCAATAAAAATAAAAAGCGACTGTTGAACATTAAAATACTAACTTTTAAAATAATAATTAAATAAAAAGGTTTTGATCTGGCACTGAAAGGAGTATAAGCTTGGCACCAGGCGAACCTCTCCAGGGAGCACATTCCATAATCCTTAAATAATTAAGGCAGCTAAAGGAAGGCACAATAATACAGGAAATAATCTCAGGAAACACCATCTAATAACATGTTGTGAAGCCTAACTGTCAAGTACTGTTTGGTTAGCTGCATCAAATAAAGTTTTGTGTGTAAGGGTTTGGAAACTGGTGAAGGTCCAGCTGCCCTACAACAGGAGAAAGCTATGTGAGGTAAAAGGCCAGCTTGAGGCAACAGCAAAGCATGATGCAACCAATTCTATACATTTAAAGAAATGCAGGAAAACTTGCCATTATGAATTTCAGAATGCAAATATATTAGCTTTGTTATGCTTGCAAGTATAGTTATGTGGCTTACTTTCTCACTGCTGTAACACAGTTCCTTGTCCTTGCAAAGCTGTTACATGGGGACCAAAAGCATGACACAATTGGTAATAAGTTGGTAACACCATCAGGTGTATCAAATGTTAAGCCTCCATGGTGGCATACTTGCTATGGAAATTGCAGCTCATAAGGATAGCTTGGCATCCTGGAAGAAATCAGTGCTCTGGGCAAAAGTTCTGAAACAGGCTGTTAAGTGGAACTTTCAGATCATCTGTTTATACAAATAGAATGACTACAGGTCTTGCTAATGAGTATTTCATGAAAAATCCATGCATTTCCAATTAAAATAACATTTTCTACTTGTATCCTGCTATCTTTACCTGTTTCTATGTTGCTGTGTTTCTATCCTGCTATCTTCAGCCTTTTAGTAACAATGCTCAGTGATAAAGATCGCCTCAAACTGTAGGAGGAGTTTCTAGACTTTTGAAGCTTATGTGCATGCGTGCATTCTCCAGCTTTCCACTTGGTTTGAAGTTATGCCTAGCTCTCACACCTGCATGAACTGAAAGCTTTGGGCTCCAGTGCATATGTGAAACTGAGGTTTAACCAGGCTGCCATAATTTGCAATTACTCTCAGATTAGGACAAAGATGACTTGAATTCAAATCCATGTTCATACAAAAAGCTCCCTAGGACTCTCTACCTTACAGGGCTTTTATAAGGATTAATAGACAGGAGGGAGAACCATATATGCTGTTCTAAGCCCTTGAAGAAAGGAGAGGGTGAAAATCTAATGCACATATATCAAGTAAATCATTTGAATTTAGGTAAATGAGCAAAACATGCAGTTGCATACAGTTCTAGATGTTCAGGGCACAATCCTATGCATATTTAGACAGGAAAAAGTCCTACAGATGCCAGCATACTCTGGCTGGGGAATGCTGGAAATTTAAGGACTTTGCCTAAACATGCATAGAATACTGTTAGATGATCGAGGTTTTAAGCAATAGAATTCATTTTGGGGCAGCATTACTGTAAATACTCAAACTTCAGCACTAACCATTTTGTAAAAAACAAGTAAACTCTTAGAAAATTAGGAAAAGATTTGGAAGAGTGTGGCATGATTAAACTCAAAAACTTCACTACTAAATCTGCATTGTTCCTGCTATGATCATATTCACCATTCCAGATTTTTTTAAAAATGTGATTTTTAAAAATGTCTATCATCTTTCATAGTCAAATAGGCAGATGGAATGACCACTCTGAAAAACAAGTATATACTGTGGTCTGAACCAGTTTTTTCTTGTTAATTGATCAGTAAAGCAAGGAGTAACTTGAAGGCTTAGAGTGGAGACCCTAATGAAATATTGCAGCAGGAGCCCCCTCTGCTGTGCAAGCATAGCTATTATCATTTAAATCTTCATCTAGAAAATATAGTTGCTTTTCCATGGTTCTTCTACGGTAAGATAGCTAAGCATCAGAAAGCAATGTGTCACCCCTCCAAAACGTTAGGACCTAACATTTCTATAATTCGGGAACTGAGGAGGGCTTAATGGTAGCTTTGAGTAGGAAATCACGACAATGTGATACTGCACAGATTGTACTCTGTTTAGACCACTGTGTGTCATACTTTGCATAGCTTCATATAAATATATTTCTAATGGATTTTTCCTGTTTCAGCCACATGACGTGAACCAATGAAGATGAACAAGGAGAGGTTGCTGCTCCAATTTGTCTAAACAAAAACGTATTTTAATAAAATCTTAAGGGGAAAAAACCCTAGACAAACAGAAAAAACAAGACCCACAACTATTTCGAGCAAATAGTTTTCTAAAATTAAAATAACAGAGCAAGGACACTAAGAGCACAATCTTCCCCGAACTTGGAAGATTATATGCGTCCTGTGCAGGGTGGAGGAAGCACAGAAGCAAAGTTTGCCTCCATCTCATGCTGCCCTGCAAGGTATGTAGCTGACCAATTTTGTCAAAGTGTTGAGCTTTAGAGGAACTCCTATGGCCCTCCAGGCACTGTCTGGGGGCCACAGGATTGTGCCGTAAAAGCTAGAAGTAAATAGTGAATTAAGAGGAAGTGTTGGCAGCATTTCGTTCTAAGCCAATGCCAAAATAAAATGTTTATTATTATAAGTATATTTATTATATTTTCCTTCTCAAATAAAAATAAAAAACTTAAAATACCAATAGTTGAAATTCAAAAAGCATTTAAAAATGCTACGCTTTACATATATACAGTTGCCAAGAAATTACAGACCAGACAAGAAGAAATTTTGGATACTATCCTATAAATTTCATGGATTAAATATGCAGCCACATCAGCCTGAATAAGTTAAAATGCCACACTCAGAACATGCTAGCAATTATTATTTATGTCTTTCTCCAAAGTTAAAGAATTCAGTCATTCCAAGCATGAATGCAACCAAGCTTGGGCTCATTCTAGAAGCAAGATACCACTTTTCTAGAACAACCATACGTCTAGTTTCTACATGCAATATTGAGATGAAGGTTATAAAAATAGAATCTCATTCATTACGCAGGGGTCAAATATGACTGCTGGCAATCCATACATATGTACATCTTGAAGATTTCTCTGCAGTATTTGACCTTTGAAACTGCACATTAGAATTACAACACTATTTTGTGACAGAAGAACTGGTTTCCTAGAAAAAAAGGTAACCATAGGCAATACTGGAAAATAGGAACTAGAGTAAGAATAAAAGGCATCGTATGAAATTCCTCAATTACACTCTTTAGCAGGTTTTTCTGGAAAAAAAAGTCATGTACTTGCTCACTCCAAATGTAAGCAGTGATCTGAATCCTGCAATACTGATCAGTTAAAACACGATTTTCTGTCTTCTGTATGCAGAATATACTATTGGATAGCTGTTCTTTGCTGTTTATGTATCATCATAGGATGCTGGAGTAGATTATGACTAATATGTTTGACTATTCTCTTCAAGTAGTTGGCTCCCACTGGAACACTGGACAAAGCCATAGAAATTTCTTCTTGGCTGAGAACAGAAAATGTATAAATGTAGGGTAATCAGGATCAAGTTGTTTTAACTGAAACTCTTCCATAGAACTGTAGAAAAGAATGAAAAGCCCACAAATCTCCATCTTTGTTTTACTCACCCAATACTGCCTGCGCATTTTTGGATGCTGAAAACTATCGGAGATGCAGGATAACTCGCAGACAAGGAGAATTCCACTTCAAACTTTGCAAGTGCTGTAGAACTAGAGAATAAGAGCTTCACCCTACATATGAAACAACATATATAGAATCACTACTGAGGTATTTCATTATCTGAAAATAAATGTTTAGCAGCTACATAAAATGAATGGAAGAGGTCATCAGGAGATTTGGAGTGAAGTATCATCAATACATACATGAAATCTGCGTAAATATTTGGTTTTATCTGAACAGGGTTCTTGAAAGGCTATATCCTTCAATTGTTCAATTCTAGTCATGGAAATCTGATAGTTTCAGTTATACCTATCAGGTCATATTCACACTCCTGTATTCAAAGTTCAAGTTCATGCTGTTTGTTTCCCATTCTCTGGGGCTTAGTATATAGACATTGAAGACCATATGCATTATGCTCTAGCTTTCTCCCCCCCCTCCACACACACTTTTTGAAAACTAGTTCTTCTGCTGCACCTGTCACCCTTGTTCAGGGAATTTGTCCCAACATTAAACCCTGACTACAGAGATTAGGTGGTTTACTTCTGGTGAGAGCTATTTCCTTGGATTCCACACAGTCTGTGAAAGTCTCTATCTGGAAGAGCTGATTGGTGCATTTCATTTTCTCTTTCAGGTGCTAGGTAAGTCCAATCCTGATGAGGCTTTTAAATTTGGAATTTGATTTTGTCTACCAGTTGCTCTAATATGGTTTTGTTTTAGCTCTGCATGTACAATGACTGAATTTGGCTCTTTCCTTTTATTTGATATGTTTGAGTAGGACTTCTGTTATGCATATTGTAATGTTAATATATTATTTATGATGTGTTCCTTGTTAGTGAACTGGAGTACTATTTAGAAAAAATGGTGAACTACTTAAAAATGCACCCGTTGCAGAGGTGAAATGTGCCTGAAATTTTCACAGAGTAAATGCAATCATTCTGAGTTACATAGCCATGCAATGTCAAATTTTACTAAGTGTACGGCTTTAAAAATATTATATAAGCACACTGATATATCATTTTAAGCACGTACTTTGTATCATTCACTTCAGTTTTGAGCAGATAAAATTTTCCACCCCATCTGTTCAGAAATTCGATCTCTTCTCCAAGAAATTGACAGCGACTCACCACAAGAGAGATGTCACGCAGCACCTGGTTGGACAATCAGAGCAACTAATTGTGACGTCTTGATAATTTAAGGGAAGAGCTATAAAATCATATCCTAAGTGTGAAGTTCATGCCAGACTTTAAAATTGTTAGAGAATTTGAAATATGGGTAATGTAACACAGAGAAGCAGAAAACATATAAATGTGCAAGAAATTGTGGTTTGAAAAAAAAAAGGAAGCAGGGTAAAATCACTATGTACTCTGTATTTTTCGACTGCTCTGTGGTTATCTGTAGAATAGCTCAGGGTACAAAAATCCTCTTCTACTGGCTGAGCTAATCCAAGCCATTGGGCCAGGGCAGGAATTTTTTTTGGCCTGTGGTTCAAATTCCAATTTGGCATGCGACTGCATTCCACCAAAAGGCACAAGATACAGGTCAAGGACAGAGAAAGCAAAGTGGACAGGTAAAAAGATTAATATAGCTCCCTTAATCATCTTGCTATGTATTAATTGTGATTACATACTGATTTTGATATGTTGTAACTGTTTCAAGTGTAAAATGAAAACTTAATATAAACATTTTAAAGGCCCCACAAAGTGGAATTCAGAAGAATAAAGCAGATTACAACAACATGCATTCTCTGTAGCCTTTACAAGTGCCAAATGACAATTAAAGGTAACAAGTGCTGCTACTTTCAAGCATTATATAATTCCAACCCAGTTGTTTAAGAAATTCTTTGTTGATTTTGAACTTCCTTCTCTATACCACAAGCTCCTGTTACGTACTTCGATCCCCTGTACAATTCCATGCTTCTTTTGGAAATTGAGTTTCCCATTAGTTACCTGAGAAAGCTGATACATTGTTGAGCAGTTCTCCTGCCATGAACTTTGGCTATTAATAAACTGGAAAATGAGCTTATGTACTAGTTTTGAAGAAGGTAACGCTTTGGCTTCTGAAAGAACAATGAAGCAACAAACAACAGCAAATTGTGATTCATTGAAGTTATAGTCAAAACATTTCTATTAAGCTATAAAACACTTAAGCTGGTCCACATAAAACGTTACATTCACTGAAGTGGTAAATTTCTGGGCTTTGTCATTGCAGGTAGAGGTTCAGGTGATATAACGCTCCTCCGTGCAGAAACTTGCATGTATAAAACCATACACAAGGGAAAAAATGTGTTCTTCCTGACATACTAATTTTATATAGGTATAGGTATTTATTTTTGTACAAAGAAACATGCTGTCACTCAAGTATCAACCTACAGACCGAAAGAGGCACAATTCCATCCTACTAGTAAGCAAGATCAGAAGCCTATGAAGCCCACCCTCAATATCAGCACAGAAACTTTCATAGTAAGTCCAGATTTGTTTCCACTTAGCGAAGGAGAGCATCCTAATATGGAATGTTCAGTATTTGTGCTCATATCTTCCCAAGTTTTGAGCTAATCCATTGATTATTTCAGTCTTTTGTGACTGACTGATGTAAAGTTGCTCTGAGTAGGTGACTGTCCAGGTAAGAATGTAAACTCTTGGAACCAAATAGGCTATTTGCCCATACCAAATGGCAGTGGAAGTCCCACAATAATGAAGTCAGTAATTATGTCATGAGGTACAGATGAAGCAAGTAGTATCTTCTAGAGAATAGTTTAAATAATTCTGAACAGTGCAATTTGACTCATTTTATTAGGGTTTATCCATTTCTGACCATAACAGTGGGCCAAAGGGAATTCCCCACTCCCACCAATCCCTGGGCTGAAGTTGCCCCATATTTCACTCAGTTACCCTTCCACTGGACAGACACTGGATTTAGCACATGACTCAACCAGGTATCGGGAATAAAAATAGGTTTGTTAAAAAGTTAAAATATAGGGATGAAGGTAATGATAAAAAGGGTGGAATAAAAACAGGTAAAAAGGGGAAAGGGTGGGGGAAGTTTGAAAGCAGCAATTAAAAATATAGAACAAAGCAGATCATATGTCCCACAAGACCCCAGGGTCTTGTTATACCACTATGAGCAAGAAAACAAGAAAGCTAGCCCTCCTCTACTCTACAAACTACCTGTGGTCTATGAAATGTGCAGGCAGCCTCCAATTTCTTCATCGAAGCAGGCTGGCAGAATGGCAGATGGGTAGCAAGCCGGGACCCCTAACCAATAGGGAACCCCAACTCCTTTTACCCATTGTCCTTTATTCCCCCGACTCATTAGCTGACCTGTGGAGTGAGGGCCCATCCTCCAATCTCTTCATGCCCATCCCAATGGCCCCAGCTGCTGGTCATAAACTATTCACCAAACCATTCCACCCTGCCATCTCCCCTGTCCCTGAGTCTTTGGCTTTGATAACCAAAAGATGTAAATGACTCCCTAGTCCTTGAAAACCAGGTGCAAATAGCACTCCCTAAGATCTCTGAATTCCTCAATCTTTGAGCTCCCCATTCTTTTGATACTAGCCTGACCAGGAGATTTAACTCTTTATGTGACATCATTACACTGACCCTTCTAAACGGTACTAGGGACAATATTTTTTTGTGACAGGGTAAAACTGATATAATTCAGTAGAGGTTACCTTCTTATATCTTGAAATATCCAATCTGACTGCTTTAGATGTAGCCATTCTCACATCAGACCATTCAATATGGACAGAAACATAACTTCCACTGTTCTGAACTGGAACTATGCTTGTCAGTTCTGAAATTATGAACTACTTTAGAGGAATTTGGACTGAAAGGAGTAGATGACTAAGGTGAATGAAGGGGAAATGTCTGGATCCCTGGAAAGTTGGGACTGATGCAATTGCACTGATCATTTGCCAGAGAATCCATTCTGCTATGAGGTGAGACTCTCGTGGTGGAATTTATCTGCAGGTTCCTGTGCTTTCTGACTTTTTGGTGCTAAGCATGGCTGTGGTTACAGCAGACACTGCTTGTGTGCCTAAGCTGGGGAGAGGAGTCTCTTAGATCTGTGACCTGCTGTTTCTGGAGAATCTGGAAGCACTAGCATTCTGCAAGTCTTTCCAGACTGGTCCCTACTCCGACAATAGTCTTGTGTTTCTCATAGCTAGGCTTAATCCTAACAAGTTTCCACCAGATTTAGCCAGCAATTAGGAAGGGAGAAGTGAGAGAAAACTCTGAAAATATAAGCTCCCATAAGCTTTGAGTTCTGTGGGGTGTCCTACATGGTAAGCAGAGCAAGACTAACTAACAAAGGACACTCCTAGGAAAAACAGGAAGAAGCACCTAGACCATCTGCCTGCTGAAATGGATAGGGCAGTTGCCCATTTCAGGATGCTCTCTGCTGCTGATTTAGATTTGTTTACTTTGTCTCGTAACTTTTAATTGTTTTAGTAGCTTGAATGTATTTAAATCTTGGTTTCTATTAATATCTTTGTTTGAAAAGTTGTTTGTCTCAGGTTAGTAATTTCACTGTTGACTGAATGTTCTACCATATAAAAGTTTATAAGCATTATTAAGATATAGAAAAACATAGAAAACTCATTACAATAGGCTGCTTTTCATATTTTTCTTAATCACGACTAATATTTTACATGAGAAGTTGAAAACTCTCAGTAACTGGATCATAAATACTTCAAAAACTTACCATCCAGAAGTGATTCAAAGTGCAAACTAACAATCTTCTGGCAGACTTTGTTGCTGGAAATAGCACCATCTATGAGAAAGCAAACATAGCATGAGTACTTCCAAATAAGGCCTAGTTTTCACTGAAGTGATCAATCATGTCTCAGACCCATTTCAGATTCCATGTCAGGGCTTGCAAGAATGAAAAAAAACCAAGCATGTCTGACACGCAGGTTTCTGCACAAAAGGATTTTTGTTCCTGGAATGGAGGGCTATTCAGACATTCAAGCCCCTATCTGTAATCTGAAGTGGGCAAGCTCAAACACAGATTGACCACTTCATGTCATTATATCCCACCCTATTAATGCAAATGCTTCCCTTAGGACAGCCAACAAAAGATACAAATCATAATTTCATATAACATCCAGTAAAATCCACAATCAGCAGTTAAAGCTAAATAACAGGGACATTGTATGTCTCACAGAATAAAAACATGCCAGAAATAAACAAGTTCTCAACCATTGGCAAAGCTGGAGATAAAGGTCCAATTGTACATTATAGTCAAGGTGTTTCCCATATCTGGGTGCAGCTACTGAGAAGGCTCTATCTCAAATTCCATACAGCCATGTTTCACAAACAGACAGAACATGGAGAAGGGACTTTCTATCAGATTTTAGGATATAAGCAGGATTGGTCTTCAAGGTAACCTGATCTAAGCTATATGGGGCTTTAAAGATAATCACCCAACTGTTAAATTGTGGCTTGAAACAAAATGGTAACTGTTTGACTAAATCTGTTTCACTGTCAAAACCTGAAACTAGGTTCATATGGATTAAAATAATTCACATCATCTAAGATCCCCTAGAGCTGAGATGGCACTATATGTATTTACTTGTATATCTTGCTGAGGAATGATACATTTGAGACTGGTCAGATATTATCCAACATGGCATCCAAAAGATCCCAAAACAGCCTTCTTATACTCGATAAACCTATGCCTTCCTCAAAAGGAAAAACACATCATTCATTCATTCATTCAAAACTTTTCTATACCGTCACATACTTAGACATCTCGGGATGGTTTACAACAAGTTCTTATCATTCTTATGTAGCTGACCAAGCTTTCTATTCAGCAAGGATGATCAAAGATCAAACTCACAAGTAGTTAATATCACATTACCAAGGATCTTGTCCACATACTGTGGGTATACAAACTGAAATGTATCCTTCATAAACATAGATTGAACTGCAGACAAAAAGTATTTTCTGTTTGTATCAGTGCCATGCAATTTTTAGTTTTGATTCTCTGAACAAAGCTCTCAAATGTATAAATAGGAACAGTTTTGCCTTTGATAGTTTTAACTATCAAATCCCACATGGTGTTGTGTCCTTTTAAAAAAATAGTTTTATGATATTTTGTGAGCAATCTGGGACTATATAGCAGGATGACATTTTCACAACCTAGACAAGATAACTTTTAAACATAGATCAGTATAAGGGTGCTTTTATGTATCTCTTTTGGTATTTATACCAGAGAGAATTCATATTATTTCTGTAACTTACCTATAGGAAACTCGAGCCCAACAGTGAGCTCAATAGTATCATAAAGAAAGGTGAAAACTGCCTGGTGATCATTCCATTCTTTTACTACCCACTCAGAGAAGCTAGAAAGAGAAAGAAAAACGATTCTGCAATCAGACATTAATCAATGATAAAAAAAATAGGAGGGATGAGATATGAATACACACAAACTAGCAATTCAATCACTATTTTTAAAAAGTGGAGTTCTGTAGTCATGAGCTACTTTCTCCAAACAAACCAAAGATGTATTTCCATCTTCGTCTCATATTTGACAGCATGTCCCAACATGCTGCCTTGTCCTAAAAAATGAACAGAGAAAGGAAATGAAATTCTGTGCTAATATATACTTAATCATGTGATAAAATCATAATAGTTCCAAAATCACTGTATATGCATATTAGTCACCCTCACTATTTATATGTGAATACTGAAAGTAACAAACAGGGAAGCAGGAAGGTGGTTTCTAGCAGGGTAGAAGAGTCTCTACCAACTGCAGAGATCTTTTACTAACAAATATGAGAAGCTGGGGTGAGAGGGAGAAAGAAAGAAAGAGTGAATGCACAGGGAAAAGTAACTCCTACTACCTTTTGTCTAATCTGAGGTAGACATTCCTTGTGTATGTGATCAAGGAGTGAAGGAATAGCCCTGTGAACAGAGAGCTACATGCAGGCCAGTCAGGAGAGGTAGCTTCCTTTCAAATTAGCACAAGCTGCTTTGAATGAACTTTACAGCTAAAGTTTTTTTTTTTTGCGGGGGGGGGGAGCTCCACCCCCCCCACTTTGTTCCTAAGATCACTGCAGGTGCTAGGGTACTTTGGAGTCAGGGAAGAACTCTAGAGATGGAAAAATCTGCTGGTTATACACAGCTTCTTCCTCCCTTCAACTTTATTAATCCCCATTTGTTCTTAATTAGAAGACTACTTCTAGCTGACATCTTATGGTATTGCTGTAGCTTTTTTTTCTTCAAAAAGAAGATAGCACTTTTACTGTACAGTGTTATTGTCAAACACAAGCAAGCTTCTGAGTTCAAGAAGTAGCTGTGCAAATTTTAATTTACTCTTGTCATTTGAACACCAATGCAGGTTATTATTTTATAGCACTTATTTTCTAGGATCAGTCAAACAACTATACATAGAAAAAGGGAGGGGATTTTAATGTAATGGTTTAATTGCCTGGATCAATGTGCAGATAGCAAATTTCATTATAGCTAATTTCTGTGTTGTACTTTAACATGAGCTATCAGTCTGTTGTCTTGTTTGCTATGTGTTGTCAAAGTTTTTTCTGACCTATGGCAACCCTATAAATAAAAGCCCTCCAAAAAGTCATATCTATGACATCTCTGCTTAGCTGTTCTAAATTCAAGATTGTGGCTCCTTTTGTGGAAACAATCAATCTCATTTTCATCTTCGGTTTCAACTTTTCCTTGCCGGATTGCTTTCTCCAATTAGACTTGCCTTCTCATGATGCATCCCAAGTATGACAGTCACAGTTTTTTCATTTTTGCTTCTAGGGAAAGTTTGGCTTGATTTAATCTAGGACCTACTTGTTTGTCTTTCCATTGGTCCAGGGTATTCACAAAGCACTCTTCCAGCACCCTGCTTTGAACACAATTTTCTTTCTGTCAGCTTTCTATACTGTCCAGCTTTCACACTTACACATAGTAAACGGGATTACAATCATGTGAATGATGTTGGCCTTGGATTCCAGTGAAACATCCTTACATTTGATGATCTTTTGTTTCCTTCATTGCTGCCCTTCCAAGTCTCAGTCGTCTTCAAATTTCTTGACTGCAGTCTCCATTTGAATTTAATGACTGAGTCAAGGTATGTAAAATCTTCCAGAATTTCAATTCTTCATTGCTGACAGTAGTTCTTCTGTGGACATGATTTTTGGTTTCCTAATATTCAGCTGCAGTCCTGCTTTTGCACTTTCTTCTTTCATTTTCAGCAGGAGTTGTTACAAGTCATTATTTTCTGCCAATAAGATTGTATCATCCGCATAACTTAAATTATTGATGTGTCTTTTGTCAATTTTCTCTCCTTCCTGTGATTCTAATCCATTTTTCCTTATAATATGTTCTGCATACAGATTGAACAAATAGGGAAATAAAATACAGCCTTGTCTGATATCTTTGTCTATAAATAACCATTCTGTTTCTCCATATTCTGTCCTTGCAATAACTTTTTGTCCATGATACAGATTATGCATCAGGACAATCAAGTGCTGAGACACACCCATTTCTTTCAAAACCATCCATAGCTTCTCATGATCCACCCATGAAAAGGCTTTGCTGTAGTCTATAAAGCACAGACTGATCCTTGGAACTTATTTCGTGTTGTCTAGTAGCCAGTAGGTATTTGCAATGTGATCTCTAATGCCTCTTTTCTTTCAGAATCCAGTTTGAACATTGGGCATTTCTTGCTCCATATAGGATTTTCTTTGTTGAAACACTGTGTATCAGTTTGCTTGCATGGGAAATTAGTGCAATGGTCCTATGGCTGATGCATTCCTCTTTCTTGGGGATTATTTATTTATTTATTAAAACATTTTTATGCCGCCCCATTTGCCGAAGCCTCGGGGCGGCTTACAACATAAGAATGCATAGCTTAGAATGCATAGTGAACATTTCTAGTCTATGGGTCACTGTTTTGTTTTCCAGATTATTTGAATATTTTTGTTAGGATTTGGACTGATTCAGTATCTGCAGCTTGGGAAAGTTTTACTACAATTCTGTCTACTCTGGGTGCTTTATTCTTTGCAAGGGCTTAAAGAGCTACTTTCACTTCACTTTTTAATATTGCAGGCTCTTGCTTACAGGTTTCCCCTTTTAAGGAATCTGTCAACCTTTCATCTCGCCTTCATAGTTCTATATATTGCTTCTACTTTCTCTTTATATTCTTCTGGTAGGATAGTATGTTCCCTTGTTTGTCTTTCAGCTTTCTACTTTAGGTTTGAATTTCCATTTCATTTCCTGTATCTTCTAGAACAGGTCTTCCTTTTTTGTTCTTTTGTCTCTACTTCTTCACACTGGTTGCTGTAATAGTGATTTATGTCTCTGTATTATAGTTGCTGAAAAGTTACGTTCAGGATTATGACCATATTTCTGTCAACTTTTACTTCTTACTTGTCCTTGGCAATTCTGAGTATTTCGGCTATCATTCATCTAGGCTTTTTCTTTCCTTTTGTTACAGGGGTTGCTTTTTGGCATTCTGCCTTAATTATGTCTTTTGTTTCAGTCCACAGTTCTTCAGGCTCACACTCAATTGAGTAAAGCAAATTTGTTCTTATGCAGGCTTTAAGTTCCTCAGGAATGTCATTTAAGTTGTATTATGGCACTATGTTTCTGTCAGCAAACTTTTTCAGATTTATTCTGATTTTTCATATTAAGAGTCACTACTACAATCTGCTCTTGTTTTGGCAGCAAGAATACAGTGACATAATCAGTGGCATAATCTATTTGATTTCTGTATTAGCTATCAGGTGATGACCATTTATACAGTTGTCTGAGAGGTTGATTGAAGTATGTATTTGCGATGAATAGGTTGCTGGCTTCACAGAATTCTATGAGTCATTCTCCTGCTTTATCTTATCCGTAGGCCAAATTCTCCGACAACATTTGATTATGCTTTATTTCCTACTTTTGCATTCCAGTCACCCAGCATTGTTAGCATGTCTTGTTTTGTGTGTTATCAATTCATTCTTAGACACCTGCATAATAGTTTTCAATTTCTTTTCAGCATCTGGTCACTGGAGCATAGACTTGAATGATGGTTATGTTGATAGGTTTTCCACTAATTCTGACTGATATTACTTGGTCAGATTTTGCATTTTAGCCCCTTACAACCTTGGGGCTACTTCTTGCTGAGTATTCTTCTGTCATTTCTGGAGTAAATGACTTTGTGTTTGCCCGACTGAAAATGTTGCATTCCAGTCCACTTTAATTTGCTCACACTGAGTACTATGATATTTAGCCATTCCATTTCTTGCCTTGTTTCATACTTCTGGCATTCCATGTTCCAAATGTACGTGTTGTGCAGCATTGGATTCTCCTTTCACCTCTGTGCATGTCAGCCACTAGACTTTGGATTTGATCTAGTTGTGTCATTAGTGATAGAGCTATTCATACTTGTCCTTTGTTCTTCCACAGTAGTTCATTATGTGCCTTCCAACCTGGCGGGGGTGGGGAATCTTATTTTCTGGCACTATCCATTTGTTCGTTTTGGATTGTTTCATCACAGGGTTTTCAAGGTATGAAGATGCAGAAGTAGTTTACCATTGCCTTTTTTTTTTTTTTTTGCATATTGCTAACCAGGGTTGGTTTGAACATCACTGCCATTGTCTGTGAAAGCACCGGTGTTGCTGCCCAATAGCTGCCTTTCAGAAGTTTCTCTGCCACATCACCACTGGAGTCACCCATTCCCTTTTGCTGATGTGGCTGTTACTCCTGAAGAGAGTGGATACTTCTTAGTCTAGTGCCTCAGCTTTGACTGTTCTCTCTTACATGTCCCTGCTAGAATATCAGCCTAGTGAGACAGTCTAGCTTCATGGCAACACTGCTCTCTTTCACTGACACTCTCAAATCCCCTCACCACATTAAGGTGTACATCCAAGAGGGGGACCATTACCTTACACAGCTATAATTTTAACATCTAATGAAAACACAGAAACAGAGTGAGTCAGAAGGGGTCTCCCAGGCCATATAGTCTAACCTCCGGCTTTAGCCAGCTCCACTCATGACATGCCTACCATGTGCATGTCCAGCCCATCCTTGAACACCCTCATTGATGGTGCCTCAACCACTTCAGGTGGAAACCCATTCCATACCCTTGGGGTCCTAACTGTCAGGAAGTACTTCCTGGCATCTAAATTGAACCTTGGTTCCCTGAGCTTTGCTCCACTGGAGCACGTCCTGCCCTTCCCTGCAGGGGTGAACAGGTCTCTACCCACCTCCATGTGACACCCCCTCACATACCTATATGTCACCAACATATCCTCTGAGTTTCCTCTTCTCCAGGCTGAAAAGATCCAGTTCCCTCAGTCTCGCCTCATACGGCTTTCCTTGCAATCCGGCCACCATCCTTGTGGCCCTATGCTGCACTGACTCTAACCTGACTATATCCTTCCTGTAATGAGGGGCCCAGAACTGAATACAATACTCTAGTTGCAGGTGCACCAGAATCGTATAGAATGGTAGTAATAACTCTCTCGATCTAGAAGCCACATTTCTGGCTATGTAACCAGTGCCGTTTGCCCTCTAGACCACCACATCACACTGCTGACTCATGTTTAGCCTGCAGTCAACCAGCACCCTGAGATCCCTTTCACAAGTGCTGCTCTCCAGCCACTTGTCCACTAACCTGTACGTATGACACCCATTCCTATGCCCCAAATGCAACATCTTGCACTTATCCACATTAAACACCATCCTGTTGTCTCCTGCCCACTTCCACAGTCTGTCCAGATCCCTTTTGGATCTGGAGTTGTGGCCACTGCCCCGGTTTTAGTATCACCTGCGAATCTGGTCAGCAGACCGTTCACCCCTTCTTCCATGTCATTGATGAAAAGATTCAACAGGATTGGCTCCAGGACAGAGCCCTGGGGGACCCCGCTTGTCACTGGCTGCCATCCTGATGATTTCCCACTAATGGTTACCCTCTGCTTTCGGTCAGTCAACCATGCCCTAATCCCTTGGACAGTGCATTGGTCTATCTCAAAACTCCTCAATTCTCAACCAGGATATCATGGAGTATTTTGTCAAAAGCCTTGCTGAAATCCAGGTAAACCACATCCACTGCGTCCCCTCCGTCTAGCCACCTTGAAACCTTGTCATAGAATTCAACAAGGTTTAAACATATATTTAAACATAAATATGTTTCCCAAGCAGTACAAATCATCTGTTTAAGACCATGCCATTCATGTTTGAAAGTGAAAGGGAGTTACAAAATAACCCAACTACACTCTAGATTCACTGATGACAGGGATGAAACTCAGGAGTACCACTCAACTTAAGTACATACTGATAAGATATACTGGCATGGAACTACTTGGATCATGAGTGACATCACAGTAAAATCACCTTTAATTGAATTGACTTACTTGTAACTCTGCATGAGTTCTTGACAGTTGGTTGCATCTTTCTGGAGATGGCTTATCTCAGAAACTAACTGCTGCTTTTTTTCTCTAAGATTTGACTGATTTCTGCAGAAGTCCAAAAAAAGTAAGTGAAACATGGGAACACAGTTCAATGAATAGTGCTAAACAACAGGATGAAAATGTAGGGCACAATCTAAGGCTAATTATTACCTTTGAATTGCTTCCTCTTGGGCTCTATAGTTTTCCAGTTCTAAGAATGAGAAAAACATACCTTAAGAATTAAGTAGAAGATAACAAGCAAAGCTGTTTCTTATATCTGATTAAATAGGCCTAGCTTACCAAAAAGGTAAGTTTTATCCCCAAAAGCAAAATTGTACTCAATAAAATTCCTACATGTAGGGTTTTGTATATGATGATCCCACAGTCATAGAAAGATACATCCAGCCAAGCTTTACAAAGAACTGGGCACATCCAAAATTGCACAAACAGACTTCCAATTATGTAACAGGGTTTCCCTTTCATCTCCCTCCCTCTGTACCCCCAAAATCTGTTATGGAGATGTTAGAGAAATGGAGAACCCATTTTGTTGACAGTATACATTCAGCTGGACAAGTGATACTGGATTTCAGCCTGTATACTTTGAATATTACACATACTGATCTCTATGAGGAATTTCATCAGTCCAAGCAGCTATAAGTTAGCCACTCCCAATTGTGTCCACTGGAGCAGTCAGTTCAGCATCAATATAGACTTGAGGATCAGTGAGGGGGTTGCTGTGGCCTATAACAATTTAATCTCTCTCTTCTGGTACCCTGTCTGACTAATAGTCTACTATTTGTTCTCTATATTGAGCCAGCAGGACAGATTGGGGATCCTGCTAGTGTACCTCCACCCTGCATCTCATCACTTTCCCAACATTTCCTGACACAGGTGATCTTGGATGTGTTGTTGGGGTCCCCCAGGCTGTTGGTTGTGGAGGAAGTCAACATTTGTGAAAAGCACATCTTTCTGGGGTGCTCAGGATTTCATGGACTCCATGAAAGGTGGAGGCTTTGGTCTTGCTTTGGTCTAGTCAAAGTTCATGACTTTGAGGCTAATTGATCTGCAGTTTCTACAGGGTTCTGAGGAGCTTTCCATCTAATATGGCTGGAGTTCCTGTTGAAACTATGGGCCATCTGTGGAACATGAAGATGAACCAGATGTTTGACATGATTGCTCTTGAGTGCAAAAGTGAGTTGTCTCATGCTGCCTGAAAGAGATAGTGGTAAGACCACTCCAGAAGAAATCCTTCCTTCACCCAGAAGACCTGAAGAACTTTAGGCCAGTAGCAAATGTTTCTTTCTTGGGCAAAGTTATTGAGCAGGTGTTTGCCAACCAACTCCAGACACTCTTGGATGAGACTGATTGTCTGATTCCATTTCAATCAGGATTGAGGTGAGGTTTTGGCATGGAAATGGCTTTGGTCACTCTGTAGGCCAGGAGAGACATGGTATGTGTGACCTTGTTGATACTCCTGGCTGGAACTCTCATCATGACCACGGTATCCTTCTAGGTGACTCTCTGAGTTGGGTGTACTGCATTGCAGTGGTTCTGCTCTTATTTGAAGGGGCTTCTCCAGAAGTGGGTGCTTGGGAAATACTATTGAATTTCATGGATTCAGTCTCCCATGATATTTAACATCTGCATGAAACCACTGAGTGGAAATGCATTGCCACCAGCATGCAGATGACACACAGTCCTATTTTTCCTCATCTTCAGTAGATGAAACTGTAGATATGCTAAACTGGTTCCTGGCTGCAGCAAACTGAAGCTCAATCCAAACAAGGCTGATATGCTATTAGTAGGTGATCATCTGACTGAATGGAAGGTGTTTAATCTGTTCTGGAAGGGACTGTACTTCTTGAAGGAGCATGTTCATAACTTGGTGGTTCTCATTCATTCCTCTTTGTCTCTTCAGGCTCAGGTAGCCTCAGTGGCATGGAGTACCTTCTACTAATGTTGGCTGGCAGCCCAGCTACACCCCTATCAGGACAGCAATAACCTGGTTTCAGTAATCTGAGCTAGTCATCTCTAAATTATATTAGAGAAATGCTCGTTGTGTGGGGCTGCTTACAAACCATTCAGAAGTTGCAGCTTGTTTGAAGAACAACAGCCAAACTAATAAATTGGGCCAGTAGGCCTGAATATATAAGAGCAATTCTGACCTGATTGCTCTGTATGCTTCTGAACCCAATTAAAAGTGCTGGTTTTAACCTTTCATGGCTTGGGTCCACAATACCTGATGGAGCACCTCTCCCAGCAGCAATCAACTTGGGCACTATGTTCAACATCTGAAGCCTTCCTCCTTGTGCCAACTCAGAGGGTGGCCTGGTATCTATGGAATGACCTTTCCACTGAGGCCAGCATGGCACCAACCTTGTCATTTCCTTGGTACCAGGTTAAGGCAGCCCTTTATGCCAAGGCTTTTGAAGATACACTTGGATATTCAAGGGCTGGAGGAGATTACCCATCCCCGATTTTACATGGCTAATCTTCATTGGATGTTGGTGTTAAAAAGTTTTAAAATGTTTGTATTTTGATATGCTTTTATGGTAGTTTATTGCACAGCTTTACGACTCCATTGTAAATTGCCCAAAAAACTTCAACTATTGGACAGCATAAAAATAAACAAATAATATTAGAAATAATAAAGTAATTTTTAAGCAATGGTAGGACACAGGGATATGTTCCTCTTGTATTTCTGAAATGTTTAAAAAGGTGGACATTATACAAATACAACAATCACCTCTCCAACATTTATCTACAAACTTCTGCAACATGTACTTCAAAGGAGTTCTATTACCTCTTTCAGTTTCTCTCAGCTTGGCCTCATATTCTGCAGTGGTATCACTGACATCTGGCTCAGAGTCTTCTAAAAGAGCAGTTTCTAAAAATCAAGACATGTTTTATAAGGACATCTGATGAAATGAACTTTAATCTACTTATTATTATTAGTGTAAGCCACCAATGCTGGAGAAGACTCCTGCGAGTCCCTTGGACTGCAAGGCAATAAAACCAGTCAGTCCTAGAGGAGATCAACCCTGACTGCTCTTTAGAAGGCCACATAGTGAAGATGAAACTCAAATACTTTGGCCACCTAATGAGAAGGACGGACTCACTGAGAAGAGCCTGATGCTGGGAACAATAGACGGCAAAAGAAGGGGACGGCAGAGGATGAGGTGGCTAGATGGAGTCACTGAAGCAGTCAACGTGAGCTTAAGTGGACTCTGGGGGATGGTGGAGGACAGGAAGGCCTAGAGGAATGTTGTCCATGGGGTTGCGATGGGTCAGACATGACTTTGCGACTAACAACAACAAAGCCACCAAAGCTTATAACTTTACACTGCTGCTTTGCTACAATGGAATGACATAGCTACCCTTCTGCATTCCCAGAAATTGGAAGTAATTGTTGTAGCAGAAAATAAAAGCTCACAGGATGTGGACCTTCCTGTCAAGGGAGGCTAGCCTGGATTCCTGTCTGCTGTTCTTCCACCGCCAAGGAAATACATTTTTATTCAAACATCCCCTTTGGTGTGTAAGTTGGGCATGCAGGGTGGGTGCCATTTTCATTTTTTTAAAAAATGTATTAGTATGGTGTGGTGGTTAGAGTGTTGGCCTCGGGACCCAGGAGATCTGGATTCTAGTCCTCACTTGGTCATGAAACTCACAGGGTGATTGTGGGCCAATCACAGACTCTCAGTCCAACCTACCTCACAGGGTGGTTGTTGTGAGGATAAAATGGAGGTATGTAAGCCTCCTTGGGTTTCTTCCAAGAGGAAAAATAGTGGGATATATTTACAATGTAATAATAATCATTGTTTTAAGTAAGTTTGTATTAAAATATTGTTAGTTCGTATCATTGTAAGTCAACTTCAGTGCCATTTTCTTGATATAAAGGTTGAATACAAATCAAATCAATCAATAATAAAAGTTAAGCTGTCTAGAAACTTAAGGTTGTACCTGTTTTCAAAGCAACAATACAGCTATCAATTTCTTTCATGAGTTTATCCATTTTTGCTAGTCTTGATTGTAGATTTTCTCTCTGGAACTTCAATTAAAATTGATATTTAGACCATAATGTAATAGGTAAAACTGATATTAGCAATAACCTTTCATAATACGAAGCTAACTTCCAAATAAAGCTAATTTTTACAATAGTTCTCCATTGTATTGACATAATGTATTTACACGATTTCAGCAACATTCCTGTTTCATTCACCATTACCCAAATAAACCAGTCGCCAGTTCTGTCAGTCACAGATACCAGACTAATTAAAGATTGACATTTCTGTGCTTTTCAATTATTTGAATGAGGGATTTAAAAAATAACAGTTTAATGTACTGGATGAATTGCTGGGTTATGATGTAGGTGACTCAAGTTCAAATATGAACTCAGTTCAGTTTGCAGCCTTGAACAAGTAATTTCTAAACTGAAAATAAAGAAGTGTTATAAAGTATACTGCAAACTAACAGAACAATAAAAAGAGAATAAGAGTGTAAATGTTAACTATAATGCTAAAGGTTATCCTACAAAGCCCCGCTCCTCTCTAAACAGTGTGAGATGCCATAAAATGAAGATCGTGTTTGGAGTAGAATCTACTACAATCTGGTAGTACTAGACTAAATGTAGGGCATCTTAGTTGTTTTGAATGATGGTATTTTGCCATTTAAAAAAAGTTCAACTTTCATAGAACTATCCTATATCCATACAAATTTCCATTTTATTCTTTATTAATGACATGTGAAGAAATATACAGCATCTAATATGGTGGGGTGGGGGGAATCCATCTTTTGCAGAGTATACCAGATTGTTTTGTAAAGTTTTAATATGCAGCAGGTACAGACGTAGAAGACTTGAATTCAAATCCCCGAGAGGAAGTGGAGTTAAGTCATCATCTTTCAGTCTAATCTATTTGAGGAAAATAGAACAACCCATATATGCTGACCTGAGCTCACCACAGGAATGAGATACATAAAGGATATACTTAGTTTCAATGCATTGACAAATGCCCAGCCATTATCTTAAATGATTACTTTAAATAATGTTACCTGAGCACTCTGTACCAACTTCGCATATAACTGTGCTTTTCTCCTGTGAGCAAGTACTTTACTCTTTTTGGTAAAATACGATTTCTGTTTGTTCAGCTCTGCTCCAAAGCTTTTCAACTGTAGTGAAATTTGAGATAATAACAGCATGAGTAAACACAAAGGCACAAAGTTTAGGAGCAGGTACACTGCAGTCACAATGGGCTGGATCCAGATATAGTTCATATAACAGGGTTGACAGGAGAAGACTCCCCCCATGACATCTCTTCTACTGACCTGGTCCCCAAATGCTACAGAGGGCAACAGGATACTGCTGAATGAAGTATGCTGTGGTGGTGGTAGGGAAAGTCATCAGAAATCAGGTAGATACACGTTCTCTGTGTGTAACCATATAAAGGCCCTCAGTGTTGAGCAAGTTTGTTGCTATAACTGAGTGTTTACATGGCTTTCTTTTAGGTTATACAACTAGAAAAACAGCCCACTGTCCAAAATAAAAGTAACCACGCATGTGAGGGTGAGGCAAAAAGAAAAATAGAGGGGCAACCAAGTTCAAACAAAGAAACTTAAGAAGAACTGCAGCACTGGTGCAGACTTCTCCTAATATCTGCAATCATACAAAATTATTTACATTATTATGTACATGGTTAACTGTTGTTATTTGTTGCTTTGTTTATTGATTGTTGTGCTTCTTGTAAGCCATCCTAGGATGATTTTCAAATAGGACAGGATACAAAAACTTTAAATAAACAAATAACATAAGATAGTTACTAATACCTCCTCATCAGAACAGGTCCTCATTACTTCCCACAGGCTTTTATGCATATTTGCCAGAAGTTTATCTTGGTCAACTGCATGCAACTTTAATCTGAAAGATTAATACATTTATATGTCAACAAATATATATATATATAGGTCAACATTAGGCTCCGGATATGCTTCCCTTTTGAGAGGCATAGAGCACAATTCCATGCATTTAGGCAGGAAAAAAGTTCTACAACGCCCAGCATTTCTTAGCCAACCATGACAGCTTGGAGAGGCTGGGGGTTGTAGGACATTTTTCTTTCCAAATACACAGAGCTGCATTCTTAGTAATATCTTTAAGTTTCTGTGCTAAAACATATTCTATTCCTCACTGCTTTTAAAGTTCAAACTATTGTAGCAATTTTAAAATGACTTTTTATTATCAGTAGATCATTAAATTAAACAGAAAGATATTGGCTGGCAATGGAAGTTTTCTCATGGGGAAGAGGGTATTTTTAGGGCAAAAGACATTGCCCTGACAACTCATTATTATTATGAGATTGTTTGCTCTATAGTGGGTGGTTGCATTATCCTGAACCAGAAGAGACATTTCATTTTGAGCTGCCAGGATTGGCTGGTGAGCGGCTCAGAAAAAATGACAAAATCCCATCATTCTTTGTGATCATCTTTTTTACTAGATATGCTTTCTTCCTTTGTCAATTTCCATGTACTCGTACTTTATCTACTTGACTTTATTGCTGTTTTTGACAATTGTAACATACAAGGAAATTTCCCAAATAAGACTACACATATCCAACAGCAATAACAGTGCTATTGCAAAAGACCAACAATAATAATAAATAAAATTATGAACACATGAAAAAATGATCCCAGCTGCACATTTCTGACAATTTGAACATTTGAAAAAGTACTGGGATACCAGCTGGAGAACTGAGGGGAGGGAAAGGGGAAAATAAGCCATAGGGTTGCTCCATGAATAACATGCACTATGTAAGCTTGGAAGCAGGGTGGTAGAGATGACATGAGAACATGGCTGTTAGTATCACCTGAATGTTCTGAACACACTCTAAAGAGGGCAAAAAAGTCCAAATCACTATTTAGGGTAGCTTTCAACACTCCAGAAACTATTGCCATGCAGAGCTTATTGACTACCAAATACTGCAACTCATGTCAGGTTTGTTATATGTTCTTTGTTCAAAGGAAAGGGTACTGCACAAACAAAAATGGAAAACATCTTACTCTTCTATAACTTCACAGAAAGCACGACAGTCTTCTTCATAAACTTCTAATTTGGGACGATAAATAAACTGGCTGAGAATTTCATCTTCTGGAGTAGGAGGTGTGGTGACTGCATACTACAGAGAACAAAACTCCAACAGTTAAGAATCCAAAAGTCATGATATATACACAGATAATAACCACAGTCAGAACTTAAGCATATTATTTCTTGCTGCCGCAATTCCAGAGAGAACTGCTTTTGAATTGCACAGTGGCTTCATTAGACGTGCCAATAAGACGGACAAAACTAAGCTTTAGCAAAGTTTTAATGAAAATGCAGGTTGCCCGGAATGGTTACATCAAGAGCTATGAAATTCCATACAGGTAGCACTGGATCTCAGTTAACTTCTGTTATTATCATCACATTTATTTAGAAATGTTAGCTGCTATTTTAGATTTTATCAGAAAGATAGCTACTGGAGTTGTATCATTACAAAAATTTTGGGATGACTTACAAATTAATACTTAACATGTACATCTGTATATGTAAATACTTACTTTGGGTGGGAGCTGACTCTGACGAGGTTTCTGTATCAGAGCATGAACTTGGAGAAGTGTAAAAAATTCCCGGACTGTGATAGTACCTTCCTGCAGTTTCTGAAAATGAAGAATCCAAGCATAACTATTTAAAATAGGCTTTTTATTAATTATATTTATATCCTGCCATTCAACTTTCAAGGAACCTTACGTAATTCTTCTTCCCTGTCCAATCTTATCCTTACAACAACCCTGTGAGGCAGGTTGGGCTAAGAGTGGCCCAGAGTCACCCAGTGACTTGCCAGCTTCATGACTCAGTTCTCCAGAGTTCTAGTCTCACATAATCTTAACCCTTTCAACACACTGGCTCTCAGTATTACTTGAAAGTTTACATCACAAACTACCAATATTTATTTTTAATTTCATGTCATTTATAACCCACTTTTCTGCACAAAAATGCAATTGTATATAAACAATTAAAATATACAAAGATTAAATCAAGAGAAAAAAGCAGTACAGAACAACGTCAAATAAAGCAACACAAAAACAAAACAGCAGAAAAATTAAACACCAAAAGCCTGTGTGAATAAAGATGTATTGAATATCTATCTAAAACAGAAAGAGATGCCTCTTGGGTCTCACAAACAGGGCATTCCATAACATGGTTATATACTTCGTAACAGAGAAGGGGACTTAGAAGGTTTTAAGCTTTTCGTATTACCTCCTGCAAATTTTGTTCACAAATACTGTCCATGAGAAGCTGAGTCATTTCACTATTTTGTTGAACTAGGAAGAAAATGTAAATATGAGTAAGAATTCCTCATCTGTTCAGCACAACAGAACAATACCAAGATGATACCCCTCTATCAGAAGCAGACTTGCTTAAAAGAGCAAAGGGATTTTCATAATATTTTACTTAATTTAGAATTCTAATCCTTTAATAGATAAAGTCTCGGTGATCTTTGAGATCTTCACAACGAGAACTGCTTATACCCCAGAGTTGGAAAGCTTCTAGCTTGTAAGAGCTGCCAATATATCCCATTGACGTCTCTCACCTACACACCACCCTCTCCCTACCTCTCAGATCAAAATCAATAATCTCCAACTGATGAGAGTTTGGAGATTTCCTCAGCTGAAATCTTTCATTTCCAGTCTCTGATCAGAAACAGATTTTGCCATCCCTTCCCACTCCCATCATCCTAAATCTATGCTGTAAAAGGGGTCCTGACATATGTTCCTGGAGGCATTTTGGCATATGGGTTCCTTTCTCTGCTATAGCCCAATCTATAGCACAGAGGATTATAACATTTCTAATGGTTATAAAGAGTAAAGGAATTGATATCTTAACATTCTAGAATCCAAGGTCAATCAATATTTATTCAGAAAGTGTATTTGATTCAAATTATTCCATAACAGCTAACAACAAAAGTGCTCAGCAGCCCATGGTCTCTTGGTCAGAGACCATGTTAGAGTACAGAATGCCCTTCCATTAAGAAAGTGAGAGTAAATGGCAGTTGGAGCACTGTCCCTTCGGAGCAGGTGTATGTGTTCATTTTCTGTCCAATGCTGGGGCTCTGACTGGTATTCCCCTTGCCATCTTATTTGTCCTGGGAGGAAGGGAAAGGCTACAACCCCACAGTGGCCCTTATTCTAACAAATCCAATTGACACTTGCATCAACCTAAACAAAAGGCTTCCAACATAAGCAACTTATGGAATTTATTCTAACAGTATATGGTGATGCCCCTGTCTTAGACAGCTTTCAGCAAGAACCATAATAGCAAGGAATACCAGTAGAAAAAGTATCTACCAGTAGAAAAAGTATACCTCCACAACTGGTGGGGCAAACAAGAGATGTCTATATCCACTGGGGTCCGCTAGTGAACTTGCTAGCCAGTGCTTGGGGATAAAATACTAAAGTACATAGACATCTAGTCTTAGTCAGCAAAGGCTACTATGAACTTAACCTCACCCTGTGCAGTTCAGGGTGCAGAATTAATTTGTACACCATACCAGGTAGGGAAGGAGAAAGGGTAAGCTATGCTACCACCATAACTACAAAGTGTATGGGAATAAGGAACCATCTATATTTAGATACCTTCTAACCATACAGAAATATTCCAGAACATCATTAGAAACAGTAGTTTGGATCATAAGATAAGAAAACAAGTTCATAGAAAGTCTTTCATTTTCTCTTTCCAATTGTAGTCATATATGACCTTCTAAAAATCTCTCTGGGGAATCAGGAAGCCCTTTGGAGAACGTGGGATAGGACACAGGGGCTTCTAGAAGATTGCCCAGCATTGGATAGACATTGGCCTTACTTGGAGCAGTTCCCCACTCCCTACCCCACCGTTCCCTTGCTCTAAGAACTTATGGAATAGTGTTGAAATGATTGCATAGGCCATTGTATGGTTGCCTAAAGAGGCAGAGCCATGAATAATGAGAGCAGGGCAGAATACAATACTACAGTAAGTTATTCTGAGAAACCCCCTATGGCTTTTAGAAAAACAGGAGCCCTTGGAAAACACTAGATAGAGGAATATAGAGAATGACTTGTGTAAAAGCATGTCCATCTTATTTGTTTAGCTCTGCCTCTGAAGCAAGCAATTCCAGGATACCCTTCATCACTGCAGGAGAAACATCAGCCACATAACACAACAATATAAAGTGTTTTTATTTACTAGGTTAGCCAAAGCAGATTAATCAGGTTAGAAAGAATTCTTACTACTGAAGTCTATATCAGCCTTCACTGAGTCCAAAGAGCTGCTGTTGCTGTTTTGTGTCTTTTCCAGATTTGTAGCCATCACTTCTGGAACATTTTTACCATCAAGGGTTTCTGCAGGATTATGAGCTACCACTGTGCTATAGAGTGGCTGAAATTAAAACAGCAATTATTCAATACATATTATATTAACAGAATTTCTCTGCAAATATGCAAAATATTCCTGTTCATTGTAGGTTATCAATAGGAGCAAATTTTAGATTTTCAGTGGTGGAATGTTATGCACACAGTTGGTAGAAACACAGAAAGCTTTGTTACAGTGCTTGCTTAGCTTGGAATAAGTCCTACTGAATTCAATGGTGCTTACTTAAGAATCAAAGTATACAATATTTCACTATACAACTTATTTACAAAGAAAATTCACACACAGAATTTTCAATGGAAGTACAGCAGACTTTCAAGTCATACTACTTGATCTAAAATATCATTAAGTGTAAGTTATTGCTACCTTTAATATCCATATGTTGCTTCAAGGCTAGTATAATTGTGAGAGCAGTACTCAACACTAAACACTGTGAAATACTTTTTAGTTCAGCTGTATGTACATTAGTATATACTAGACCTAATTTGAAGCTATGAACCACTCTTCATGACCCTAACCCTAGAGGACTAGTAAGTGGTATGCTTGATGATTAAGAGTATGACCCTATGCCTCCCCCATGAGACTTCATCTGGGAGTGCAATGCTAATTTGTATTCCCACATCTGTGTTCAAAGACAGAGCTTTGACCTTGCACCAGGGAGTTAATGCTCCAATCCCCTGCCTACCCCCTACAGCTCTCTGAGATCAGGAAAACAACATCAGTGGAGGGGAGCAGGGGCATTCTAGGGAGTAGGGAAAGGTAGAGACTGGGGATTGCAGGATATTATGGATTCTGGCAGGATCCCAGCCATCTACCTCCTAGCCTCCTCAGATGCACCCCAGCCATACCTCCAGAAATGGTTATCTACAGTGCTTTTTTTGTAAAAAAAAAAAAAAAGGTGCTGGAACTCATGTCCCTGCCTACAGTAAGCACACACACCAATCCCAAGCCGAGCAGGGAGCAGCAACCAATCCCAAGCAGCTATCTCTCACTATCAGATAGCAGATAGCAGACACAATAGCAGTCTGCAGGCACTATGTTAATGATGTTTGCTGCTGATCTGGTACTCCAATCAAAATCACTTCGTAAAATCCATTGAAAAAAAGGTGCAGGAACGCCGTTCTGGTGCGTTCTATGACAAAAAAAAGTCCAGGTCGTCTAACTGAAATGCAGAACAGGAGGTTTAGGGAGATTAAGATTGCCTCCTCTTCTCCTGCTCTGTACTGATGCTTGTAAGCCTCTGTGTTCAAGGGATTACGAGCACTGAGGATACAATTAATTGCACCAAGTATAACAGATCCAATGAAAGAAAAAAAGTCAGAAAAAAATTTAAAAGGTTGTTTATGATTATTTTTAAAGTCTTTTCGATGATCCTAATTTTTTCACACTGCATTTTCTTTCGAAAATAAAATAAAAAACATTTGAAGAAAAAAGATAAAGCTAGGTTCTAGAAGAAAGCATTAGGATAAATCAACATGTATGCACACATACAGGTACACCACAGTAGCTCTTCCAGTAGCCTTATAAATTAGACAAATATTGAATTAATTTCTATCCCTAACACAGGCAGAAAATTATTAGAAAATTTATAGCTTTTGGACTGGGGACCCAGAAGATCTGGGTTCTAGTTCCCATTCAGCTGTGAAGTTCACTGGCCCCAAGTTACCTCACAGGGTTGTTGCTGTGAGGATAAAATGGAGCTATGTAAGCTGCCTTTGGTTCTCGCAAGAGGGGAAAGGGTCAGGATATAATGCAATGTGGTAATGATACTTTATTCTATAATCCATAGAAGAATTAACAAATTGGAAAAGGTAACTATGTGCCAAAATAATAGATTCACACGTACCTGCTTTAACTCTGCAGTATCATTCCAGGCATCATCAACTTTCAACTTTTTTTCTTTCTGAAGTTCCTCATCCTCTGAAATCCAAGTTCTCTTCTGTTTCTTATTAGTTTCAAATTCCTCAAATAAATGGCCTTCTTTAGCAAGAATCCCTTTGCTGTTCATCACATCACAGCTTAGAGACTCGTTCGAATCCATTTCCTCTATGCATGCAGGAAGCAACTCCTCATCTATATAACATGAGGGACTCAAATTTTGTGCAATTTTTTCTGAGGATCTTTTAAGGAGTAAAGAGATTTCTGAATCTTGAACTGCTGTTCTCTCTCCTGATTTGGCACTAGTATCTTCTACATTAGAAATAGCAGGCTTTATTCTACTTGGCAGTTTAGGTGGAAAGATGCTCAGAGGAATTTTTTTAACTTTACAGCTATCTGTACATACAGTATTTAAGTGTACATTGAGAGAAGCACCCTCACTTAAATATGTATGGGTCCCTTCTTTAGTGATAGTGGATTCCTTTTTGATGTCCTCTCTCAACTGCAAAGGTTCATCTGGCTTCATTGGTAGTTTGGACAGTTCCTTTCCAAGACTGGACCCAACATCTTGTGAAAGTAGAACAGGTTCAGACTTCTTCCCAATGTCTTCTAAGTTTGGACAATGGCTGATGCCAGTTCGTTTAGGCAAAAGGATTGGCTCTTCATCTGAAGAGGAAGAATTCATGGGAGGAAATTCTGAGTTATTTTGCTGATCTTTTGTAGAACTACCCAGTTCACTTAATAAAGTCTCATTTATGTTAGATACTCTGTCATCAATTGGACGAGTAGCTGTTTCTGTAGCAAAGTTATCTTCCTGTCTTGACTTTGAATCCAGGACTGACATTTTAACTGGAAACGTAACATTATTTGCTTCATTTGAAACTACATTTCTTGCAGTTTGTTTTGCAAAGGTGTTAATTTTAGACATACAGGATTCTGGCTGGTTGTCCTGATGTTTAAAATGGTTCTGTTGCTCTTGGACAATGCCCTGAGAAATAGATAGCATCATACCAGCAGAATAAATTGACTTTTCAGGGGTATCCTTATTGACTTTGGAACCATTCAATTTGTTTTCATAAGGATCTACTGAAGCAGGAAATTCAGAGCTAGATTTGGTGTGGGAATGCAAGCTGCTTTCATTCTTATCATTCATATACATAAATTCAATTCCTATTGTGTAATTTTTAGTCATCTCCATGTTCTCAACAGCTGTATTTTCAGATATCTTTACTTTTGAGTTTGTGGAAGAATTAGATAACTGTTTTTCAAAGCCAGGTCCATAATTATTAGGGTCATAAATATTAACGGTACAATTTCTTGCAGCTTCTGTATTGTGTACTTCCCCCGCACACATTGGGGTAAGCACATTACTCAATGTCTGCTGTATATTTTCATTCAGCATTTCTTGTTCCTCTAATTCAGCCCAGTTCCCATTTTCAACAGTATTAGTAGGCAAAGCAGTGACTTCTGTGCCACCCTGGTAATATGTAAATGCCTCATTAAGAGGCAAAACATTCTTAGCTTGGCTAGATTGTGGGCAATTAACAACTGTTTGGCTATCAGTTGGCGCTGTCTGCCCTTTGGCAACTTTTGTACCATCAGCCATAGTTAATGCTATCATATTCTGTGAAGGGAGTTGCCATTCAGCATAATTTCCCAGTTTCAGTGCATTCTTAGGGAAAGTTTCTTCAGTAAGAGTATGTGACAGTACTTGGGGAGTTCTTTCACAATGGGAAGCAATATCATGATTAACTGCCACTGTGTGGCACTTTGTAAACTCCATTTCATCATGTAGTGCAAGAACAGTAGAATTGTCTTTAAGTGAACCTGGTAATGTGATGCTCCCAGTATCTTCTCTTTTCTGTGGCAAAGATTCGTACTGGCTATTTTTAAGAAATGCATCTGATAGGGACTTTGTTATTTCCATGTCATTGTTGCACAAAAACCTCACAGTTTTATCTGCAGGGAGAAATGTTGTGGATTTTGTTATTGTTGTATTACCGCTGTCTACAAACATACTGGCTTTATCCGCAGGTATGGAGAAGAGTCCTTGAGTAGCTTCCCTGACCTGTTGGACAGTGTCATGGTTTACTGCCACTGTATGGCTCCTTGTAATCTCCATCTCATTATCTTCCAGCAGTCCACACACTGTTGCTTGTTCATTAGCTGATTGTGACAGAAACTTGCCAATTTCTTTTTTGTTCAATTGCAATGCCCTGAAACCAGTATCTTGAGAAGATATGGATTTAGTTATTTCCATGTCATTGTTGCACAAAAACCTCACAGTTTTATCTGCAGGGAGAAATGTTGTGGATTTTGTTATTGTTGCATTACCACTGTCTACAAACATACTGGCTTTATCCGCAGGTATGGAGAAGAGTCCTTGAGTAGCTTCCCTGACCTGTTGGACAGTGTCATGGTTTACTGCCACTGTATGGCTCTTTGTAATCTCCATCTCATTTTCTTCCAGCAGTCCACACACTGTTGCTTGTTCATTAGCTGATTCTGATAGGAACTTGTCAACTTCTTTTTTGTTCAGTTGCAAAGCCCTGAAACCAGTATCTTGAAGAGATATGGATTTAGTTATTTCCATGTCATTATTATGCATAAACACCAGAGTTTTATCTGTTGGACCAAAGGATGCGCTTTTAGTTAACTCCATGTTATTGTTACATAAGTACATGTTGGTTTTCTCTGTAGGATTTAGAGATAGAGTTTGAGGAACTCTCTCTACTGCTACTGTAAGGCTCCTTGTAAGTTCCATTTCATTGTCGTTGCTCAGAGAAAATAGTGCAGTTTGATCACTCGCTGATTCAGTTATTCTTTTCTTACCAGTTCTTGTATTTTGCTCTGGCACAGCAGTTACAGATGAAACAGGTTTAGTTATCTCCATATCACCACATGTAAACATGGCGGTTTGATTTGAAGGAATCTTTTCTCCTTGGATGACTGCATCATGATTCAAAGCCACTGTGTGACTTCTGGTAATGTCCATTTCATTCTCATCACTATGCAAATATACAACAGTCCTGTCTTTGGCTGAGCCAGGGAAAGCCCTCCTACCAGACTCATTGCTTGGTTTTTCAGACTGACCACCAGCATTTCCTATAGAATGATTTATTGCACTTGATATGGGCTTAGTCTCATCCATATCATAATAACTATAACCAGTTTTATCTACAGAGTGTAAGGAAAGCTCTTGAGGGGTTCTCTCACACTTCTGCATATTGTAGTTTACTGGTACTGTACAGCTCTTAGTAATCTCCATTTCATTGTCTTCATTCAGGACAAATACAATAGTCTTAGCACCATCTGAACTACTTAGACATTTCTTAGAGGCTCTCATTTCTTGTTGTGGCAAACCCTGAAATATAGCTGTATTCAGAGAATTATCCATTATATATGTCATGGGTTTAGTAATTTCCATGTTAACACTTACACCACTTTTATCTTCAGGAATTAAGGATACTGCATAGTCTGAAACAACACTTTCTCTATTAATTTTACTGTCTAGTCCTGTTGCATCAACACATTGCCTAATGTCCTCAGATAAAGAAACAAAGTAACTCTCTTTTTCCTTTTCAAAACTCTTAGAACCTTGACTTAGAGAGAAAAGAGTTGACTGTTTGCTGGATGATGAACCAAACAGAGCATGTGCTTTTCTCTCAGGAAGACAGGATGTCGAAGAACCAGGACTGATTCTTGGATTTAGCAGTTCCATGCCACCATAAGTTGCTTCTTGATTTGGAGCGGCTATTCCACAACTTTGTATGCTATTTATATAAGAATGTGTAGATTCTTGATGTTTTGTAATGTCCATATGGTCCTCTCTAAACAAAGTTTCTTCTGTTAGCCTGGAGATATGATAACTCTCTTTTTCAGAAGCTCCATGAATAGGATTGCCTAGTCCACTGAAATTTCTTTGGTGGATTAAATCTGTGCAACTTTTACTAATTTCTCTATCTGTATAGAAACCAGAGAAAGCAGATTTATTACCATGGAGAATAGGCATAGAAGTGGCAGATCCAGTGGGTACAGGTATTGTACTGGTTCTATGAAAAGAAGCCAGTGAGGCAGCCCTATTAATTAACCTGACAGCCTGCATTTTGTCAACATCTTCTTTACTGCTTACAGTTAGTTCATTAGTACACATACTTGAGTCCTGTTGAACACCAAGTTGATTACTAGAAGGCTCTGATCTATCATTATGCATGTTATAATTGACTGAATAATCACCTCTGAGGTTCCCTTGCTGATCCACCATATTAAGTGAACTAGTTTTGTGTGGTAAAACTCTTTCTATATTGGCAGTCATTGCATCCATACTTCCCTCTCTACAAACCAGAGTCATTTCCTTACTTCCTAACTGATTTGAGGCAGGTGCAACAGCTTTCTCATCAGATGGAATAAGCATTATATAGTTTTCCTTATTATCAAGTTCTCCCAAGGCAGCAGTACTGTTGCATCGTTTGCCTTGCAAGTGAGAATATTCATTACTGTCTGAAGAGTTAATGTTTCTTTCTGGAGCCTCAGAATGAAGAATAGTAGGTGTGGGAGTAGGAAACATTTGAGAGGACTTCAAATTTTTCAAAAAGTCATTGAAGTTAATTTTCTGTATGTTTTCAGTTTTCATCTTCTGTTGAGATAAGCAGGTCTCATTTGCCTTTATAGGGCAGCTGAAGAAGCTGAATTCGTTCAGCTGTGACCCTTCCTTTTTTGATTTTAACGCAGTTGAAAATGATTTGAAATCTATTTTCTTTGGCTGGTCAGTTTCTTGGCAGAATCCAATGTCATGGGTAATCAATATGGTATGACCAGATGTCATATCCATTTCATTTTCCTCTGAAAATATGACTGTTCTATCCATTTTGTTCCATTCTGTACCAGTGTTTGCATCAGGGCACTATAAAAAACAACAGCAATTAAGTTACTGGCACTTCTAAGAACTACTTATCTCTAACACAGGTTTCACAAATACTGAAAGGGCAAGGCCAGCTAACAATGTAGACCTTATTTTTCACCTAACTTCTGGATTTATAGCACTGAGACTGGTGTAACAGTACTAGATTAAAATGGGTTTACTTATACATTATCACTGATCTGTAAAAGAGAAAATGCACAATGAAGCCAATGAATAACACTAAAAGAATATGCTACCAGTACCACAGAGTTCTGCTTCTCCAGGTGACATGTCTATGGAAGATCTAGTAACTTCCTTTTGGGGATCTATATCTTCTTTACTCTTCTAATATAGGATTCAGAAATAGATATTCTAGATAATGTTGATGGAAGACAACCTTGTATATTTACCTCAATTTGTTGCAAATGCGTCTGGATGGGGGCATGAAGTAATGTATTCATTCCTTTTAAGAAAGGTAAAAAAAAGGTAAATGTTTAATGCTACGTAGTGTAACATGCAACTTTTAACAGACGCAAACTAAATCCACAAGTCTGAAGCATTGGCTGGTTAGTTCAAATCAATACATGACTTCCAGCCCCACCACAAACAATACCTTTTGCAGTTTACAACAATTTAAAGGACTGATACCTCGCTGTACTGTAGTTGACAGTAGGACCCAAAGGCCACAAAATTCTCTTGTCAGATTTTCGACAACAACAGACGGAGTAGCCCCAAGTCCATTGGATCTTTATTTATTTATTAAAAGCTTTTATAGGTCATCCACTACAAACATCTCGGGGTGGCTTACGAAAGGGAGAATTTTCTTTGTCTATTCCCGTTCTGCCAGTAGCGCATAGCCCTTCACATCCACAAGCCCTATATGCATCGTTTTGCCCATAGTTCTACTTTCTCTTTGAAACTGTAGAGAAACCATATCATCTCTGCCCAGTGTTTCCCCAGATTTTGGTACCAACAGTTGCACTTCCTTTAGCTATCCTGCCCCTTGACCAGCCTCTGCCTTTCCTACAGTAGTTTGACCCTTCCTGCTTTTACAGCCCCTTCTGACTTCAGTCCCTGGTTTCCTCTCTCTTTTTTCTCAAGCTTCATTCTTGCCTTATGTAGCATAGAGGCCTGCCTTCTCAGTTCATTGCCTTCTTGTGCTCTCTTCCTTCAGCTACCTTTTCTCTGGGCCCTTTGTCTCAAGACTTGTTCCTTGTCTCCAGTATGTCTATATAAGACCGAAATCATAATCCAGCTGACATTTTTATTCTGCTTCACAGAAGCTGGACTGCAAATCGTTTAGTCCTCTTACCAGTCAAACTCTCTACCTCACTTTATAGTCTGAGTGCATTGGAATCAGAGGCTTCATTGCGACGCACCCAATGCAATGTATATCACTGCCTAGTAATAATTGCATAAAAAGCAAAGAAATTATACAAAAATATTTTAATACTCTTCTAGCTCAACTCACAGTTAACAATGAAGTTTTGAATATTTAAAAATGAATTACTTTCATACTTACCAGTGATCTCACACTGCACATCTTCTGGGTCTTCATTTCTTTAAAAAACAAAACAAAGCACTTAATTGTTATCAAGATTAGCTCAGCAAAATGATCAAAGAGCATTAACAGAAAGTTATAAGTGCTGCAATTAGACCTGTATCATAGTGAAACTTGAGTGTCTGGATAACAAAATATTTTGTTAAAAATATTAATACACCAAAATGTTCTATCATTGAAATAGCCTTCCAATTCCAAAGCTATGTAATGAAGTTTCTTATGCAGTAGACACCTTCAGTATGCCAACAATGTACAAATTGTGTACTGGTAGGCACACTGAATTGGAATAAGAAAAAGAAATATATACAGTGGTGCCTTGTACTTTAAACTTAATTCATTTCTGGAGGCCATTTGAACTCTGAATCGTTCGAAGTCCGAAGCAATTTTCCCCATTAGAAATAATAGAAAGTGAATTTATCCATTCCCAGACCAGAACAATACCCAGTTCGGTAAACTTAAACAGCAAATATGGCCTCCTGAAACAAATTAAGTTAGAGGTTATATATAAGGTGTGATTAAAAAATACAGTGAATGTTTCAATTAAAAAAGATTATTACAGTAAAAAAAACATTGTCATCAATCTCCCTCAAAATACTCCCTCTTGCTTCAAACACATTTACCCCAGTGCTGTCATGACTGCCTCAATGTCCTGAATCGATTCAAGTCAAGATGAAACAAATTGATTCAAGACAAGACATTTCAATTCAAAATGAATCGATTCAGGACATCAAGGGTTTTAACTTGGGTGCACAATGATGTTATCACTGTGACCACATTTTTTTTCATTTTGCTCACAGTTTGAATTTAGATGCTGCAGAGCGATTTCATCTCGTCTCTAACATTCAAACTCTGGATTGTTCAAAATTAGAGTTGTTCAAACTACAAGGCACCCCTGTACAATCATTCCAGATGCAGCAGAATTGTATTCTTCTAAATGACAATTTAAAAGAATATAATTCTGCTGGCAATCCATACCTTCTAGAAAAATCCCATTTAGAATACATGAGTAAAGTGCATTTGAAATTTCAATGAATAAAAAGTAGTCTTATTAATCAGAACTTTGGAAGGCTCTACATTAAGCAGTTAACACTGGTGATGCTATAAAAAGAGAATAAGCAGAATAAGAGATTTTGTAAAATTTTACATTGGGTATTTTGTAAAGTTAGGTAATTCATTTCCAGCTTACTTATTAAATGGGTCTTGATCTCTTACTTCTCTTGCAGTTTCTAAAATTAAAAAAACAAAATGTGAAACAAATCTTAGACTATCGATGAATACATGTGGCAATGGTAAAGTATACAATAAGACTTATAATCATTTCTGATCAACTAAGAACATAAACACAATCAAAGCTTCTCACCTCCATGCTTTAATTCCACAATGTTTTGGAGATCTGGTGGGAACACTCTAAAATACATACACAATGACAATTTTATTAACTTAGAAAAATCTGTTATGTAACAAAGTAATATTTTGTCAGAGCTCCAAAGAGCCCCATACACATTGCTTAGGTCTCTTATACATATACACATACATTCTCCCAATTTCCTTTTATGATAGCATTTTATGACATACTTCCTGTTTCAAAGGTTCTCTCAAAATATGTAGGCAGCAATGGATTATCTGTTTAACCAAAACTATTTCTGCCAAAAAACAGATGTGATCTTAGGGTAAGACTACATTCTTTATTCTAGATATAGGTCTTTCCAAATATATTCTAAATATAGGTCTTGCAGAGTCAAATTCCTCTGCATATGAACCTCACAAATCCAGGTGATTTCTTGTATGTACTTCCCTAGGAAAAAAATTCTTTAAACTCATATTTGTGGGGTGGGGGGGTGGCTTGAAATTTGCAGGGGAAATGGAAATATACGCAATATTCTTTTTTCTGTGCTAAGTTTACTGCTTTAAAAAAATAAATTGCATTGTGCATAAACACAGTACAAAATAAGAATGCCTTTGTTTAATTTAAACAATAATTACAAATATACTTCAGTGTTTCAGATGGAATAGCAAGCTGCTTTACCCCAAGTTACCAAATGTACCTTGGTCTGTGCTAATCAGGAAGATGGGGTGGGGAAATAGAGCTAAAACCAAAGCCACATCATTGTGATAAAATGTTGATTATATTTCTAGCCCATCTTTCCCTCCAAGGACCTCAAGCTGGGTATATAATACTTCTCCCAACCTCAGTTTTATTCTATAAGCAGCCCTATGAGGTAGCATAGCCTGAGATTGTAATCAGTTCAAAGTCACCAACTGAGTTCCCCGGCTATGTGGGGATTTGAACCTGGGTCTCCCCAGTCCTAATGCAACACTTTAAACATTAGCATAGAATATAAAAGGGCTGTTTCTATTGTTTGGGCTTGGAAACAATCTCTTCTTCTGAATCAGCATTATCTAGCAGCTGATGAAACAATAACTAAAACCATAAGGTACTGAATACACTCAAAGTAGTAATACTTACTTGAACTGGTTTTCTAAGCCTACTAAAAATGAAGCTGTGAGTGTAAGAAATAGCTACAGCTAAAAACTAATGAAATTGCAGAATTGAAGACCAGACTGAGTTGGATGTGAAAAAATGTCCTAAGCTGAAAGCAAGCTACAAAAATAAAGACTGTGTGTTATTCCAACAAGATCCTGCCCCTTCTTTACCCCCATACCTTTCTCCAATTAGATAATCCTTTGGAAGATCTCAGAAGGATCTCAGACCAGTGACAGATCAATGGGAAGTACCTTAGTCTGAAATGATCATTGCGGGAAAAATTCTATATGAGAGTTGGAGTTCCTGCTAGGCTTCTTGGCAAGGATCCCAACTTGAACTACTTCCATGGCATCATGCTCCAACAGGTCTTCCTTTGAGAGAGTGTGAGAGCTATCTGCTTTCTCCTGACTGATCCTAGTTGGATTTTTATCTGAACCTAATGGCTTATGTTTACCTCTTTGATCTCAATGACTGTTCAGCCTTTATTTTGGTGTCTGTATGACTCCCCACTCCAGAAACAGGATTGCTCTTGCTGCCACGGGGTAATAGGAACTGAACACTCCTGTGAGACTGCAAGTTGCAACTGCTAAGTAGGCTAGCTGCTTACCCCCAACTCAAAGGGAGCACATTTAACCATTGCAATGATCAAATACTATAGATTGCCTTACACTGTTATTAGAAATGATATTGAGGGAGTAAAGTGTAAGAAGCACATTTTAAAGCCATGCCTTAAAAGCATTACATTAAAAAATAATGCATATGCTTTTAAGTAGGTTTTAAATCTGCTACCAATTTTCCTACTTAAAAATTAAAACAAGTCTAAGTAAATAAAAAATAAATAAAAGGCTTACTTCTTACTCCTACCCTCTACATTGGGCTTTTTCTCTACTACTTCACCTCTCTAACAACACATCTGCCTGTATGTTTTGTTTAAAAATCTGTTAATCAAACCTATAACTGTACTGGATAGTTCTACAAAAATAATCATTACAGGATGAAGTGCACAAACTTGAATTTTAAAGGTCTGTGCAGACAGAAGGCTCCAAAAATTACTAGTTAAAAGACATTTTGATATGATTCTGTTTCCCCTTCTCCTCCTCAACTGGTTTTTATAAGAACAAAAGCACAGGTGGAAAATATAGGAGACTTACAGGTAGAAGAAACTGTGCTCTAGATCCTCCATAAAGTTCCATGAATGGGGCATGGTATTCGCCCTTAGGAGGGAAGAAAAGGCATCCTCCCTTCCACCACAACCAGCCTGTATATAGCCTACAGCCTGTATATAGCCAACAGTAGCACTACAAAAAGCAAGGGTAATAATTCATCTCTCCTTGCAAGATGAATTACAACCTGTAAGTATTTAGTTGCTTGAAAAAAATCTATGTTAATTATGGTCAAGAATTTTTTTGTTAACTTGTTTAACATAATGAAGTATCACAGTGATTTCTTTGCATTCAAAACTGAATTTATAGGTGATATGCAAACTCACCTTATGGTATCTGCAAAACTCACACGCCTAGAGTTTTTCTGACGTTTCTCAATATTGAAATCCTGAATATATGACACAGATATTAAATTCATAGGCATCAAATTATTTTATATGAAAGCTTCTAATGAGGATGTCTGAAATCATGTGCAACACTGGAAGTTCTATATATCTGCAAAAAAAATCTGTACATATCATGCTAGAGGCTGGAGATTTAACATTATAGATAACTGATCTGGATGTTTCCCAAGTGAAATAAAAAAATTGTTTGAGTATGGCAGTCTAAGAACCCTGCTTCTTGATGAAAAAATGACATATTTCCGATAGGAATAAAATACACAAAATATAGCCCAAGGAACATGGAGATAGAATATGAAATGTAAATCGTAATATGAAATAAACCTTATGAAGATATTCCTGAATGGGTGGATCCTTTTCCCAAACACACTTACACGCAAGAATGCCTCACTGATTTGAGTTGGGATTTCTTCTCTACAAATATGAGAATAAGTTATTTGTTCTCTTATATAATTACCATTTTAATCTAGCAGGAATTTTTGGCTGTTACCATAGACTGGAAACAGGCCTCATTTGTAAAACACCTAGATTTAGTTCTTACCTGATTTAATTCATTCCCACTTCCAATGTCACAAAGAGGAGTTCGGGGAGCTTTTAAAATCTAAATGGGAAGTAGGTATAGTTCAGAAAATACTTTCTACAGCACCAAGAAAAAAGCAACTTTTAAGTGTATGTTTTAATAAACATGCTCATCATTCCTGAACAACACAAAAGCAAACATTCACAGTTGCATATGTGAGGGCAAAAAATATAAAGATATACATGTTTTATAGCAGTATTTGCAAATATTTCTTGATAATATTTTTAAAATTTTGAGCAACCCCAGGTGGCCACTCCAAGGGGCTGCCAGGGCACCCTGAATGTGCTATGTGTAACTTTGAGAATAGGGATTGCAATCTCCAGGGAAAAAAGTTTAAAGGGGAAAAAACTGTGGTGAGCCTGAAATGGGTTGCAAACAGAGTAAATAGGGATAGAAAACTCAGTCCATTAACAGTGTCCCTTGAGATGCCTATGGGAAGATGGGGGGGGGGGGATAACCTATGAGAGCCTGAGCACCTGTCAGGTTCACTGTAGGTTGTTCATGTGACAACCAATGCACTGTGGCTCTTATCAGTGAGGGGTTTAGTGATGTGCAAATGTGTCCATTGGAATGTGTCTACATGTTATACTACATTATCTTTTTTACAAGTAAACACTGTCAGGATGAATACCATTGCTTGTTTTTACAAGGAATAAATAGAAAGATATCATTCCCAATTTAAACTTACTGAAGAAACTCTTCTTTTATGTGTGATGTCTCTAAAAAAAAAAAAAGGAAAAAGTTATACTCAGCATGAAAACCAAAATCCTAATCCTTCTCATTATTTATAAAAGGGTTTGTTCAGATGTCCCAGTATGGGTTAATTAATCCACAAATGGCAGGGACACAAACAGCTTCCTGTTTACTGTGACACCCTTCGAATGCCGATTTGTGAGTTGTTTCTATTACTTCTGAACAACTCCAGAAGTTAAATAACTTCAAGTTAAATCTTGGCTTGCTTAAACCATGAACAACTCCAAATACCAGCTTGGACATCATGGAAGAAACCCTTGAATTCATGGATCAATTAAACCATAATTTGTCACCACATTGTGCTGTTACATCGAGACAAAGTTCTCTACAGTTGAAAGCAATCAACATTTTTTAAAAAGGTTCAAAAATAAGTCAGAGTTTTTCTAAAGGCAAACAGTTGTCATGAATTGCATTCAATAATGCTACAGACAACATATAATTTGCATAAAACTACTTCAAATATTCTGACAAACTAGGTAATATAGACACTTTAAAACCATGTAATAAAAAGCAAAAATACACTGCCAAGTTAGAAAAGGGCTGTGTTGGAAGCTCAACTTACTTTTCCTCACTCATTTCAGAAAAAATCGTGTCCATTTTGGAAAACTTGGTTTCGTGCAACAATAAAGTCTGTGAAGTTTCCTTGGGGTTCTCTGGGACAAACATAAAGAAAATAAATGTTAAGTAACTCCTCCCACAATTCTTGGGAATGTATTTTTTTCTTCCCAAGTTATCACATAGCATTAGTTTGAAAGTGTGCATTATCCCTATATAAAACATAATTTATGGGTTTGTATCCAATGGGTTGTAGTCAACGTTTGTTTAACTCAGTCTTCTCTTATTTGATATCCTCCAGATGCCTTGGCCTACAATTCTTATTATCCCCACCTAGGATAGCCATTGCTCATACTGGCTAGGAGAAGGGTGGGAGCTGTTGTCCAGCACATCTGCAGAGCGCCAAGTTAGGGAAGGTTGGTTTAACTCATTCCCATTCATTTCAATTACTCTGTTCTAAGTAGGATTAACATTGGATACGACTCAAGCACCGCAGTCTAAGAACTGAGATCTGGAAACCCGGAGACTGTATTTCCCACAAGAGAGCAAGGGTGTGAGTGCCGCCGCACTTGACCGCTCAAGTCCCCTGCATGTTTACTCGAGTACCTACGAGTAAACATGCAGGGGACTTGAGCGGTCAAGGCGAAAGTATCAAGACCAAATCATGCAGAGAAACTGCGGTTGTCTGGCGCCCGCCTCCCACTCCGCCACCCGAGCTAGAAGACTGGTCTTGCAGCAAAGAGCGACGATGAAGAGAAAAGGCAGGGAAAGCGGCCCTCATGAGCAGACCTGTGAAAGCGCAGGCCGCCATCCAGTGCGCTCGCCTACTTAGCTCACGGGCACCTACTCCTGAGAAGGCCACCACAGGAAGGGGCTGCAAGGCGGAAGCCGAAGCACGGAAAAGCAGAGGGCGAGCGCAGAGGGGTGGACAGCTCGGGGGCGAGAAGAGGACCTCCTCAGGAGTGCGCGGCATACACCCCTTCAGGGCCCCGAGCGTCGACTCAGAACCGCGGGGAAAAGAGCTGGAGCGAGGGAGGTCGCAGGAAGTTGCCGCCCAGCCTGCCGCAAGAGACCAGGCCCACCGCTCCCTGGCTGCACACTCCGCCGCCGCTCCGCCTCACCTGGTCGGAAGACCCTCCGTCAGAACTGTCCACCGCGGCCTACAGCTGAAGGAGACACCCCTACCCGCACTTCCCGGTTGCCGCCGGCCCGCTAAGGTAGCCGCCGCGGCCACTAGATTCAAAGTAACCGCCAGGCTGCGCGCATGCGCCTCGCTGCTGACTACGACACAGAAGAGCCTGAACGCGAGCCTCTACACAGTAAATCATGGCAGCGCCCTCCTTCCGTACAACATGGAAGCCTGCACCGCTCTATGAACAGCCGCAGAGGGGTGGTAGCGAAGACGAGGGCAAACAGAGCGATTTCGGAACCGTGATTCTTTATCAGTATATTAGTTGCAGCACATATTGTGAAGTCACTACTTAAAGGCCACTGTATATTCGCATAAATAGACCAATATTGAGAAAAGGGGATCGGACTGGAACAGTTCCTTGTAGGCTTGGAAACAGAGAAGACTTCTGTGACGAGGTGGCCGAGTGGTTAAGGCGATGGACTGCTAATCCATTGTGCTCTGCACGCGTGGGTTCGAATCCCATCCTCGTCGTAAGCTTTTCCTCCTCAAATCCATAAGCATTTAACTGAATATCAATATCGTGTTGGTATCGCTAACGTTATTTTGCCTGGTGTGCAAATTATTTAATATGTGCATGTCTTTTCTTACTCTCTATCCGACACTGTTCTTCATTAACTGATTACAGGCAGCTTACTTTGCATCTTAACTGCGCAAGTTTATTTTGGTAAAGACTCTAGCACCTATTTAAAAAACAAAGCAAACATGGGGGGTTTTTCCTAGATCAGACTTAGATGTGTTCTTTGCAAGTGCACAACTATTCCAAATGTAGAAAATTAGTATCAAAAAGTTGCAAGGATTTTTCCTACTTGAACTTTCAACTCATAAAAAATGTAATAATCCACGTAGCAGTCATGTTAGTAGACATTCTACTTACAGTCTTATCCCCCCACCCCTCTCTCTCTCACACACACACTCACACGTAACTATATTTATACACCCATTCTCATATATGAGACTCACACTTAGAGCACAATGCTGGCTGGGACTTTTTGGGAATTATAGGCCTTCTTTTCTGTCTAAACATGCTTGGAATTACAACCTTAGCGTTGCAATGAGCATAACTTTCTGTATCATACGAAACTGTGTCATATTCTCCTGTGTTACTCAGACGGAAACCCCACTGAGCTACTCTCAGGGAAATACCATAGCTATCTGACTACAGCTTTAAAGACTAAGGCATAATGCTTCAAATGTTTATTGGCGGGGGCGGGGGGATCCTACAGGAGGAAATGGATTGAATTCGAGTCCACCTCATCTTTATGACATTATATGTTTGTTTAATTTTAAGGTGCCAAATGCTTTTTGTTGCAACAGGCTACCAAGGCTGCTCCACTGAAAATTAGAGGAACAGAAGCATTCTTTGGCAGAAAATTTAGAAACAGTATTTTGTTGTTATTAAAACTTGTCTGAAGGGCATTTCGGATCCCTGGCATTCATCCCAGCTCTCATCTATACAATCACTCAAAGTACCCTCTAATGTGAAATACTTGTGCATTATGTATCCATCACAAGAGTGACAGTTGAATCCAATTATCCCATAAGTGGATTCAGCTAGTAGAAATTTTCTATCCTGTACTCAGCTTGATGCTTTTGTTTCCATGCTCTTCCTCTTCCCTGCCCATCCTTGAATACAACAACAATTACAGGTACAAAGGAGTTTCATTCATGTATTATGCAGCATAAGAGTTCAGGAAAAATATGAAGGGGGGATTATAAAACCACAAAAATCCATCCCAGCAACCTGCTTCTATGATCTTAAAATTTGAATTTCATGCTAGGGAAGGGCTATAGATTTGTAACTAAGTTCTTTAATAGGCTTTAATCCACTACTTTCTTAAAACAGTGCTGCATTAAGCTTCCTTCCTGAAATATTGGAGAGCCACTGGCAATCATTGTAGACAATTGAAGAGAATTCCTTCCTGTGTCCCTTTTTCTAGGTTCAAACATACAAACTGCAGTATTAGAAGGATCAGCAACTGGAGGTCTCTGTGTTAGATTCTGCCAGTTGTTTGGCTATTGGGCAGTATAAAAATAAATAAATAAATATTTTCTGTCACAGAAATTCATGCTCATTTTCCTTCAGGAAAGTTTGCCATCAGTTTCACATCACTATTATTGCTTTGGCTATAAAACTAAAAGTTTGCTTTTCTTCTTAAGCATGAGTTTTGAACCAGTCCCATAAATAAGTAGATTAGGTAACTCAGCATTCCAAACAGCAAATACTCTCTTTGTGGCTTGTTTGTGGTCAACAAACCATTGTAATTGTGGCTTGATGCATACAATAATCCATGTCTCAACAACCCATACTCAGCCCTTGAGTGGGTTAATAGTGTTGTCTGAACCCAGCAAGTCTTTACATTTTAAGGGGGTGTTTTGACCAGAAATGCATATAGTATGGTAAATAACATATCTAGAGTGATATAATTTTTGTTGTGATATTTGGGCTCCAATTTTTTGTATTTTTCCTACTGTTTACCAAAACTGTAGCTACTTTTTTTTTTAAATTGCCACAATACATTTATGCAATGTCCTCTTCAAAAACTATTAGTAGTTCATATATAGTACCTATTGAGCTGGTTCATACCATGTGGTAGCCCCCCCCCCCCCGTCTTGAATTACTCATTTTGGGGCTTTCATGCCATGCCACACACCCATGGATGCCATTTCTCTGCATGATGTCCAGCTTGCCACATTGCATGAACCCAGGTGGCAGGAGTTATTTGAGGGTTAGATGGCCCTTCTATAATCTACGGTCTGTTTTGCACAATCTCTGTCTCCTGGGTTCAAGTGACGTAAGTCATAGATTGAGTATTTTTAAAATGCTCAGCATATACCCATACTTAAACCATGGTGGCATGCTCTGTTCATACAAACAGGGTTACTGAATGCCACCTGTCATTCCCTTTTCCAGTCACCCAGACTAAACAGAAACTATTGGATACCTACAGTCTGCTCTGAATTTTAATATTCTTAACAAAACATCCCCAGTAAACTCAATTAGTTTTGTTTCCACTCATTTATGGAAGCATAAAAAAGTACTGATCCCAATGGAATCTTCAAACATTTCCCTTTTCATTGTGAGAAGTGTTCTATTTCCTACCACTTTAACCAATCACCAGTTCTGAGGGCATTTTGTGGTTTCAGTTCATGCCTGCAAAGCCCTTTTTTCTGGTTCCGTTGCACAATATACCATTGCATGTACAATCTGGACAACTTTTTCCCATTCTTTTAAACAGAATTAGTACTACTTGGCATTTCATATACTGTATTTAAGCACTCTAACTGCAGCACTTTAGTCCTTGAAAAGTGTGATTTCTCCTGTACATTGTTACAGGAGAAACAATGTACAGGAGAAATCACATGCTTGGGCTATATTGTTTCATCAAGCAAGAAAATCCTAATGCATTTGCAGGACCCTTCAGGTACTTCCAAGCACGCTGACCTTGCTCAAACAATCATAAAAATATGTTTTAATATGTGCATAACAGAAATCACCCTAATGGCAATTCCATTTGATGCTATTTTTCCAAGAGGCCAAAATAGTTCTTATCTTTGCACTTGTTATCTAAAGCAGTTAAATAGGCCATGAAAGACAATTCTGCTCCACAGGTTAAATATAATTACAATTGCTTAATGAGTCCCTTTGTGCAATTAATTTATTGCAATGTTTATATGAAGCTATCAAGGAGTGGAACCCAAGCAGCCAATCACTGTAAAATAAGCTAGGAAGAAGTTAGAAACATGCAGTACTGACAGATCTGCTCTACAAATTTGTGGTAAGAGTATGTTGTCTCTGTTTGTATTGATGTTGCCTGTGTACCAGATGTATCATTCACCCTGAGGCCTGCTTCTGCAGAACAGGTTGCTTGTTGCAGCACATGGCTAGATTGTTGCATAGCAACAATCCACCAGCCTCCTTCTTCTGCCACCCCTATCAGTGAGGGTTTTTAATGAAGACAGGACAAGGACGCCCCTTCTGACTTGTTTTTTTTTCCTGATTTCTATGTTTTTCCTATGCTTTCTATCATTCAGTTCCAAGAAGTTCCAGTAAAGTTGCCTACAGGATGGGAATACAGATCTTTGGGTATGCCAACTGTAAACAGTGTGGCATTCTTGTCTCTAACCCTAAACCATTTGGCCAAGAACAAGGCCACATTTTCTCCTCTGCCTTATACACGACTGGTGCTGAATGTGCATGTGAACTATCATCAAACCCATTAAAAAAGGTCAGCAATGTGGATATGAAGGCCACTATACAAATATTACTAGAGGGAGTGAATGTACTATTAATTTGTAAATGGGACTGAGAAGAATTCAAGGTATCAATGGAGGACAGAAATAAATAGCTATAAAAATAGCAAAGTGCCAAAGTAAAATCAGAAATTTCAGAGATCTTAACATTCTTGTATAGCTAAGAAATGTTAATGTTAATGAAAAGCTAATACACCAATTGCCAACTACAGATGTAGAGCAAATCATCCACATTTACTATTTACAATCTGTTGCAATCCAATCTTCAAGGAGGGATAAGTTTTTTAATCTCTGTACAGCACATTACATTTTAAGTACTTTAGAAATAATAATTCAAATTAAGAGCAGTATTGTCTGATAAGAAGCTCTTTTTTTGCATCTTCAAAGCTTATTGTTGGCAATAAAAAGATCCTAAATATGTAAAACATATGTAAAAGCTACCTAACAAGGCATTTAGTTTTTAATGGCTTTTTCATACTAATTCAAAGGTCTGCTTTCCTCAGTTACACTTGATGATAAAAAGAACAGTGATGGGAAAACGTTTTCTCTCAAATATACACTATACACTTCTTTTTACAAAACATTTTGAAAATCTCAGGTTTCTTCCCAATCGTCTTGTGCCCAGTCAGGCATCTGGGAGCAGTATTCAAACTCTGCTCCCTTGTAGCGTAAAGCATGGAGATACATCACCAGATCTTTGGGTGATGGGTCTGGCCTCACTACTTTGCATTCTGCACACAGAGGATCCTTATCATCTGGCTGCTCAGCTGAACACATTTCACCACTCTCTGTCCTGCACATCTGGACTTGGGGGACCAAGTCCTGAGAACACACGGATGTTTCACTCTCAGACACATCCTTCAATGCTTCAGTACTGCCAGAATTGACATTTACAAGAGTGGCCTGTCTGGGCTTAACACAATTCCCTGGACTCTCCTGCACATTATCTTCTGTGATAGGTTTCAGGTCTTCCTCAGCAATGTCCAAGATACTCAGACTTTGTTTCGAAAGGTGTTCCTCCAGCAATGCCCGAAGCAGCTCCTCATCAGTTTTATTGAGATTTCCACCTTTGCCCTTCTCAGGACCCCAGGCATCGGTGTTATAGATAGGATCATTCACAATTGGGTGTCCCAAAAATTGTAGATGAACACGGATCTGATGGGTTCGTCCTGTATAAGGGTAACACTTTACCACACTAGTCTTGCCATTGTAACTGAGCCTCTGGAAGACTGTTTTACACACTTTACCCTTAGGGTCCACTCGACAGACACCCACTTTGTAAGATACAACCATGATGGGCTCTTCACAGATCACCTCATTTTCAGGAAATTCTCCAACAACACGGCATACATATTCCTTCTCCAGCTATTGGGGAAAGGGAGAAGAAAAATAAAAATCAACATCAGTTCTAGAAAGCAAAAGAGATAAGTGTGTCAGAACGACAGGAAGTTACCCACTATTGCTAACAACAACAACAACAACCCATCTTTCACCAACCTACAGCCCTCCGGATATATTGGACTATAACAACCATCATTTTGGGAATCATGGAACTCATAATCCAATGCATCTACAGAGCATCAAGATGGAGAAGGCTGATTTTTCAGCACAGCCTGCTTATCTTCCTCATGCTACTCTATCCTTGCATTGTTTGAAAATCTGTACCAAGACTAGAAAAAACTTTAGAACATGAAGAACAGAGATCAACACTCATAACTGGTTCCTGAAGTTCCTCAGATGTCAAGAAGATTTCACAGAGGTCAATACTAATTTGGTCAACAGGTAAGAACACATCTCTCTCCAGAGTTTAGCAGAACTTCTTCAGTCTGGTACCCCCTATATGTGCTGGATGCCAATGAATGGGAGAGACAGGAACTGTAGTCCAATGTATTCAGAGGGCACCAAGCTGGGGCAGGGTTGTGTATTCCAATTATAGCTCCTTTTATAGCTTTTTATTTCATTTATAACTTCCTTCCATCATGGAAGTCTAGGGAGTGTAGACAGAGCTTCTATACCTGAAAAGATGTAGCAACTTTGCTGAGACATGTACACAGGGTAGGATCTGAAGGCACATTAAATTTAAGATCCCAATAAACAATTGTTTCTCTTTTCAACCTCTGGAGCCTATACATTTCAAAGGTTAATACATAATATTTTTGCATAAAGGAATTTTCTGAGAACCTCAGTTTTGAAGTCTGTAGTCTACCCAGCAAGTAGAGGAGCTGAAAGTTCATCAAAAGCAAGCTGAGAAAGGCCTTTTTTAAATTTGAGGATGATCAGTATTGTCTGTTCTCTGGTTCCAAGCCACATGCAAACAGCTCTTTCCTTGCAGTGCTCAAGAGTTTGAAAAAATACTTTGCATTTAATAAAAAGCTTAAGATTTTTCATATTCATGTTTACAGAAAAGAAAACATGAAGTACTGATTATATAACATGCAAAAAGGTTGATAAAGAAATCAACAAATATAATTTTTGCTTAGTGTAGAAAGTTGTAATATATCAAGGGTGAACAATATAGTGCTCCCCAGATATTTTCAACAGCAGTGACCAGAATCCTTGACCATTGCTTGGCCAGGGCTTATGGGAGTTGTAGTCCAAAAGATCTGGAGGGCACCAGGCTGTCTATTCCTATAATATGCAAGAATTCAGTTATGCAAATTTCTGAGCCTACAAGCAGCTGTTTACTCACAAAAGGTATTGCATGCAGTCTGCAAAGAGTCTGAAACAAGACCTGAAAAGACTGAGTGACTTAATAATAATTTTATTGCATCCATATTTTCAATTTGTAGAACAAGAAAAAATAAGTAAAAGAAAATTGAGATATAGATCTCAACTGGACTGGGGAGACCTGTTTGAACATCTCTTTGAACCAGGAAATCACTTGGGTGAACTGACCTACCTCTCTGTCTACCTCTGTGTCTAGCATGGGACAGCTGTAAAGATACAGAAAGGGGGAATAACCCTTTCTAATGTTAGGGTTAGCCTAGGGTTAGCCTCCCAAGCCACTCTGAGCTTCTTGGGAGAAGGGTACATTATCAATGCAAGCAACAACAAAAATTCTCTGATCTTACCTGCCGCTGTCGCACTTGCTCATCAATCCTCTTGGATGCCTCAGCTGACTTGGCAAACATGAGGACACCTGATGTCAACCTATCGAGCCGATGGACGGTGTGCAACTCCTTCAGGTTATGCTCTTTACCCAAAATAAAGATGACGGTATTATGCCTGAATCTGCCACATGGATGGACTGGTAAAGATGAAGGTTTGTTTACAACCACAACCTCATCATTTTCTTCTAGAAACTCAATAGTCTGTGCTGTGACAGGCGGTTCATGGCGGTGTACTGTGTTCCTCAGAAAGTCATTATTCTGCAAGCAAAGCAATTATGATACATTAGTAGGAGCAGAGAATTCTCAAGTAGCCTGTTTACAAAGAATTATGACAAGATCTCTACTAATAATAAAAAAAGAGGCATTTAATATTCAGGTTAGGAAGCTAGTAACACACTGGGAAGATTTTGGTGTAGTATCTACAAATGTGTTATTATCCACCAGGTAAAGGTGTTTAGATATCAAATTTCTATGATTGCTTATGGTCAAGAAAGGGCTTGCAATTCATATCTTTACCTCTGAAGTAAGATACTTAGTTCTAAAACATAACAGAAACATTCAAAGTGACATGAAATTAAAAGCCACCTAGACTTTTAGAATTTAAAACAACTGCAGTATTGTGTCCTAAAGCAATGATGTCCTTTGGTATTTGTGTAATAGACAGGGGACTCCGGAACAAAATGCTGCAGTGTAGAGTGCTTCTGTTCAAGGTTCCAACTGCTCTTGATTCTTTATCCATTTTGCAGTTCTCTAACCATTTTGAAGGGATTTTTCTAGGGGGGGTGGGCCTGACACATGCCCTATCCCAATTACATATTTTTATTTTTTCATTGATCTCTATGGACAGCTGCTATTTCTATTATGGAAACGTTATGTCCATTTCTGAATGTTGTTTAAAGTACTTGCTGTTAAAACTAGAAAAGAATCTGCCCAGACAATAAGACAGTTCTACCTGGATCTCCCGCCTTTTTCTTTTCTCCTTGTCCAGCCATGCTACCATTCCCTCCCCACGACCCGTGTCACCCCTCTATGCCAACGCTGCACATCAATAGGCTGTTCTGGGTACATTCAAGATACAACGGGCACAGTCTTAAGTGGCAGAGAGCCCAATAAGCTTTCAGCATTTCCCTTCTGCCTTTCCCAGCCTGAAGACCTTTGGATGAGACTTATTTCTTATGTATATTGCACAGTATTTACATCCCACCTTTTTTTCTTCAATGAACTCAAGGTGGCTCACACAATTCTCCTCCTCTTCTCTTTTTTATCCCCACAACAACCTTGAGAGGTAGGTGAGGATGAATGATAACGGCTGGCGAAAAAGTCTCCTAGTGAGGTGTGTGGCCAAGTGGAAGCTAGCGTCCAGATCCAACACTCTTAACTACTACACTGCACCAGCTCAGCACTGCTGGAAACGCTAGGAGTTGTAGTCCAATCCATCCGTAGGGCATCAGGCTGGGGATGGTCGGTGTAGCAAACCTCCTTAGTCTTCCCTCTCCTCACCTTGAGGATGACGTTAAGGTCCCGCACGGGCTGCTCGTTGAGCCGCAGGCGGCCAGCTTTGGCCGCGGCTTGGTAGTACTCGAGAGGCTGGGCGCGGAACTCGGTGTCAAAGACGTGCAGGAGGCTCTTGCCCACCCAGCGGCCCTTGCAGTAGTTCTGGAAGTCGAAGTAGTAAGGCCGCACCTTGCGAAGGCCGCCCTCGAAGTAGTAGCTGGTCTCAGCGAAGTGAACCTCGTTGAAGCTGACGCCCGGATTCCGCTTCTTCGGAGGCGGCACGTAGCGCCCCTTGCCCTCCTCGGGCAGCCCGGCCCGCTTCTCGCGCTTCGCCTCCAGCAGCAGCCGCGGCTTCTTGGCCGGCGGAAGGGAGCTCCCGCGCTCGCCGAGCTCTGGGACCGGAGCCTCCTCCATGCTTTTGCCTCCCAGGCAAGAGGCTGCAGCGGCCAGCGAGCCACACCGCCAGGCTCCCGCCTCACCCAAGCGCGACACTCGCCAAAGCTGCCCGGGCGGGTGCAAGAAGCGCCGCATGGCCCGCCGACTTCCACCCACGCCGCGTCGACAGCCTCCGCGACGGTGCGCAGCTTGCCAATCGCGCGCTCGGCCTCCGTGACGAGCAGGCGGGGCGACAGGAAGACCTGCCTCCCTCCTCGCCCGGCGCTCGGGAGGCACGAACCAGGCCCTTTGGTTTCCTTCCTATTCCCTCCTGAAAATAAATATTGCTCATGGCGGCCAACCATAGTAAGCCCAAGACTCGAAACAAAACTGGAACAAATTAAATATGCAATGAAAAACCCAGCTTCTAACCCATTCCACATGTGCTCTTTTGCTATTTTTTAGGGGGAGTTTGCTAGATCTCAAGATCTATCTACTGGAGTCAAGGGCAAATTAATGGCGCTTGGCAAAAATACACCCAAAATTACAGAATGGGCACCTCCGAGGATGGGGCTCGGGACTTGAGTTTGCAGTCTGTTCGCAAATCCACTCCTGATTCTCTTCCACCCCAGCCTTTCTTTTTTCAGTAAGTTAATTGAGGAGGGGTGATGCAACATTCTTGTTGCTGTCAGATGCAACTGCCATAAACAGATCTACTGCAAATTACCCAGAGATCTACCAATACAACCTGATCGTTTTCTCCCCACTCCTGTCCTAAGGTATGCCTTACATATCAGCAATTCCTTCAGAACTTTTTAAATCTCTCGGGGAGAATTCCGTCACAATAAGCTTAGAGTAGGTGCCTGACACACTGAGTTCTTTAAAGTTTTGGCACAGCACAAGGTGCGGAACTGCCTTTGGTTGTCCTGAATTAACAAGCAGCAAAGTGCAGGCACACACCTGTTTACTGAGTGTGTGTATCAATATTCTCACTTTGGTCAAAACAGATGAATGAAGCCACCATGTCTAGATACTATCACTACTAATGTCTAAGGCAAAAGGAAGAGGGCTATCAGGATCATGACCTATTTGTGTTCACCTTGAGGCAGGTGGGGGGACTGTTGATAAGGGCAGATGCTGCAGTAGATAAACCCCAGTCTAATCTGGCAAAGAAAATCTGCCTTATGAATGTAACAATAAATGCAAAGAAGGAAAGCAAAATCCATTATTTTATTACGTTCTAACAAATGCAATTGATTTCTGGTATATTTTCAGTAGAAGCAGACTACATGGAAAGTATTTTCCAATTTTCAGATAACCAAATAGGCTTTATCACAGAAAGCGCACAGATGCATTGCTAAATTTCTTCCTCCTTACAAGTAAAACCCTGTGCATACACATCTATGAAATAAGACAGTTAGACTGATACTAGCTGTTGTCTTTTGAACTCATTGTGCTGCTTTTCCCCTCAACTGCAAGAGTTCTTAGGGCTAGAGGTACTGCATAAATTGTTGGGCTAGTGGAAAAAATTCTCCCAAACTTGTATTTGAGGCAGTATCAAAAAGGTCCACTTATACATGTGTTTGCATATATGCCATATGAATACCTATTCCTTCCAAACGTAGTTCACAGGTTTTCCAAAGATCCTTTACAAGTGATTTAAGTCTTTTTAAAGTTCACCCCTAGAGAGAAAGAATTGACCATTACTAACCATGAAAATAATCTTCTCCTAAATCCAGTGTTTACCTACAGCTAGAGAGATGAAAAATATTCCCAAAGATAACAGGTAAATTCACACATCACACCAAGCTACCCTGTGAATAAGCATCAGAGGGTTGGTTTCCTGAACCTATCATCCACCCAGCAAACAATCAAGCTCACTGAAGATTCTTCATCCTCACCTTTCCCTTCCCCTGTCCCTTTGGTTGTCCAGCCAGTATCCCAGGGTCTTCCACAGCTGACACACCCTCCCTGCTCTGTTCACCACCCTTTTTGCTGCCCTTTTTAAAGTCTCAAGAGTAAACAACTGGGGTCTTTCTTTTTTGGCCCCTGAAAATGACACATTTATTTATTTAGTAGATTATTTGCAGGTGCACAAGTGTACACTTATTCAGAATGTGTAGTTCTTGCCTGGTCAATATACATGTCTGTTTCAGCTGTCAAAGTGAGGGCCAGGCGTGACTGCATATGATCTAATTTGTGCACCACTGCCAGCTGTGATTTTCCTAGTTGTCAACTGAAAAACACTAGTAAAAAGCAAGGAAAATAATTGCACCAAAATGGGATAGCAGCAATATCACAAACTTACCTTTGTGCTGATGTAAACATACAAAGCCCTGAAAGGCTTGGGGCCAGGATATCTGAGGGAACACCTCTCTCCACATGTTCCTGCCTGCTCTGTAAGGTCTTCATCAGAGGCCCTTCTCCAGGTTCCTCCCCACAATGAAATGAATGGGGAGATGGCCAGGAGAAGGGTCTTCTCTCTAGTAGCTCCCCACTACCGGAATTTACTTCAAAAAGAAATCCACCAGGCGCCCTCACACTTTTCCTTCAGACATCAATTGAAGACATTTCTATTTTGTAATCATTTTGGTGAGCGAACTGGTTTTTATAATGGCTTGCTGCTGCTGCTGAGAGTTTACTTGCTAGACAATATTTAAAATGATTGTTTTAAATGGTTTTTATTATCAATTGACTGTTTAATTTTATTGTTATCCTATTTAACTGTGTTATATATTTTTATTGTGCTACTATTTTATTGCTTAAATTGAATTGTTTAATGAGTGTTTTACTGTTGTCTATGTAAGTCACCCAGAAATCCTTGGGCTAAGAGGTGCAGCATATAAATGAAATAAGTAATAAATAAGTAATAAATACCAATGTACTAAATTAATTTAATAGTTGAATTTACAATTTTTAGTGCTCTCCAACTTTTCAATACTTCTGGATTTCCAGCTACTCCAGAAGAGGAAACAGTAACCAGTTCCCTTGCCCTTGCTTTATGCAGCTCCTTTTCAAAGCAGAAAATTAAAACAATACAGAAATACCTATAGATTTAATGAAAGTAAATGGATAAAGAAATTTGCTCACTTGCAGCAACTGCTCCAAAAGCGTTTTGGGGGGGTTAATATCCCCTCTTTCTAGAGTAGCTGCATATTGGAGGAAGCACTGAAAAGGTGGAGGCCACTGAGAATTGTCAGTTCAGCATTTAAAATCAATAGTGTTACATTACCGGGAGGGTGATAATTAGTCCCCAACCTCTTTTGATGAATTTTCTGTTTCTGTTTATTGCCCTTTACGTTGTGCTTTTTCACTGACAGCTAAGCACTTAGACTCTGGCAATGGTGTGCAAATTAGCCTGTATGCAGTCCTATCTTCTGCTGCATTGCTATAAGTGCATACTTGCATACCTACAAAGGACCAACAGTGCAAGTTCAGAAATTCCGCAACATCCATTATTCCCCAAAATGCAACAAACAAATAATACAAGTAAAATAAATAAATGAAATAAACAGAAATAAAAATGTTACAAATGGAGGAAAAGTGAGAGTCCTACCAAAGTGCCATTTGGACAGAACAGGCAGTCCCTAATGAGATTGTGGAAGCAAGTGGCAGGAGCATTTGCCACTCTTGCTAAGCAGTTTTGTAACTCTTTTCAACTACCCAGAATAAAATCTCCCTGTCAGGTTCAGCCAAGGGATAATGAGAACCTTTGTGGGTTAAACAACCCTAGAACAAGCTATGGGTTCTCATTAAACATTAAATGATGAACGTAACTGCCAACCTTGGTTTAACTAAAACAGGACATAAGCAGCAAATAAGTCAGGGGAGGAGCAAGGGGGAAACATGTATTCTTGTAGCTCATTCCTGACAAGTGAATTATAGTTTAGTAATCCAGGAACTGAGCATCCGAACTAAATCATTCTTAGTTCTTAGTTACCTTTTAAAAGTATAATAATACTTTTGAAAGCTTGTCATTTACAGCCTCAGGAAGGAGAGATTCAGAGCAGAATGTATGCAGTCTAACCTCATGCATGCTCACTGGAAACTAAGTCCCACTGTGTTTAATAAGGCACACTTGCAAATGTGCATGGGATCACAGCATTAAATGAACACACACATATGATACACCAACAAGATGCAACCTTTTTGGCAGACTTGCGATTTTGGCTAAATTGTAAGAAGGCAAGATATGGTTAATATAGCCTTATGAAGTACTCCTCTTTGTTTTCTGGGATTCTCAAGACATTATCTTCAAGAAAGACAGTTATACTTTTCAATAACTGTTTCATTACAGCAACACCCACAACAAAGTTGGGACAGGATGTTTTTCATTAGTGTAGAAAGGTAGGAGCATATTAATGTTTTACCGAGGCCACTGTTTCTCCTTGTCTGTCAGAGGAACATATATCACCCCCATCAGCTGCTTTTCCACAATCTGCCCTTCTTTTGTCTTGTCATATTGCATCATAACCTGGTTTCCACCTTCTGGCCCAACTGGCAGAATTAGTCGTCCTCCTGGTTTCAGCTCATTCAGCAACTGGTGAGACCAAAAGGGAAAAAGCAAGAATTCAATTTATATGTGAATGATATTGTCGAGCATTTGACATCTCCAGTATTTCATGCCCACAACCTAGCCCCCAAATCCATCTCAGTGCTACTATATGCAGAAGATGCTGTATCGCTATCTCAAACTAAAGTGGATGTGAGAAGACAACTAAAGGCACCTTCAAACTATTGCCAGAAGGAAGATCTTGAGGTAAATTACAGCAGCACCAAAGTAATGGTATTTTCAGGATGCTTTAGACTGTAAATGGTCCTTGGATGAGCAACCAATTGAACAGGTCAAAGTCTTTAAATATCTTGGCATGATTTTTCAGGCATCAGGAACATGGACTGCTCAACAAGAATATGCTGTACAAAAGGCTTCACATACCATAAGAATCTTGAGACAATTTTTCCACATCAAAGGACATAATTTTATACTAGCAGTGCTAGAAGTGTATAGAGACAAGCCATTAGCTCAGATGCTATACAGGATTCTACTCTGGGTTAATACAAATTTAAAATCAATAGAAATTGCACAGTCTAAGTTTCTTAGGCAATATTTGCTGTACCAGGTTGTGTTCCAAATGCTTCTCTGAAAGTGGTCTTCCTTCAGTATCTACACAGGTCTGGCTCAGGACATTTGATTTTTGGCTACAGCTGAATTTAGCTCCTTCCAATCTGCTTTCCTTTGCTATGGAGAACTCTCATGAGAATAAGTGGGTGAAAGATATTAAGTCCAAAAGATGTACTGTCACCTGATCTATTACTGACCATTGGTTAAGGCAAGGTGAGACATTCATTAAAGCAGCACATGCACAATATTGAACATCAAAACAATTTGTTTGCCACTGAAAAATCCTTGGTCTGTCCTTGGTATGAGTGCATTTTAACAAGCTGTCCAAAAACAACGGGATGGTATTTGCAAGTGCTAACTGTTCCAGAATATAGAAGGGGCTTTACATGTGTCTTAATGTCATGCCTTCAATGTTACTTGAGAGTCATATCATAGGACTTCCATTACAAAATCACATATGCCCATGTGGTGATAGTGTTGAAACACTTGCCCATGTACTGGTGTTTTGCTCTTTCTATTCAGATGCACATAAAGGGTTTATTTATCCCTCAATGGTTAAGAAACCAGGCAGTTCTGACTTCTACGTATCTTTTCTTCTTGCAGACCAGGATAAACAGGTGCCAGGTCAGCAAAATTTTAGGGTTAGTTTTAAACAGTCAGCTAAATTTTAAACACTCCGGTAAATTTTTAGCAGCAGCAACTAAAATCAGGTCAAATATGATTTTATAATTGTGATTTTTACAGACTCATTCAAATTTTGACATTGGTGTGTTAGTGTGTATGTATATATAGATATACATAGATATATAGATATATATAGTGTGTACGTATACATGTATTATCTTTATGATCTTAATGTTCTGATTTTATATTTTGTAATATCTATGCAAAGGTATGTGGCTAATGCAAATAAAGGAATCCTGTCTTTAAAAAAAATCAAATACAAAGGCAAACTAAAACAATGGATTGGATTTAGTTTTAATCATAGTTCATGAAGACACACGGAAATTTAGAGGTCTTAAATTAATCCCAACTAACTTCAGTCAAACTGATTCCAATGCTTGACCCAAAGCTTGAGCAGATCTAGCTCTATTCCTTCGGAAAATGTGAAATTATTCTTGCAAGAAAGGTCACCATAGGTATCCAATTCTGTAGGACACTCAAGGAATAAAATATGGCATTTAAGAGAGTTGGAAGACCCTAACCCAATTTCTCCTACATATTTTGCTTGCTGACGATGTCTATGAAATTTGGCAAGAGAGAAATATTGTTTGCAGGAGTTGCATGACAGAATGCGGGAGTCAGTTCACCAATAAAAGGCCACAGAAGTTTCTCCCTTTTTGATTCTATTTTTGCTCTTATGATAAAGATCAGAAGGTAATATCAAATATTTTTCATAGCTGCTTTCTAAGCTTAACAATGTGATAAATGTCGGGGACTGGGTGTTATTCTCATATAACCCCAGTCCTCTATCAGCTCCGTTGGCTTCTCATCGAAATCCAGGCTCAATTCAAGGTGCTGGTTATTACCTATAAAGCCCTAAATGGCTTGGGACCAGGATACCTAAAGGAACGCTTCTTCCCTATTTGCCCTCCTGCCCCCTGAGATCGGCAGCAGAAGCCCTCCTCCAGGAACCCTCTGTGAAAGATGTTAGGAGACAGAGTACCCGGAGGAGGGCCTTCTCTGCGGCGGCACCCCGTCTATGGAATGTGCTCCCCAGAGAGGTCTGCCTGGCGCCAGCATTATATGTTCTTCGGCGCCAGGTTAAGACCTTTTTATTTAATCAATATTTTAACAAGTTTTAATATTGAATTTTATTACCATATTTTAATTGCAGCCAGAGTGGGTCGTTAATTTATTTATGTTATACTGTTATGTATTGGAATTTTATTTGTGTAAGCCATCCCGAATCCAGTCAGAATCAAGAGGCAAGACAGATGGGCATGTTTCTTTCTTACCGCCTCTGGTACTGTGGGTGCAGCTGCTCCAACATGGATGGCATCATAAGGGGCTTCTTCAGGGTATCCCTTCCTGCCATCTCCAACTGTAGAAACAGAAAGTGAAGTGAAGGTGGTGAAGGCGGCAGCTTCCCCTAAATAGATCTCCTCTGCCCCTTTCACTTGAAACCTACACGTAGGTGAGACTTGTATGCAGGTCATGTTAGCACTGGGGATCCTGAAACGGGGTATAGAAGCCACAGTAAGAAGCCTAACGTGAAGAAACCAGTTTTCTGGCAAACGTGAGATGCCCGTCTCTGGTAGACTGCTGCATGGGAAGGAAATGGAAAACAGAGAAGGCGGTGGCAGGAGGAGAAAATGGATGACCCGTCCACTTTTGCCTCTGGCTCTGCCCACTGCTATCTGCAGGTCAGCTTACTACTGCCCATGTGCCACTCTTGACCATGAGGAAGTGTGGTCCTCAGAAGGAAAAAAGCTGCCCACCCTTGTATCTGTAAGCTTTGGCTGTTGGACAGTAAAGAAATGAAATTTATTATTTTCCTTTTCCATCAAGACCAGAGAACTATGGCTACCAGAACTTTGGAACAATCCAGGATATTAAGTCACAGGTTGTTTTGCTATCTTGACATTCTGAAGCTGGTTAGCTTAATTTTTTGGTTTGGATAAAAATGGCTGATTTCAAGTTTCAGGGCAGCCCACACAAAGAAAAGGATTACACTTTTGGGCAAAATACTTTTCATGTCTCATTTTATCAAACTGAGCTGCAATAATCTGAACTGGGTCAGTAGACTGAACTCATTTTAGCCTTCCCTGTGTGTATGTTCATGTTCTTCCATTTCAGTGTACATGCAAAGATTTGGAGCAATGAAGAGTGATGCTGGGACTGAAATAGGCACTGTTGTGCTGCTCCAGTTTGGGGCAGCCAGTGTATTCACCAAGCAAGCATCTCCAGAGTTGAGCTATTTAACAGTGGAAATTAGGTATAACATAAAAGGCACTGTTTCTTTTCTTCAGTCTATCCTCCAGTAAAGAAGGTAATATGAGGAAGCCCCCACAGATGATCTCCAGGTATGGGAGAAAGCACAAATGGGCAGCGGCGTTCTCCATGGTAAACAGTGTTGGTTCAGTTTATCATAAAAATAATTTGGTGATTAAGTTTGAGTGAATCCTTAACGGGGCAATACTTAAGAATAATTTGCTGTTGTATCTTTAGACAACCTATCTTAGTGTTTGTGCTAGATCAGCTCCATCCCAGCCAAGGAAAAGAAGTTTTCACAAATGAGAAGGACTGCCAGCTTACCAGTACAGAAATCTGCTTAAAGATTTCAGACTGGAGAACTCACCTAAAAGTTTTACTTGGCCAGAGCTCAACAAAGTTGGATCGTCTTCTTTGACGTTTCTGATGGATTCGTGAACTAGCTCTTCAATGTGTTCAATGCCGACTGCCTTCCCTGTGGGACCTACCTGTAGGAACATCCACATGAATTTCAGGCAGTGTTACTGCTAGAAATGCATTATTTTATAAAGAGGACAGCGGGTTTCCCTTAGGAGGAGTCTTGTCCAATGCCTAATTCCATTTAGTTACCCCTATAGCCTGCTTTAGAATGCCTGAAGGATACACCTAGTAACATAGTTACTCGAAAATGAATACCCATTGGCTAGTCTCTCTACAACTGAACCCATCATGCATTCTTCATAATCATGGAATATGCTAACTGGCCTCTTCCAATAAAAGACTACAGTACAATCCCTATGAATGCCTACTCGGAAGTAAGTCTCCCCACATTCAATGGGACGTACTTCCAGGATTTGTGGCCCCAGAGTGCCTTTTTGCAATGCCAGATGGGTGGCAGTTTCAGAATTTTCTAGAGAAGGATTTCTTGAGTTCATCGTTTAAAGGTCTTTGTTAAAATTGAAATATCCCTCAGTGAATCCCTTTTCCTTTACTGAATTTAGTATTGTACAGTAGCCAAATACCTATTTCAGCTGAAATAGTGCCAAGTATACCTGATTGTTCGCTTCACTTTCTTAAAATTTGTATGCCGTCCATTCCTTGCATCTCTGGATAGCTGATCGTGTTTAAGGAATGTATGTTCTGAACAGAAAAGCTTCACAAGAGAATCCGTTTGGCAACCCACCCCCCAACTATTTCTCCTCCCCAAAAGTCCGCACAGAAATCCACAGTGCATTCTGCTTACCATCCTAGCAAAGCAAGCTGTGAGGTATCCACTTCCTGATCCTACATCCAATGCTTTTGCTCCTTCCACTAGCTGTTCCTTCAGTAACTCAAGGGCATGAGCATGCTATAAAAACAAAGAAATAACTCTTACACTTCCTATATAGCCAACTTTGTGATGTCTTTCCCAAAGACACCAAACTGCATGCTTAGATATGCAAATCTACTCAAGAGCCAGCAATTTCAACTCCTTGTTTACATGCTAAATTTACAAAATCCCTAGTTCATGTGGTCTTACTCTCAGAGTACAAATAAAGGTCTCTCTCTCTCAACTCGGCTTCAGCAGACATTTCAGCTAAGAAATTTCTCCTGCACACCTGAATTTCAGGGCTCTTAATTTGTGATGGGCACAGACAAGGTTTCTTGTTGACCTCGGCCACTCACATGGACAGGACATTGTTACTGTGGTAGCAGCAGCGGCGGCACCTTGATATTTATTCATTTATTTAAAGTTTTTTATAGACCATTCTATAGGAAACACTCTCACAATTTACAACATAAAACACAGTAACAACAATAACATTTTTTTTCCCGATTTATATCCTGCCTTTTTCCTACAAAGAGCTCAAGGCAGCTTACATCATTCTCCTCCTCCATCTTATCCCCACAACAACATCTGTGATAATCACAATAATTTCAAAGATAAAACCCACAATTAACAGGAAATAAAATAATAATATACAGCACAGAATATTGATCCACTGCACCCATTCAATAACAATCTGAATAAAAACTGATATAAAATCACATCATCTGTTCAGCAATTAAAATTACAGGAAAATAAAAAAAGGTTTTGACATGGCAACAAAAGGTATAAAGTGTCAGCACCAGGCATACCTCCCTGGAGAGCTGGTTCCATAAATGGGGTGCCACAGCCAAGAAGGCCCTTCCATTTGTAGCCACCATCCCTGCTTCCATGGAGAAGGACCTATGTAGATGATCTTAGGATCTGGGCAGGTATATATGGGAGGAGGGGTTCCTTTAGATATGCAGAACCTAAGCTGTTTGGGGCTTTATATGTCAACGTGAGCACCCTGAAGCAAAACCAGACTTCAATTGCTAACCAGTGTAATTGACAAGGAACAGGGCTATATGTTCAACTGGCCTGTCCCAGTTAGCAGCCCCACATAAAGTACATTACAGTAATTCAAATGTGAGGCTACCGGTTCATGGATTACCATTGCCATTTTCTGTCCATCTAGAGCACAAAACATAGGGGTGCATCTGATATAGGGTGCTACTGGCCACAAATGCCACCTGCTGTTCCAGGGATCCAGGAGCACCACCAAGCTCCGTCCTTTAGGGGAGTATGACTCCATCCAGGACAGGTTGAATATCCTCCCCCAGACTGAAGCTCCACCTACCAATAGCACCTCTGCCTTGTCTGGATTAAGGTTCAATTTATTATCCCTCATCTAGTCTATTCCCACTCAAATACCAGTTCAGAGTTGATACCACCTCATCTCAATCAGATGTGTAGAAGAAGTAGAGCTGAGTGCCATCAGTGTACTGATGATTCTTCAGCCCAAACCTCTGGATGACCTCTCCCAGCAGCTTCATGTAGATGTTGAACAGCATGGAGGCAGGATGGAGCCCTGCAGCACTCCATGACGTAACTGCCACGGGGCCTGGGTGCTATCCCCCAGCAACACCATCTGCAATCAGCCAGCCAGGTAGGAGCAGAACCACTGCAAAGCAGTGCCTCCAACTCCCAGCCCATCCAGAAAGATACCACTGTCAATGGTATCAAAAGTTGCTGTGATCTCCAGAGATGCTTCTAAGGAGGGGAGAAGATGCTTATGGTAGTGCATGTGGTTTGCTTATATAAAGCTCCAGTTTCAGTGTTCTCGAATCTTCAGTTCAAAGATTCTCAGGTTGCAAAAGCAGACCTGCCAGTCATGGGTTGGTTGAACCAATGGTATGAGACTTGGGGTGAGGGAAATTTATCCATTTGTGGCCTTTGTACTTTCTCTGCTGAGCATTATGAAGGTGTAACTGTCCTTCTATGCTGCTTAAAAGATGATGTCAAAAGTAAAAATGTAAGTATGCCTTACCATGTGAGGTGCACTGATTGTAGCCTTGTATCCTGAAAGAAATCCATTTATAAGTTTGTTTTGCATGTTGAGAACTACAATGATTTTAGCATTTTCTACTGACATTTTTCACATCACAAGTCCTACTCTCTCAGTCTACCTCAACAAAACAAAGACTTAAACTCTCCTGCTTTGAGTCTGTCTTACTATCTGCAAGCCATTTCAGTTACTTTAGTGCCAAAGCACCAATCTGGGGGTTAAAGACAGTAAGGCTACACACAGTGCAGTAACTTCTCTATTAAGTGGCAACAACCAATGACATTTCTTACCAATTGATTGAGGAGAGTCCATATAGGGGAAATACTTGATATAGTGGGCTCTATCTGTGGCCAACAACACATCATAGACACGTTGAGACTTAATTACACCATTTTCTAAAGAAAGAGAAAGAAGACAATAAGACAACTGCAACTGGACAAGTTCATGTCTACCCTAAGATGGACACCTGCTCATCTGGCCAATTGCCAACAAGCAGTGGCTGCACTGCTGGTCAGTAAGAAAAAACTGCTGTCCATCCGTCTGGGTGAAACTAAGCAGGGATCAGTCCTGTCCCAAGGGAGCAGCCCTTCACCAGCTGCACAATAATTTACTAATGCAGCATTTGAAATCTCCCATTATTCCACTTCATTGGATGACTCCAGGTACTAGTATTTCAGCTCTTTTGTACAATATTACAACCTGGGATCATCCAATGGAGATTCAGGACAGACAAAAGGAAGCACCTACTTAAACAGTGCAATATGTTACTAGAAGACATGACAATGCTTGCCCACTTGCACAGCCTTAACAGAAAATCAGACAAATTCATGGAAGATGTGCTACTGGCTATGAATCAAGAGGGCTGCATCTTATTCCCAGCATCCGAGTCAGTACCTGTTGCTGCAGAACATGAGCGGGAGGGTGCTATCAAGCTCACGTCATGCTTGTGGACTTCCCAGAGGCAGCTGGCCAGCCACTGTGTTCACAGCATGCGGCACTGTCTTTGGTCTAATCCAGTATACATCCTTTCAAGGAGCCCCATCTCTGCCCCCACACCCCGTGCAACAAGCCGGCAGGGATTTGAACGTGGTAGATCATCTGCTACATAACTCCCACTCATTTAGAATTACAGGGTTGTATTATTTGATTTAGTATATTTTAGGATTTTTTAAAGATAGGCATATGATTAATTATGCACAATATCCAGATAGTTCAATAGCTGTGCTAAAAATGAGCCTGGGTGTAGGCTACTGTCTGCACTTACTGTAAAGATTGTTGAGCAGTTCAGCATGTGTCTTCCCACTTGAGGTCCAAGCCATGGTTCGTGTCAGCAATAGTCCCATGAGCAAAGCAGCAAAAGGCAGAGTATGGCTCATCACACAAAAATGTACAGGAGATTCCCAGGCCTGACCAGCCAGTCATGGTGAGGCAAAGAGAAAAAGATTCTGTAGGGCAAGATCATGTAACACCCAACAGAAACCAAATGCCCCACAAGCAGAATCAGCCAAGTTTAAGAATAGACGCACAAATGCAAAAAAGAGGAGGAGGAGGAGGAGTTCACAGAAAGAACATTTTTCCTTAACAAAATCTAAATAGACTAGTTTACATCAGATGCCATTCATGCCACATGATGTTAGCGAGGGATGGTTTTTTTTGGGGGGGGGGGAATATATGTACAGCAACACATTTTATGTATGGATGCTTGTGAAGACAACATGGATCAGTGGCAAGTCTGTTGACAGGCGACAAGAGTTCTTGTCTTCTCTGTGTTGAAATGATCAAACCTAGGTCTCCCATTAAATTTCCAAGTCCAACGTAAAGAGACAGGCTTAACATTTGAAACTCTACTGGCTTACAGCCCAAATTCATGCTGCACTGCTGTATCATGCTGGGCTTCTCATTGACTGTGATTTATAACTTAACCCTTTCAGCAGGTACTCCTGCCATCTGAAGTGCAGTAAGTGTGAGTGGCTGCCAAGACAGCTTTTTCATATTTGGCTCCTGGCCTTTGAAATATCCTTCCCAGGGAGTCTCTGCTGGCATCCCTGTTGGAGTCAAATAGATACCAGGCCTACATATTTTCCATTTGCTTAGGTTTAAAGATCGCTAACATTAATTGTTTTTAACATAGATATACTATTGGACTGAACTGTTGCTGTTTCAGTTTGAGGTTTGTAAACTCTCTTTTAGTATTTTCCTTTTGCATTATTATTATTATTGCATACTTGTTTCTTACTACATTGTTAGCCAACCCTGGGAACAAAAGTCTATAGGGAAGTGTAGGATATAAGCTATGTAAGTAAGTAAATAAATATACAAACATTAAGTCATTACGGTGACAAGTATAAATCGATACAAAAATAAATACAGGGAGGGCTAATAATTTGGGATGCTGGTGGTATGCTAGCAAGTTTATTTATTTATTATTTAAAGTTTTTATAAACCGTTCTTTCATGGACACTCAGAATGCTGTACAGTGATTAAAGTTCTGTCAACTTATTTGCAAAGAAAGGGGCATTGCTGTCAGTTACCTCAACAGCATACTGAGTACTTGTGGTATAGGGCCACAGGGAGAGAGGTGGCAGAATCAATTGAGGCTATTTTGTTTGTTTGTTTGTTTGTTTAAAACTTTTCTATACCGTCCCCTCACAGACATCTCAGGACAGTTTACAACAAACTAATACAATAAAATAAAAATTGGAATAACTGTTGCACAGCATCCAATATTAAAATTAAACCACTAAACAACACAGGTTAACAATTAAAATACTGGGAGAATGAAAAGGTTTTCACCTGACACTGAAAGGAAAGAAGCACTGGCACCAGGTAAACCCCTCTGGGGAGCATGTTCCACTTTGCGCTTGGGAGCCCCTTGCAGCAGCAATGAGGTGTTCTTTTACTACTGTATCAGCCTCCCCTGCCTGTTACCACTCAGATGAGTTGGACTTTAAGTCCCAGAATCCTCAGGCCAGGGCAGTGGGTTGCATTAGGCCCACATGCCAGAGGTTCTGCCCCTCCATCCTCCAACCCATATGTGTAACTATGGTAGGAGGAGTGTTGTTAGCCAGGCTGACCACTCTTCTCTTTGTGCTTAGTGAAACTGGGGGGGGGGGGGGGGGGGGATGTGACTGCCAAGGCAAATACAGCCACCACCACCTCATACAGTAACCCAAAATTGGCAAATTGTCATGGGGGTTGTTGTGTCATGCCAACCTGGATTGCTTCCTGCAAGATCACCAGTTTTCAGGGCACCCTTTACCCTAATACCTTGGTTTGTTCTAGGAAATAACCATATGATGGGTTTTCATGGTATCTGAATGCAGAAAGCCAATCTCATTGTGGGTCAAGGAAGCAGTGAATAAGCCTCTAACGGGCTGTTCCACTTTTGTCCAAGTGGTACTTTAAAGCATCACTGGCTCACCGGTTCCACTCCAGCTATGACCCACCATATATTTTTTTACCTTTTCTTCCATTCTTTTTGCAATGTCTCTCAGTGGCAGCTAGTGACAGTGCTCCAAAGTGCAGAAGCAGCACATATGGGCAGACAGTACAGCTTCACCACCTTGTTATGTTTACCATTTAAGATGCCACTAATGTGTGCATTTTTAAATTATTATTTTTGGATGCTATTTCAGAAATGTGCACCTCCACCTAGCAAAACTGCAAACCTTTGCCTGGTCCTGATAAACCTCTCTTCTCAAAGTGCTTGAGGCCTTGCTCCACCAGTTTTACTTTGGCTTTCATTTGCTAGCAATAAAAGGACAAACTGTCTAAAGAAATGCAAAATAACTAATCAACGTATTTGCAGCCTTGCTTTGTCAATGTCCGTGGACCAAGGGAGAAAGGGCAGGATAACCCACGATAAGCCAGACCATCTGCCAGGAGCACTGCGTAGCTTATTCGTGTCGTGCGAACTCACCCGCCAGCTCCAAGAAAGTGACTCAGCGCAGGACCGCCACTGCCCGCTTCCCAAGCACCGTGCCAGGAAAAGGCGCCCGCCACCAAGGACTGAGAGCGCGGACTCACCTGCGCAGTTCCACCCAGTCCTTCTGGACTCACATGCTAGCGCGCTCTGCCCCTCCCCTCGCAGCCGCCGCTCCCTATTAGTGCTTTCAGTAAGAGGGCAGGGAGGGAAATCGCTGTTTTGGTGTCATACGAAAAAGAGACAACTTCCGCCCGGCTTTAAGATGTCTCATTGAACTACACGAAGCCGTCTCTTGTTTTCCAAAGAGATAAACTTAAGAAAGACGGCAGTTGCACTTCCGGCTCCGATTAGAAATAGACAAGTTGATGAAATTATCTCCATAAGAAAAAAAAAATAGCGAAGCTGAGACAAAGTTTGGAATAATTACGCCCGCTCTCCTTTTCCGCTGAATTTTTCCTCACCGAATAAGCCTGCTTTTTCATGACTCTCTAGAATACCACTGGGATTGAGTTTTTATTACTAGTTTATTTCCACCCTTCTTTTCCCTCACACGGATGATTTTTTTTCCCAAAGGCGAATCGAAACCGGAAGTCTAGTTGAGAACCAGTAAACTCTGTACCCCCTGCTCGCCGCCGGGCATGTTGGCGATTGATGCGTCCTTCTGCCAATAGTAACGAAAAGCGGAGGCCAAGGCTCCGCCCCTTCGTGGATTGGTCCGTTTCGGGAGGACGCTGGGCTAACGGAGGTTTCTGCCTTTGCCGGACACTTACAGACGAAGGCGGGGGCGAGGCCGGGCTCGCTGTTGCAGGTAGGGGCAGAGGCGGGCAGGAGCACGTCGGTGCGTTGGGGCTCGTGGAGCCCGACGGACGGGAGGACCCATCTGGGCGCAGAGGAATGCCCACCGACGGCCGCCCGTGAAGGCCCCCATTAAAGCCCGCCTGTTCGTCCGTCGGTTTCGGCCTCTCGAGCTTTGTGCGGAGCGTTGCTCTTAAGAGCACCAGCGGCTTCGGCCCAGCTCCCCGAGCCTGCGGGGAACTGGATGTGCTTGTCCATTGCTTTAAAAACCCCTTCTGCTTTTTAAAAAACTGTTTTCCAGTTTAGCCTTTCCCAACTTGGTGCCCTGTAAGTGTTTTGGACTACACTCCCCATCATTCCCAGGAATGATAGTTGCAGCCCTACACTTCTGGATGGCAGCCGACTGTGAGATGGCTTTACCTGTTCGGACTTCGTCTTCATTATCTTTCAGGGGTGCAGGGCTGACCCTTGCCTGGTTTATTTGGAAGGATGTCTGTCCGGTCTCACGGAGCGGAGGAAGGCTTGACCCCAAAACATTGTGCGAAGGGCTGGGACCGTGTCTAGAGAAGTAGACCTGATTGTGTTTTCCCCCTGAAACAGCTTATAAGGGCTGCTTCGCACAATGGAAAGACTGTATCATCCGTAATTTACTGATTTGACTGTGACCCATATGAGAATAAACATTTATAGAGAACCTGGATAATGAAGACATTTACTCCCTTAAAGTGGCCTGTCGTGTGACTATCTAGACCAATTTCTTTCGATCCTTTTGAAAAGGGAGATATTCTGTCTTTAGTGCTGACTTCCTAATATAGACAGCAATATAAGTGGCACAATATGTTGTACTGTGGAGTCAGCCATTCCCATTGCCACAATATTCCACTCCATTCCTCCTCCCCAGCATGCTGTGAGCTCATTGAGATGTGAAGTTATTTTATTTATTTATTTATTTATTTATTAAAACATTTTTATGCCGCCCCATTCACCGAAGCCTCGGGGCAGCTTACAACAACAAGTTAAATAATCATAATCATAAATTAAAATATAAACATTAGAATAAAATATAAACATACCATATAAAATAAGCCGCCCTGGTCAGATAAAATTCAATAATATTAACATTTAAAATGCTGCTTAAATAAAAAGGTCTTCGCCTGGCGCCAAAAAACAAATAACGACAGCACCAGGCGGACCTCTCTCAAGTTAGGGTTTGAAATCCATTTAGGCTTGCTTTGTTTTCCCCATGGTCTCCTCAAGACTGCTGGTGCTTCCCCTTTGTGCTCAGATGATGACAACTGGGCTACTGAAGGATCCATAGAGTATGACTTCCCTATTAGTATCAGTTAAGTAAACCTGCCAACCTGCTTATGGATTGTTCACCAGCCTTACTGCTCATGGTTGATCAGGCATATCAACCAAACCGAACATGCTAGCTGCCAAAACACATTGATAGCGTCACTTGCATGATGTGTTAGTTAAGTCTTGAAGGAATAATAGTAATAATAATTGCATGTTGAAAACCAGTGTCGTGTGGCACTTAGAATGTCAGGAGATCTGGGTTCTAGTCCTCATTGTGCCATGAAGCTCACTGACTGTCTTTGGCCAACCACAGACTCTCAGCCCAACCTACCCCACAGGGTCAATCTTGTGAAGATAAAATGTTAGCCACCTCAGGTTCCTCACCAGAGTTAAAATGGCAGGATAGAAATGCAATGTAATAATAATAATAATAATAATAATAATAATACTGTTGAGACCATCTCATTTTTATACCATATTGCAATAATTCTTTCTTGCCATTCACTGCAATCATGGGATCAAATAGTAGTTCTTCCCTAGAAATTTGCTATAATATAGCAACTCATACATTCAGTGGCATTAATCAGAATTTTATTTTAACATAATCATAACCTTTGATTATGAAGTAAAGTCCTAAATTAAAGAAGAAATCAGTTCCTGTTTCCTTTTTCATAGGCAGGTATTAGAAACATAGCAAGTCAGAAGGGGCCTCCCAGGCCATCTAGTCTGACCCCGGGCTCCAGCCGGCTCTGCTCATAATGTGCAAGTTACTCTTTTAAAATGAATGGTTTATTAAACCCTCCCATACAAAACATGGAAATGTAAATCACTAATACTGTCTAGGAGCTTTACTACTATAACAATTGGGAAAATACATAGGATGAAGTCCAGTTACTTTCCTCTGTTGACAGAGGGCTTCAGTGAGTTTCATTGATTCCTCTTGGCCTGCCCAGCCTTATCCTCAAATCTGCCAGCAAGGTTTTCTAGGAGTTAGAAAGAACAACTGACCTCTGCAGCAGCCCGAATGGTAGTTTGGCCAACGTTTTTAGGTGTTTGGATTTCTATGGATGCTCCATAGCTGCCTGAGTAACTGAACTTCTTCTTCTTACTAACTGCCCCCCTAAACCCTGCCAAAGCATTAAATTTCTGCAGACATCTCATTTTTGTGGGCTAAAAGGAAGGAAATAGGTCACTATGGCAACTGTGTCATGCAGCTCATAAGCCACACTGTGCATCTTTTCAGGATTTCTCCGTCATGATCATGATCGAAAGCCTTGACTCCACATGCACTATGCCCAGCCAGGACCTCTGGGCTGAAATCTGCTCATCCCTGCCGCATCCGGACCAGGATGAAGAGTCAAGCAGGGCATTTGCAGATTCCTTTGCAGATTCTTACGTTCACAAAGAGCCTCAGAATGAAGTCCTGGACAACTCGTTCCAAACAGACCTGAAACCCTGGGCACCCCTAAGGGATTCAGAAGTCTACCTGGCATCTTTAGGTAAGTAAATTGGGACTGTGGATTTGGGGGAGTTGTGGCTATCAGTATACAGGCCAAGCGTCCCCCAACCTGCTGTGCTCTCCCTAGCCAACGTGCTGCTTGTCTGCTACTTTAGAAGGCGTTGGGTTGAGGAAGGGTGTTTTAACTTTTTGGAGAAGAGTACAGCATCAGATTATGAGTGTAACTCATTTACAACTGAAAACAAAGTATTTCATCCATGCGTATTTATTGCTACTGACAGTTACTTACATGGTGAAGCACTAAAGGCAATGGTATAATGTACAACTTATTTACTCCAAAGTAATCTGTTTAAAGGCAATTGACCCAATCCACAAATTGGCAGACATGGTGAATGAAAATATTTCTCTGAGCTTGGTTCATTTCACCTCCATCTCTTCTATATATTTTCAGACAGTTTTGAGACTTCAAAAAGATTCGATATTCTTTTTTAAAAGAATACTGAACTGGTAAAAGCTCCCCACCACCACCACCTCATGAGATTTAACAGACAATGTGAAGGAAAGAGAAAAAATGTTAGACTACCCAATTTTATCTAATTTGTTCCTTGATAAAACCCTGAAAGCTATATAACTCAATTGCAAAGAGAGAGAGAGAGGAATTCAATTCAGCTATCATCCAGCTGAGAAAGAGCAAAATGGTCATTTCTCCAAATGCAACTGAATTTTCAGAACCTGAGTACAAACAATTCCTATTCCTGCAATGATCTCCATTAATGCTCATTTTTCAAATATTTGTAGGCATGAGGATAAAATATAAGATAAAATGCACTTTTGCTGTTTAAATGAGTCTCTGAACAGAAATCAGGATATAAAGGAGAACTCTCCAGATATCACATAACGATAAAATGGATGCTTTGAATCAGTGATGGAGGAACATAATGGTGCTGCAGATATTATTGAACTGCAACTCCCATCATCCCTCATCACTGATTATCTTGGCTTAGACTGATGGGAGTTGTAGCCTATCAATATTCACAGGATCACTCATTCCCCACTTTTTATTGTATGGTGATGATTACAGTGAGCCCACATAAAGGGTTGGGTGGAAAATGCCTTAGTTTAAATTGGCTGCTTGTTTTCATGTTGTCACTGGGAACCTCTTTCCTTTGTTTTTGGTATTCTAAATTATTATGCTTTCACCAGAGAGAAGATTAATGAGGATAAAGGGTTTGTCTCAGGAAGTGACCTCCAAAGACATGCTGCACACGCTTTCGCAGGCTAAGAAAGAATGCTGGGACAGGTTTCTGCAGGAGAAGTCCGAATCTGACTTTTACATGGAAGGAACAGAATCTGATGAGAGGTAATAATATTTCATGAGGTTCTTATACATACAGTGCTGGTAGCATGTATGCCTTACAGAAGTGTCACATGTTATAGCTGGGGTGGACACATTATGGCCTTCCAAATGTTTTGACCTAAAGCTCCCGTGATCTCTTACCATTAGCTATTGCTGCCTCAAGTTGCCCACCCTAATATTACAGGGTACTCTGGGGCTTAATTTAAGGCAGAGCTCAAACTTGGCCTTAAACAAGGAACTGTTTTCATTTCCTGTACTCACTCAGCCCTCGATACAGCAGCGCATGCTTGCAATAGCACACAGCGTGTGTTGCTTCCCCACTTGGTAAGCATGGCCCCGTTGAAACCGCACTCCCCACATCTGAGGTTAGGAAGTAAAGCTTGCAGCCAGAGCAGTAAAAGAATGGTGTTTTTTCAGACTTTTCAGGGCATGCTTATGAAGTAGGGATTCCAACATGTTTTGATAATTTTGACTGTACAGCACAGAAAGTGTTTGTAAGGTGTTCTTTTCCCCCAGAATTGGTTAATCTTGGATGCTAAGTTATACGATGTTGAAGGGGTAATAGGGATGGAGTGGTGTGGAGTGATTCTGTTTGGTCTCTTTAGAAAAACAAAGCAAAACAAAAAGATTTTCAGGTGGTCTAGGAATGATCCTTCAGACATCTACCAGTGCTCCAGGTTCTGCAGTGGCTTGTTTTAGCCTTTCAGGTCCAATCCTGAGTGAAAATTCTGACTGAGGGCAAAGCCTTTAGTAGATCAGACCATGCAAACCATCCATAAATGAAGCTTTTCAAAGGATCTTTTCAAGGTTAAAAAAGTCTTTTGTTGCCCCAAACCTCCTGCTAGATAGTTGCTTTTCTGTACTATTTTAATATGCCTGTTTGGGACTTATACTGCTTACACAACTGAAACAGGTTTTTTTTTAAATTGGGGGAGTAAGCCTCTCAGAGATGATGGACAACTTTGGTAAATTGACCACTTGCTCTGTTCCTGCTCTAGAGGTTAGACTGCCTTGTGTAATAGACCCCTTGCGTGTAGAAAACGAGTTACAGAGCTGTTGAGCCCGGTCTCTGTGTTGTGTTGCTTTCTTGTTCTTGTTTTGCATGCAGGGATGGGCAGTTTTGAGTCGAAAGGCTGCAGTGAGGGCTGCGGAATCCTTCGAGGGACACACAGGTGGAGGCGAGGGAGGGGGCACTGGTCGAAGTCAAGGCATAGTCATTCATAGCCAAAACTTCATGCACACTCACTCACTCTCACGCAGCCATTCACACACGCATGTGTGCACACACATCTGAGTTGGGCTGCAGGGATATGTGTTTTATTCACAGGAGCATGTGATGCTCCCATCTGCACACTGACATTGCACCGTGTCAGAGGGATTGTATCACATGACTTTGCTGAAGCAGTAGGTGCTCCTGTGCTTTTTGCTGTATTTTATTTATTTGTTATACCTATAGGCTGCCTTTTTTCATTTCAAGGTATTTAGGGTGCTGTACATAACCTTCCTCCTCTCCATTTTAACCTCACAACAACCCTGTGAGGTAGGTTAAGCTGAGTTCTAAGCTTTGTGGCACCTGTAGAACCTGGATCTCCCAGATACTAGTTCAACACTCTACCCACTACTGTTGGGTTGTATTTCTATGGCATTTTAGTCTTTTAACCATTTGCAATTCACTGTTGGCAATTATTGGGGAGATTAGAAAGGTAACAACCAAGCAAACAAAATTATTGAGTAGCTCCTCCATCCTTGAATTCCATTGTCCTCAGAGATTAGTTAAAGCCAGAACATTTTCTGAAGCTAGCATAGCACCTTTTACTTCCAAACTGTCCAAGGGCTATTTTAATTGACTACATATTACTCATTATGTTAATCTCCTCAGTTTTCCCCCTGGCTTTAAAATGCGTACATGCCCCTGAGCCTGTGAACTACATGGGAGCACACAGGCATCCAGCAGAATCAGCTTGCTCATTTTCAAGCAGCTTTGCACCCCTTGAAGCCTTTTGTTCAGGAGAGCAGAAATAACGAAGCCAGCAGTGTCTGTATTGCAAAGCTCAGCGCTCTCGTTCCTGCTGGATCTTGCTGTACAACTGCTGCATCCCTCTTGCTGGGAAGGGCTAATGAAGAATCAGTCTGTCTTTGGCAACAAGAGCCGCACGCCCTCTTGTCCGGTCCTGTTTCATGCAGGATGTTGGATTATGGGCCTTTAGGGCAGCGGTGGGCAAGCAGTCCGCTTTGTTTTTGTACTGGAACCCCAAGAATCACCACACATAGACTGATGTAAAAGAACTTAGACTTAAAAGAATTCTGAGCCCAGGAATGTCTTTTGAAAACCAAGACTAAGTGGAGTGTCCTTACAAAAATCCAGCCCTGTTTACCCCAAATTTTCTTCATTTCAGAAGTATAATTTGAAGCAGGAGTTTTGTTGCTGCTCTTGTTAAACAGCTGAGGTCAGGAATCACTGCTGGCTGACTGCAAGTCACCCAGACGCCAAAGAATATAACCAGACCTACTTTTTGCCTACAGTACTTTAGGGGAGGTGACCTGACCTGAGCTTTCACACTGCACATGGCTCATTGAATGTGTCATTAGAGAAGGGTGTTAAAATAATTTTGGCTCCCTTTTAGTTTTGCTGCACTCTCATCAATGGCTGGTAGTTCTGTTTTCTTAAGTTTCTGGCGGCTAGTAGAGAAACAGCCAATGCAATCCTGTACATGTCTGCTCAGAATTTACTCCCTTATATGTCTGCATAGATTTGCACCCTCATCACTCCTATTGTGAATTAAGGTCTCTTGTAACAGGCACTTTATATATTTATTAAATTTATACTCTGCCTTTCCTGCAAGGTGTTCAAGGCAATGTACCTGGTTTCCCTTCCCATTAAAACTTCCAGCAACCCTGGTCAGTCATGCTGAGGGAGAGAGAGCCTGGCCCAAGGTGTCCCACTAGCTTCATGGCTGAATTGGGATTTGAAGCTGGACCTCCCTTCACAGATCCTTCTGTTGTCTGTTGATGAGCCTTCCCCAGCTATGTTGGCCAGGATTCTGAGAGTTACAGGCCAACACATCTTGAAGGCACTAGATTGAGGAAGGTTGTCCAAGATAGTAATAAAGACTGGGAAAAGGTCCCATGGTTCTGTTGGCTGGGAATGCTGAGAGCTGTAGGACTTTCTCTGTCTAGACATGCATAGGATGTGCTCTTACTTTTAGTGCTATCTTTTCCTTTACACTGTCTTTTCCACTGCTTTCTCTCAGCACGCTGGAACACTTGAAACGTTGGCTGCAGCCTGACAAAGTGGCGGTCAGCACTGAGGAAATACAGTATCTGATTCCCCTTGAAGCTCGTGCAGAGAAGGAAGAGACTGAAGAAGAGTCCATGCCTGTAGAGCAGTGAAATGCATCTGGACTGTCTTGCAACCCACAAACAGTTTGTGTTTAACACAGCATGAGGAGGGAAGTGCCAATATTTGGTTGAGGAAGACCTTGGATTTCCCCCCAGCCCCACCTCCACTGCCCCAGTTTGTATCTTAGAGCAAGTATTCCAGCTTAGAGTTCTAACTGCTGCAGATATAAATTAGACATAGGCAATTTGCCAAGATGACTGAACATAAGGGCAAGGGATAGTCCAGCGGACATGAGTTAACAAATCCTTTCATTTGATTTGCTTTTCTACCTTGTATTGCCTCTTTGTGTCTAATTTGTTCCCAGAGCATTTTGGTGCATTGCATTTGAAGGGTTTGTGTGCACTGATCCTTTTGTACTGTGCTCTTTGGTATACATAGTCAACTGAATCCAATCCTTCCTGGAAATGTGCAGATACATGTACCTTCAAATTCCTGTATATGAAACATACTTTAACATTCCTTTCTTCCAATGTATAATTCCCTAGTGCAGTCACCTCCCATCTGGCATCCTCCAGATGTTTTGGACTTCAACTCCCGCCAGCCCTAGGCTAATGAACACAAATGTTGAGAATTAAAAACAAATCTGGAGAGGCTCAGGCCAGGGAAGGCTGCTGAATGGATCCCTTCTAGGGCTGAACCCCTTGTGACATGAAGCAATGTGTGTTTTTGCTTCAACTCTTTTTAAACCAAGGGATGCCTGTACCTTCTCCCTTGCAAAGTGAAAAGCAGATGGTGGTACAGTTCTGTGTTCACCATTTCTGCCACCACCAATGTTTTAATTAAAACAAAAGACAAAAATTAGAAAAGATGCACACCACTGCATGTAACATGTTGTTTTACCTGTAGATAGACGCTTCTCCTAGTGGAAAAAAAACCTCTTTGGTATCAAAATGGTTATTTTGGTCCTAATAAGGAACAGGTTTTGAAGCTGGAACTATGATGCGTATAATCTTGAATTTAAAACTTACCTGGAATTTATTTGCTTTATCATTCATGTTAATTATGGACTGACAGTATGATCCTTCCAAGAAACCTTAAAGTTTCCAGGCAATAGATGTCTATTTATATGCATGTTTCCTTTCTTGTTGCGGGTTGTCTTCTGAAACAGTCAGGAATAAAAAACTGTAGCAATTTGTTGAAATAAATAAGACAACTTATAAAATGAATGCTGGGGTGAAATAGGTGGATGTGTTTCATTCATATTCTCTCCCTCCTTGGTGGTACATGTCCCACATTACACTGGGCGAAAATGTTTGTCCTTCAGCCACATACCGTGGTTTTTGTATCTTTGCCTCCACTACTCCATGGCCTTCACCTTGATATCCTTTTGAGGTGCAATCCTAAGAATGTTTAGGATGAGACATTAGAAAAGAAGTGCCAGCATAGCTGGCCGGAGGACATTTTCTGAAATTATCAGCAAATAAGAGTCCCATACCTTTGCTAGACAAAATGGCTCAAAACCCAGGGAAGTTTACATTTCATTATTTTGCTCCATCCCATGGCTAGCCCAACTCGGGATGGTTTCTGCTCTGCTAGTACCTTGTGGGTAGTGAATGGCAAAGTCTCTTCTTGCACTAGGAGTGTAGTTGTTGTACCATTGAATGAAGAATTACCATTTGATAACTTCTATCTCAACCCAGCAAAACAAACAAAATCAGATGCCTGTGCAGTCATATGTATTGTGATTCTGTAGTGCCTTGTATTATTCTGTATTGTCATAGAATAAATTAGAACTGAAGCACTCAATTTTACATTTTAATGAAGTACTTGTCCTGCTTCAAGTCCTTTTAAAGCAAGCTGGTAAAGAAATTTTAAAAAATGTGAGATTAAAAGCTTCAAGGCTGCTTTGGCATAATCTTTATGTAGGTTGTGAGCATGTATGTCAAACAAATCTTAAGCAAAAGGCCTTCCACTCTTGTGGAGTACAACTTCCAGAAAAAAAGAAGTGACATTCTTATAGCATTTAGCATTATTGATGCTGTGCTATCAAGGGGTAGGGAACCTCAGGTCCAAGGTCAATTCTGCTCTCCCAGAGGTTCATTCCACAATTGGAATGCAGCCCCTAAGAGCTTCCTCAAAATTGATTTCAGTCCTTGGTCTGAAAGAACACAAAACAATGCTGGTGCTAGGACAATGGGGAAAATGATGATTTACTGCTGAAACTTGGCAGTGCCACAGAAATGTGGTGGCAAATCACTACTTTCTTCCCCTTTAACCCAGCAAGCAATAGTTTGTTCAAGCCTTTGTCTAGGGTAGTGCAACATCAGTAGCTCCAGCACCATGGGATTTTGCCATACAAAACATGGAAGGGCAAGAATCCCTCTGCACACTGGAATAGCAACTGAAGTCACACAGACCTGGAAAAAATGGAGGAAAAGGGGCTTGACAAAGAAAGATAGATGGGCAAGGGCTTACTGGGAAAGGTTCGGAACAGGCAAAGTGACAGTGGACAGCAGGAGCAACTTCTGTGCAAACTGACCTGGAGAGGAAGAAGTCTACATCTGCAAAGCTCAGCATGATCTGTGGTTCATGCCTGCAGCAAAAGAGTCTTCTGCCTCTTCCCACTTAGGGAAGCTTCCAGGAGATGCATTCCAGTGATGAACAGAGCAAAGAATTGCAAGGAAGTCCCAGAAGCTGGGAGGCGACCCAATGGGGGCATGAAGGGGGGCGGAACCAAGGGATGGTGGAGTGGCCACCTAGCTCTGGAGGGCAGTTCTGCCTCTCATTCACCAGGATATGAGCATGCTCAAGCATCTGGGTAGACTTGCTGCATGCCTCCTGTGCAAACGATCGTTGGCCTGGGGGTTCACAACTGAAGAGCATGTCTGCACAGATGCAGCGCACACACATGGGGAGAAAGCAGTGGATACCACACTGACAACAGAGAAAGCTCTATATCTCTCCTCTTGGGCTTTCCACTGCTTCTGTTGGAAAGCTTTACATCCTTGGATTGTGGCAATTTGAAGTGCTGCCTGAGCCCACACGTCCCCTCAAATAATTGCAGTGGCCATGTAATATAAATTCTCAGAGAAACAAAGGAGCAGATGTGGACGAGACTTCACATCCCCAGAAAATGGTTTAGTCTAAAAGATTGCCAAAAATAGAACCATCATTGAGACTTTGCTTTTAATTTGTTTGGTTTGCATCCTGTTCAGCAGCAAACCAAAGCAGCACGGCCCTGTGTCCCAGCTCTGCATAGAGCTAAGCGGAGCTTGCTTGCAAATTACATTTTCATGGCCCAGTTCTGACAGCATTTTCTGCTAAATTTAAATGAAACAATCATTAACTAAGTAATTCTTCAAATTACTTTAAAGAGAGCCATTCCTATGTGGCCAAGTCAAGTGGGACTCATTTGAAACGATGAGTGGTGCCATTTAAAAATGGAATATTAGAATTAATGACAGCAGTTGCACTAGACCAGAGACGCATCCATTGGAACAATGTTCAGTTCCCCAGTGGCCCAGTGTTAGTGGAGGGTCTATATTTTGGATGCCAGCTGATTCCGTAGGGAGAGCCAGAAATGGAACAAAGGCAGCGGGCTGCTGTGTTGTTGGCAATGGTTTTTTAGAAGCCTATTCGCTGTAGAGGGTTGTTTTAACAATTATGGTTAATGTCTATTGATAGACCTTATTTTAGATTTAGGGCAAAAAAGACAAAAAACATGCATTTCTCTAATCTCCTTCCAAAAGCCTATCTAAGCCAAAATCCATTGCAGTTTATAGTGGCAGCAAATTCCATCTGCTAATTGTGCATTATGTGAAGAAAGTCTTCCTTTTGTTTGTCCTGATTCTAGTCAATCAATTTCATTGTATTCTGAGGCAAGAACCAACATCTCCCTGTCTCCTGTTATGTCATTCATAATTGTATGTTTCTCTATGACTTGAGGGGTGTGTGCAATGTTGTTGTTGTTAGTTGCAAAGTCGTGTCCGACCCATCGCGCCCCATGGACAACATTTCTCCAGGCCTTCCTGTCCTCCACCATCCCCCGGAGTCCACCTAAGCTCACACCGACTGCTTCAGTGACTCCATGTAGCCACCTCATCCTCTGCCATCCCCTTCTTCTTTTGCCCTCAATTGTTCCTAGCATTAGGCTCTTCTCCAGGGAGTCCTTCCTTCTCATTAGGTGGCCAAAGTATTTGAGTTTCATCTTCACTATCTGGCCTTCTAAAGAGCAGTCAGGGTTGATCTCCTCTAGGACTGACTGGTTTGATCGCCTTGCAGTCCAAGGGACTCGCAGGAGTCTCCTCCAGCACCACAATTCAAAGGCCTCAATTCTTCGGTGCTCAGCCTTCCTTATGGTCCAGCTTTCACAACCATACATTGCAAATGGGAAAACCATAGCCTTGACTATACGCACTTTTGTTTTCAGGGTGATGTCTCTGCTTTTTAGCATGCTGTCTAGGTTTGCCATAGCTTTCCTCCCCAGGAGCAAGCGTCTTTTAATTTCTTGGCTGCAGTCCTCGTCTGCAGTGATCTTGGAGCCCAGGAAAATAAAATCTGTCACTACCTCCATTTCTTCCCCATCTATTTGCCAGGAAGTTAGAGGACCAGATGCCATGATCTTAGTTTTCTTAATGTTGAGTTTCAAGCCAACTTTTGCACTCTCCTCCTTCACCTGCATCAAGAGGTTCTTTAGTTCCTCTTCACTTTCTGCCATGAGAGTGTTATCATCTGCATAACTGAGGTTGTTGATATTTCTCCCAGCAATCTTAATTCCAACTGGTGATTCATCTAGCCCCACCTTTCTCATGATGTGCTCTGCATATATGTTAAATAGGCAGGGCGACAGTATACAGCCTTGCCGAACTCCTTTCTCAATTTTGAACCAATCAGTGGTTCTGTGTCCAGTTCTCACTGTTGCTTCTTGACACGCATGTAGGTTTCTCAAGAGACAAATAAGATGGTCTGGTACTCCCATCTCTTTAAGAACTTGCCACAATTGGTTGTGATCCACACAATCAAAGGCTTTAGCATAGTCAATGAAGCAGAAGTGGATGTTTTTCTGGAACTTCCTAGCTTTCTCCGTGATCCAGTGTATGTTGGCAATTTGATCTCTAGTCCCTCTGCCTCTTCGAAATCTTGCCTGTACTTGTGGTAGTTCTCAGTCCACATACTGCTGGAGCCTAGCTTGTAGGATTTTGAGCATAACTTTGCTAGCATGTGAAATGAGTGCAATGGTGCAGTAGTTTGAACATTCTTTGTCATTGCCCTTCTTTGGGATCAGAATGTAAACTGACCTTTTCCAATCCTGTGGCCACTGTTGAATTTTCCAAATTTGCTGGCATATTGAGTGTAGCTCTTTTACTGCATCGTCTGTTAAGATTTTGAATAGCTCAGCTGGAATACTGTCACCTCCAGTAGCTTTGTTGTTGCTCAGACTTCCTAAGGCCCATTTGACTTCACATTCCAGGATGTCTGACTCGAGGTCACTGACCACCCTATCCTGGTTATCAGGGACGTTAAACTCTTTCTTGTATAGTTCCTCTGTGTAATCTTGCCGCCTCTTCCTAATCTCGTCTGCCTCTGTTAGGTCCCTGCCATTTTGGTCCTTTACCATGCCCATCTTTGCATGAAATGTTCCCTTCATATCACCAATTTTCTTGAAGAGATCTCTGGTCCTCTCCATTCTATTGTTTTCTTCTATTTCTTTGCACTGTTCATTTAAGAAGGCATTCTTATCTCTTCTAGCTATTCTCTGGAATTCTGCATTCAATTGGGTGTATCTTTCCCTTTCTCCCTTGCCTCTTGCTCCCCTTCATTCCTTAGCTATTTGTAAAGCTTCCTAAGACAGCCATTTTGCTTTCTTGCATTTCTTTTTCTTTGGGATGGTTTTAGTTGCTACCTCTTGTACAATGTTGCGAACCTCTGTCCATAGTTCTTCAGGCACTCTGTCTATCAGATCTAATTCCTTAAAACTATTTGTCACCTCTACTGTATATTCATCAGGGATATGATTTAGGTCGTACCTGAGTGGCCTAGTGCTTTTCCCTACTTTCTTCAAGTTAAGCCTAAATTTTGCAACCAGAAGCTCATGATCTGAGCCACAGTCAGCTCCTGGTCTAGTTTTTGCTGACTGTATAGAGCTTCTCCATCTTTGGCTGCAGAGCACATAGTCAATCTGATTTTTGTGTTGACTGTCTGGTGATGTCCATGTGTAGAGTCGTCT